GTGTCGAGAGCAAGAAATCTTTTTAATTACACGGAAAACAATAAGTCTCGCAATGTTGTTTACCGGGATGTGCTGGGGTAAAATGATTTCTAGGTCTCGCTCTACGACCCGAGACAAAAAACAATTACATAAGACAGCATAATCAACTCTCCCGTTCTGTCAGTCATCAAATTTTGTAAATTGACCTTTCCGATGTTTAAGTTTAAATTAATTTGCTTCTAAAAATGTGAATAGTCATTGTTTTTACTGTTAATACACAATTTATTTTCCCTAAGAAGCCGCAAGGTAACACCGCGGGGCACAGCTAGTAATAAATAATTGTTTGACCGTAGTCTCCTTATCACTATCTATAGAACATGGTGTGTAAAGAGTCCGAAACGCCAAGAATAGAGTTTAAAACTCTTTAAAAATGTTTTATTAAATTATCAGATTATTATGTGGTACCTACCAATTCAGTAAAATGTAGTTTTATATTAAATTAACCGTGTCAGAGTATAACGCTTAAAGTATTTTATCGATTGGTGTGAATTTTATAGAAAGAAAGGAAATAAATCATCGAGCAATGATTAAATGAACCCCAATAGAAAAAGCTCAGCTCTGGGTCACAGACAAGACAACATTGTTAATATTCTTAGCGAAATAATAAAAACTCATAAGTTTGTTTTTTGTTCAATAAATACGTGATCGTCATTAACAGTGCTAATTTAAATATCGTCGGGCAAATAGCGAGATGACCGTAACACTGACCTACATAAACTCGACCGAGTATGCAAATAACTCATATCTGTGTGTTGTATGTTGTATGGCTGTCTGCAATTTCTCCGTGGCCACAACGGAAACCAGTTTTTTATTTATTTTATGTTTAAATGACCTCTTATCAGATTTGACAACGAATAATTTCAGTGTTTTGACCATGAAAGTAATGGATACAATGTGCTACGTACTTTATTATATGTATATATGAGTATACCTACTTTAAATATTAATGGCAAAATATGAGCAGAACATCACAACTGTGATGCCATGAATAGATATCAAACAAATTAAAATCACAGTAACATGTCCTTAGCTAAGGCCGCAATGAATTTCCATGAAAATTCAACAACCAAACAGGACAGTCCAAACAGGACGGTGTTTAAGAGTTCGGTGTGGGAACATTATTTGAATCTATTGCATAGTGCTTAAGCTGAATCAGGATACTAAAATCGGACACTATATTATAGGTATATTATGTATATATTTATGTATATATGTGTGTGTTTGTATTTATATTTATGTTTGTATGTATGTATATGTGTATGTATTAAACGCTATTTAATTTTGTTTTTTTATTGTATGATGTTTGTTCTTTCCCATGATTGTCTGTCGTTTTATTGACTCTGCACGTTCTTTCCGGTTGACTGGTAGAGAATGTCATGCTGGCATTAAGTCCGCCATATGCAATGTAAGGCATTAAAGATTAAATAAATAAATAAAAAATAAATAAAATTGATCGTCGCTTTATTTACGATGAACGCGGGTGAAACCGCAAGGAACCCCTAGTTATGACAAAACTGTAATAGTTAGACATATGATATTACGCACATTTTTATAGATATTTATGTTCTCTATAAAAGTTTAGTACATCACTTTGCTCTGTTGTCAATGACTCCGCAGCGTTCGCGACAAAAGGTTATTTTTGGTATTTTTTTCACACGTTGGGCAAGTTCTGATACGGAAACCTAACTTATTTTTAAATACTCATATAGCTTATGTTCATCAGGGATAATTAAGGATAATAAATGTGAAAGATTTTATCAAATCGATCCTGCAGTTTCGGATCTTATTCAATACAAACATAATTTAATCTTTCATCTTTATAATATTAGTGAAAATGATAATTAAAAGTCATTTATTCAGTCTAGGCTGTTACAAGCACTTGCAAAACTACGGCGAGAGACTTTGTACTGAGAAGAACCGGCAAGAAACTCAGCAAGGGCTGTTTTATAGCAATCTATATACTTATAATAAATCTGTAGAGATGTCAATTCTGTACATGAAATATATTTTGTTAAATATAAGAATGTACTACTAGAGTAGATTACTCGTCTTTGAATGACACAACAGAGCTGTACCCCTACCACGAACCAAAATCGAATTCATAACGTTTGCGAGTCCGAAATATCATTGTCAAATGTGTACTGATTTTTAGTTCCCGTTACGTCCAAAGTGACGATGCTGTTCAAGTTTCCATACAAAATTTGACATTGACATTTCGGTTTGCAAACTATTCGGATTCGATAATGGTTTGTGCTAGGGGTACTGTAGTCGAATAACTGAAGTAAGTTAAAGAAGGAGTGACGAAGTTAAAATCGAAATTATTCGTAAGAGTACAGGCGCTAATAAGAAACTGCCTCCAAGGATATTTCTACCGCGCTCCAGCCAGTTTTCGCACTGCTTCGATGGCATATCCATCGTAAAGCAACTTCTCTACACTCAGCTTTTATCATCATCATCAGCCTATTAATGTCCCCACTACTGGGGCACAGGCCTTCCCTATGGATGGAATAGGGAGATTGGGCCATGACCCACCACGCGGGCCCAGTGCGGATTGGTGGGTGTTAACGAATGCAGTTGCAGCCGGGACCAACGGCTTAACGTGCCTTCCGAAGCACGGAGGAGCTAGAGATAGTAAATTTTTGGTCACCCATCCATCCAATGACCGGCCACTGCGAAAGTTGCTTAATTTCAACGATCGCAGCTGAACGCGCTAACCACTTGCGCCATCGAGCTCCTCAGCTTTTGTCACCTTCGCTTTTTTGGCAACCAAGATTTATAGCGCGATTAGACTTGGTCGTTAGCCCGAATACGGGTGCCAATGGAATTCGGGTAAAGGAATAATAAATAATAATTTGACGACCTCCGTGGCCGAGTGGTTTGCACGCCGGGTTTCATGGTGTCGCCGACTCGAGAGGTCCCGGGTTCGAATCCCGGTGGGGGCAGATGTTTGTGTGATGAATACGAGCATTTGTACTCCAGTCATGGATGTTTAATATGTCTTTCTATAAAAATATAATTATATATGTACTGTATATGTATTCTATCCGTTACCCTAGTATCCCATAACACAAGCCTTACAGTGCTTACTTTGGGGCTAGGCTAATTGGTGTGAGTATTGGAAATATTTATTTATTATTATTTATTGTAAATGAACGGAGTCGAGTACGTCCGTATCGGGTAGTTTTCATTTTGGTTACCCGACACTGTCTTCCAGCCAGTATAAATATTGCTTCGGGTGTCCGGTCTAACGACTAAATATAGTTGAGCCATTACACCTAGACTGGTAAAGGATGCTACTTAATTTTAATCTATGTAGTAATGTTACTTCTAATGCAGAGTTAATAGGTTGTCAATAGGGTTGCCACCCGTACTTTATTACAAAATATTGTACATTATTTCGGATAATTGTACTCTATACTTTAATGTCAACAATAAAGTACGCGAAAATACTTTATTTGTTGTGGTTTGATTACACGGGGATTAATTTTGCATAAAATATACAAAAAGAGATTGATAGGAAGAATTGTTTCGTAAAACGGACAGACAGTATGTACGAGTGTAATATGTCACTCTTAGCTCATTCTTGCAACATTGCCGTGGCTGTATGGCTTTTTACCCGTTGCGGAAAAGAACTACAGATTTTTTTTTAGTAGCTACAAATTATTTATTAGAAGTTGCTAGAAGCAACGTAAATATATTTTTAAGCTTATTTATAAAGCGGAATAAAAAGTACTTTATTTTGGACACAATGTACTTTTTTTCTACTTTTAATATCCAATGTACTTTAATTGGACAAAAAAGGTGGCAATCCTAGTAGTCACTAATCATTTACTTATGAAAATCTGTAAGACTTAACGCTTTCGTTATATAGCAATAAAGAAATGCCAAATGAAAACTGTTTCAAAATAACTGATTGCATCATTAAATTAAATACTATCTACACTTGGTCTCATCAGCTTTTGTAGTTTTCCATGTTTATGCGACTGAGTTAGGTATTTAATTTATAAATTACAGTCTAAAATTGTTGTAAGTTTAATTTTATTTATTTATTTAAACTTTATTGCCACAATTACAAAATGGACAAAAGGCAGACTTAACGCTAAAAGCATTCTCTGCCAGTCAACCTTCAGGAGTACAGAAAGTCACGAATGCGGCTTTAGTAAAAAAAATAATGAGTATAATATAGCAAGATTCATTCGGTTCTAATTCATATTAGATGTACATAAGCTTTAAGTTTCATCCTAATGGATGTGAATGTTTGCAATATTTAATTCACCGCAGTTGCACTTTGCAAACATTATTCTAGGAAAGCTATCAACATAATTGCTGGTTGAAGTACTGCATTCGGAGCCAGTTAGACAGGCGCGCGAGTGCTCCCTCGGAACCGGTCGACACAGTAACACCATTGCACAGGCGCGGGCGCACAATTCGTACAATGGACACAGTCGCTTTCTTTCCGCTATGAGATAATAAATTAATAAATATTTCCAACACTCACACCAATTAACCTAGCCCCAAAATAAGCATTGTGATACTTGTGTTATGGGATGCTAGGGTTACGGATAGAATAAATATACAGTACATACATATATAAGTATATATTTTATATAGAAATACATATCAAACATAAATGTTCAAAATGACTGGAGTACAAATGCGTATGCATATCGTATTCATCACATAAACATCTACTGTGAAAATGCTACTGCGCTGGCTTTCTGGTCTATGGTCGTAGCTCAAGAAGTTTGCCAAGATGTACACCAGAACGGAGTCAATGATTTTTTTTTGAGAAAAAATCTTTATTTACAATGTTAATGTAGCTATCAATGTACCTATAGATCTTATGATTTCTGTGTTACCTAACGCATCATTAAAGTTTTGCGTCGAGTTTCTTTAATTGTCTCTTTGTTTAAAGTATGGGTTAGTAGTCATTCAAACACCTTTTTATTCATTTGGAACAGATTGAAGAAATATGGCTGGAGGGACCGCGAGGCGCTTGGGCCGGCACTCGTGCTGCGCAGTGGCGCAACGTGCGCGTGCGCATGGGCTTCGCTCAAGTACAGCACTCGCTCGACGAACTAGCGCCGCCTGGCAGGTGGAGCATGCATGCTAGACTTGGAGATGGCACGCAAGTAATTACAAATTTAATTAATTTCAAGACAATGAAATGGACCTCCAAGATTTAATTCGATTAGTTCGGTTTTGGTGCTTGCTTTACTCGGAGCTTATTTGTCATCCACAAATCAGAAAGGGAACCAGTTGAAAACCAGCGTCAGTGCAAACTGATTCATGCTGAACTGAACTGGATCCTTTTCGGTCCAGCTGTGGATATATATATATGTATATATGTGTGTATAAATTTAACCATTTGTATGTATCCACGTCTGTTCCGAATATATGTTTTTCATTTTCATTTGCTATTTCTTATTTTTCCGTGCGGTGACGGAGAAAGAATACTACTCACCGCCCCTTCTCTTCCCGCGGGTGTCGTAAAAAGCGACTGAGGCATATCGGAGCTTCCATCCGCTCTTCTGGTGGTAGGGTGCATAACACCCGCCTGGTATGTTGCCACCGTACGCTTGGTGAAAAACCCGTGAAGTGCTTCACGCGCGTTTCGGGGACAGCCAGCGTACTACCAGAGCTCGAGTGGGGATTGCCGCAACAGATTCGGTCCAACGGAGGCATCCGTCGAACCGATACCGGGAGGACTGCATCGACCCACCGGCCAGGGAGACCCGTAGAAACGGCTGTCTCGCTGGCCAACCGTGGCACAGTGCAGGGGCCCGAACGTTCTTAACCAGTTGGCGAGGCTGCCCCATCATGTAACGCATAATCTCGGGGTGGACCGTCGTGGCGGTTGGTGACTGGGGCCTGGGGTCCCGGCGGACACTCCTGGGGGGGTGCGGAGGCCCTTCCGTCCGGTGGGTCGACGTATCTCTTCCTTAGGCAGTTACTCGAGAAAATGTGCCTCCACATATTTGCCTGACTTTGTCGCGATTAACTCCACTCAATTCACGGCTTTCAATTTTTTTCCTATGATGGCAGCCCGTACAACAAGGTTTTTTGTACACTCCCACGCCTTCCGCGCTGTTTGAGGTCGAGTTCTGCAAATACGCGGACTCCACTCTAACCTCGATGCTGTCTACCACCATCTTGAGACAGCACAGCCAGCATTATTGTTTCTAACGGAATCACAAATCCTTCCGCCTGCTGACACAGGCTACCTTAACTATCCCGGCTTCGTTCTTAAAGAATCTGCCTGGAAGACCCCTCCTTCTCCATGTTAGCGGTACATGTGGACTCTGGTCCTTTGGCCAGAGCCTACGTGATGCAATACGATGCGAAACGATTTTTTTATTTTTAGATTAAATTTAAATTGGTTTTATACTTTTCAGGGTTCAACAGCATTTATGGTTGGCAACTATGAGCTGCCACCGTTTCAACTGAGCGTACGGCATGCACAAAAAGTGCTGAGGACCAGTGATCGCTTAGTATGGACTGTCTGTGTTCGGTAAGCTCCTTAATGATAATAAAATGACACTTCGTTCTATATAGCGTATAGACGCTCAATCCCATATTCTCGAAAGACAACGTCAACCTCAGAGAGTGCCTTTTGCAATTAGACAAAGCTTATGGATGGAAACCTTATCAAATACCTTACTAATGGTGCGAGTACACTTGGTCGTTAGCTCAAATACGAGTGCCAATGGAATTCGGGTAAACGATAAAGTGTCAATAAACAGAGTCAAGTACGCTCATAGTCGTTCGGGTAGATTTCGTTGACACCGTCTTTCTGCCCGTATTCCAGTGTAAATATTGCTTCGGGTGCCCGAATTTGAGTAATGTCTTTCGCGCGCCACGGGCTAAAGACCAAATGTGATTGCACCATCAGATGGTGTTAACACGTGTACACAAATAAATATGTAACTAACGCGCTCATGCAATTAACGAGTCAGCTCAAAATAAACCGTAATATCTACGACGCACTCATTGACAATACGTTTCCGGCATTCTCATGTGAAAAGCAGAATTCATTATATTGTCACAAACTCTAGAGATCTGCTAGAGATCGAATGTGCCAGAGCACCGCGGGTCGCGATAGAGGTCGAGTAATGCGGCTCTTTCTAAAATGAGCCTTATGCAGTGCGGCGTAAGGGAGAAGGTGCAACGACATCTGCACTTGTTTAATTTATGCGCGTTACCTGCGTAGGTATAAGTACTTTTTACTTGCGGGAGCTTGCTAATTTTCATTTTAACAGGTACTTTCTAGAATGCGTCGATCGGCGTATATAAGCGCGATTGGCACCGTGCAGAAACAGTTTAGTTTCAACAGCGATTTCGGAGCGAATCCAAAGGCGATCTAAGTGCAACAAAAGTGTTCAAGTGCGATTGTTTAGAGAATTGTATAGTGAAATAAAGTGTTTAGTGAGTGTTTTGTAATTAACATTGTGTGTTAATTGTGTGAACTGTGTGGTGAATAAAGATCTGCCAAGCGTGAACTGGCATATAATTTCGAACCCCATCTAGACACGTAACAATATATGTATACAGCTACCTTGCGATCTTGATAATGAATTTCGAGGGTAACGGCTACTTTCTATTATATATTTTTTTATTTTATAAAGAATCCATCGGGACCTGAAATGGATAGATTTTTTCCTTGTAAAATCTTCATATTTATAAGCTTTATTTTTTCATATGAGTCTATCTAGGTAAAGTAACCTACGAAATTCCAATACAGATACCCTTGGACTGAAGCCGTAGAAGGAATGCTAGTGATTCGCATCCGAGGAGCCGGTGGGACATCAGTGGGCCATGAGCCCAGCGGCATCAGGACGGTGGTCAGGATCAAGGCGCCCAGGGCTTGCCACAGACATGCCGCAGCGTCAAGGAGGATCGGCCTCAATGGGACCTACCCGCCTGAAGTGGTGGTCGCAGACTTTTCTTTCCAGGTTAGTTCATTATCAATAACATCAGCTTATAAATGCTGGAGGACAGACCTTTTCTATTGATAGATGGGACATCACTCGGTCATGAGCCCAGCGGCATAAGGACAGTGGTCATCATCAAGGCGCCCAGGGCTTGCCACAGACACGCTGCAGTGGCAAGGAGAATCGGCCTCAATGGGACCAACCCGCTTGATCGAAAAGTCAGCGACCACCACTTTACGTGGGTTGGTTCCGTTGAGGCCGATGCTCCTGGCCACTGCAGCGTGTCTATGGCAAGCCCTGGGTGCCTTGATGCTGACCACTGTAGTTAATTTACCGTCAGTCTATTAATATCCCCACAGCTGGAGCCCAGACCTTCTCCGTAGATGAGATAGAGAGATTAGACTAACCAGCTTGGCACTAAAAACTCAAAAACAAGTTCTTAAGTCACTGCAGTACGGGGACTTCTTGAATTGAAGCGTTCTGAAGAATGGTCCCCCAACTTCAATGACTTTTTAGAACTTGCTTTTTATTTCGCTTTTGCCAGAGCAGTCGAATATTCATATTTTTTATTTAAAGTTGTAACGTATTTCTCTTTTGTCATCAAGGAGGATGACACAAGGATCTGGCAGAACACTACAGTGGTATCTCAAGTGGTCGACAAGCCGATCACTCTGCAGTTTCTGACAAAGCACCGAGCGATTATATCGCCTAGACTGCCCTATAAACTAAAGGTAAATAATTTCATTATCTGCATGAATAATCCTAGAACGCCTACTCCTTCTATGTTTTTCCATTTTATATTTTTAAGCTAAATTGCATAGATTTTATCGCGGGCTTTGAGCGCGGTGACCGAATCAAGAAATTCCGTAACGAAAATAACCTGACAACAGTGCATATGAACACAATTTTCGCCATTCCAGTATTGATCGAAACGGCGCACAGTGGGTGAAAAAAAGAGGTCCCCTTTCATAGGATTTTTGAAAAAATAAAAATGTATATTATCCATTTAAGGTATGCGGTTTTATTGGACATATCAGTACATTGAATAATAAAATAGTTTGGGGAATTTCCTTTTAATCTAACACCATAAAGCACGGGCTTTAGAGTTTCAAATGTATGAAAACGGAATTTGTTTTGCTCATAACTTGTCTCGGTCTTCTACGGTCAAGCTGAAACTAATAGGGATTATTACCGGGTCTGTTACGAAGCCATGTGACCTTTGACCTTCACCCCGGACGGCCCCGTTCAAAAGATACGAATTTTTCAAAATGCTTATTAGGGTAATTTTGCTTTACGGGGTTATGTGTCTCAATAAACAGTTTGTTTATGTTTCTTGCCCAGCATTTAGTTATTAATACAGCGCAGATTATTATCTAATAAAACTATACATATATATATAGATAACGACACCATACAACTTAACTTTAAATAAAAGCGTCCTTATTCAAAAGATATGGAATTAATATAAATAGATAAAAGAAATAGTTTTAAGAAAAAGAAAACAAGAATACAATATTGTAAAGAATTACAATGAAGTCGTTTACAGCCTACAATTTAATCTTTTGTTTGACAATCGCTTAAAAGCCGCGCGCCATTAACGAGAGCATCATTACATATAAACAATACAAACTCTATTGTTGCAGGTTTTGAGGAATTCAAAGGGTTACCCACAGTCATTACCTGCCGTTGTTTGCCTATAATAATTACTGATTATTTGCTTTTATTGTGGGTAGGTGAATAAATAATACGTTGTTATTATTATTATTCAACAATGACTTCGATTATAATAAATACGGAGTACACCTGTATTTCATTTCACTTATCATTATTGATTCGTACCGTAACGTTCTCTTTGCTCAAATTTTAAGTTGCTTAGAATGGAAGGGCTTGTGTCTAATCTCGACGTATATATATATATGAGGCAAAAATCTTTTAGTGCCGACATGTTATTTCAAAAAGTACTCGATTCAGTGAGATTTTCATTATCTGAAGAACAAAAGACAACTCTTAAAACGTTTTGTGCTACATATACGAGTAATCTTAAACGCAAATGGAAGTCAGCTAATTACACACAAGGGAATTTTATAAAGAAGTTTGCTGACTGGTTGGACCAAGAAATAAAATGGCCAGAGTTTGTTTCACTAGACATAACTGAAGAACAATCAAATATTATGACGAGTTTTGAAGATCCTTCAACAAGTATTTCAACAGTAACAAGACCTAGTTTATCAACGGAATGTACTGTTCCTCATAGTGTGGCTGTGTCGACATCAACCGCTACATTTAGTCCTCGAAAAGAATTTGCCAATTTGAGTCCACTGCAAAAAAGAAGAAGAACTGAAAATCTCATTGCCGAAAACGATTTTGAGACACTTGCTTATACCCTGGCTAGGAAAGCGGAAAATGAAAACCAAACGGACTTTGTAGAATTAGTGAAGCATTTGATTAAAAAGCCTGAAGATGCGCCAATGCTGCGAGCCTGCCTGAAATGAAACGAACTTGTCATACCGATAAGGCACTCGGTATTTCAACATCACTGAAATTATCTAAATGGCAGTATATTACATTGAGGCAGACAATGAGAGACATGGGGTGTGATATACTTCCATCGTATGATGCTTTGAAGCAAGAGAAGAAGGAGTGCTATGTTGAAAAAGAAGACATGGTAATAACTGAGACTGAAGTTAAACTTAAACTTCAGTCTATTTTAGATATTACGGTCAAGAGACTATTAAAAACTCTGGAAACTGATTTAACTGGCAGTAATTCGACTCTTATCAGTAAATGGGGGTTTGACGGTGCATCTGGGCAAAGCAACTACCAACAAAAAATTGACGGCGATGATTCAAGCATCTTCATGTGTTCATTTGTGCCGTTAAAACTGGTGAGAGATGGTACTGATGAAATAATATGGGAAAACCCCAAAGCGTCTTCAACGTTTTACTGTCGACCCATTTATTTTAAGTTTGCTAAAGAGAACGATTTGAATGTTAAAGAAGAAATGACTTCAATTGATACGGAAATTGCTGCTCTACATCCAACTGTTATCGATGGTGCAAATGTAAAACACGTTCTGCATATGACGATGATTGATGGTAAAATAACTTCACATTTATCAGATACATCCACAGCTACATGCGATATATGCAAAGCAAAACCAAAAGAAATGAATGATATCGACAAGGTTACTCAGAGAACCCAGTCTGTAGACATGTTTAAGTTCGGTCTGTCTTCCCTCCATGCACGAATTAGATGCATGGAATGTATCTTACATATTGCTTACCGTCTCGACTTTAAGAAATGGCAAGCTAAGGGCGAAGATTTGAAGCAACAGTTAAGCCAAAGAAAAAAGGCTATTCAAGAACAATTCCGGACTGAAACGGGGCTACTTGTGGACGTTGTTAAACAAGGGGCTGGTACAAGCAACGATGGAAACACAGCAAGAAGATTTTTTGTTAATCCTCAAATTACTGCTCAAATAACGGGTGTTGATGAAGAACTCGTTAAAAGATTTGGAGTGATTCTTCAGGCTATCTCATGTGGAGAGTTTGTGGACGTGGAAAAATTCCGCCAATATTGTGCTGCTACAGCACGCAAATATGTCGAGCTCTATGAATGGTATTATATGCCCTCAAGCGTGCATAAATTACTCATTCATGGTGCTGATATAATAGAGCACAATAACTTTATACCAATCGGCAAGCTCTCTGAAGAGGCCTCTGAAGCTCGTAACAAAGATTTTAAAAACTTCAGAACCTTCCACTCGCGTAAATCTAGCAGGATTGCAACAAATGAAGATATTATCAATAATTTGTTAATATCGTCTGACCCATACCTATCAAGTTTCAGGCCTAAAATATGTCAACGAAATAAACCTCTCACAAATGAAGCTAAATCATTATTATTAACTTCTTGTGAAGATAAGGAAAATATAGAGTTTGTAGATGTAGGTAATGTATCTGATTATGACTTTGATTAGTATGTGTTCTTTCCCTCAAATCAAATTATATCAAACTTTGTATTTTTATTTTTTTGTATCTTTGTATCATATTAATATAAACAGTTTACATATTTAAGAACTGTTGTAGCCAATTTGAGTTCTACTAATCTTTTATACTTTAGCTTGTATGTGTGTAGTAATTTATACAGTTGTGGCTTCCTTATTATGCATTATTTAATTTATGATATCAAGCTTAGTTAGTAATTTAAGTTTTGTAAATAAAAATATTGATGTTAATAATTTTGTTTTATTCATAATGTAAATAGTTTATTTTCTCGTTTGGCAGTAACATATCAGAATCTCCCTTACTACATTTACTAATATTAATAACCAGCTAGTTTATCTGGAAAAACACTTTGTTCATTTTAAGCTTAGTCAGTTAAAGTTCTAGGTATCCCAAAATAAACATATTTGATCAAACCCTTTCTTAGATAGACATTGTAAATGTAAGTATGTTTGTTTGACAAAATTAATTATTATAGGCAAACAATGGCAGGTAATGACTGTGGGTAACCCTTTGAATTCCTCAAAACCTGCAACAATAGAGTTTGTATTGTTTATATGTAATGATGCTCTCGTTAATGGCGCGCGGCTTTTAAGCGATTGTCAAACAAAAGATTAAATTGTAGGCTGTAAACGACTTCATTGTAATTCTTTACAATATTGTATTCTTGTTTTCTTTTTCTTAAAACTATTTCTTTTATCTATTTATATTAATTCCATATCTTTTGAATTAGGACGCTTTTATTTAAAGTTAAGTTGTATGGTGGCGTTATCTACTGTGTAGTCTTATTAGATAATAATCTGCGCTGTATTAATAACTAAATGCTGGGCAAGAAACATAAACAAACTGTTTATTGAGACACATAACCCCGTAAAGCAAAATTACCCTAATAAGCATTTTGAAAAATTCGTATCTTTTGAACGGGGCCGTCCGGGGTGAAGGTCAAAGGTCACATGGCTTCGTAACAGACCCGGTAATAATCCCTATAAGTTTCAGCTTGACCGTAGAAGACCGATACAAGTTATGAGCAAAACAAATTCCGTTTTCATACATTTGAAACTCTAAAGCCCGTGCTTTATGGTGTTAGATTAAAAGGAAATTCCCCAAACTATTTTATTATTCAATGTACTGATATGTCCAATAAAACCGCATACCTTAAACGGATAATAAACATTTTTATTTTTTCAAAAATCCTATGAAAGGGGACCTCTTTTTTTCACCCACTGTGCGGCGCAGTGTGTTCAATTTTTGCCACGGGAGCAACGTTCGACGCATCACCGCGGTCGTCGGTTCAAATCCCGCACTCGTATTTTTATTTTTCATTCTATTTTTTCCTTTTTTTATATATTTGTTTTAGACCCCAGCACCTGTTCTTATTTTTATTTGTCTCACTTTTATTTAGACTCTATAATTATAATTAAATTTTTTGGACTAAAAATGGTAAACTGTGGAGATTGTGGAAGTTTTTGGCGCCGGTTGTTTGTTGTACTTGTCCAATAAAATATCATAAGGCCTGCCTCGCCATCTATTAATATCAAAGAAAAAAAAATACTGCATAAATACAATAAACAAATAATTATAATTGCATAAGTTGATAAATAATGCTATGCAATATAGCTTTAACTCGGCAGTCCCTAAGGGGCCACACGCATTTTTTTATTTCTGAATGAGACTATTTCAATAATTCCAACAATTCTGTATGAAAAATGTTAGTTATCATGTATTTGAATTTTAATAATTTTTATTTTGAATATAAAAAAAAATTCACGTAAAAAATTGTACGAAGCCTCCTTTTGTAACAGATATACCTGTACCAGGAGGCTTGACTCTTCTAAAGTAACATGGTTTGTGCATTACATGAAATATTTAAATTACTTTAACACTATTATGTTTAAAATATTAAAATTTTCATAACTTTCAATTATTTGCCTAAAATCCGTGGCCGAGTGGTTTGTACGCCGGGTTTCATGGAGTCGCCGACTCGAGAGATCCCGGGTTCAAATCCTGGTGGGGGCAGATGTTTGTGTGATGAATACGAGCATTTTTACTCCAGTCATGGATGTTTAATATGTATTTTCTATAAAAATATACTTATATATGTACAGTATATGTATTTTATCCGTTATCTTAGTACCCATAACATAAGCCTTATAGTGCTTACCTTGGGGCTAGGCTAATTGGTGTATGTTCTAAAAAAAGTTATAATTCAATGCAAAAACGTTAATTCTTTAACATTTCATTTCGTTTATTTTTTTTTATACTAAGAAAATAAAATTTTGAACAGCTTACTATGCATACCATTTGATTAAAGTTTGAATTTGTCACAACAATCGGGTTTTCGAAAATGTTAATAATGCCATCCTCAATACCCCAAGGTGAAAGCGACCCGTTGGGACGAGAAGCCTGCTAGCGGAGTGACAGTGAGAGTTTGTCGCGGAACCATGTGTCCCACCGCCGAGACCGATGCTTGGGGCGTCGCTCGCGTCACCTTCACCGCTGGATACAATGCCGACTACCACACCTTCCAGGCACGTTATCATCATTTAATTCCACGCTATGAAGTTCTTTCGCCTGTTTTACTCCACAGCTAAAGAAATAACCATAACAGATGGTAAGGAAAAAAATTGGAAGGTCAAAAGAGTTGTAATATGCTTCCTATTTGAAAAATACATTTTGACTTGGACATCCTATTGATGCGTCCACTATGAGACTGACCGTGAGGCGTCATCTTCACCGCTGGACGCAATGCCTACTACCACACCTTGCAGGCTCGCCATTACAATTTAATTTCACACTGTGAAGTTTCTTTCGTCTGTTTTTCTCCATAGCTAAAGAAATAACCATCAGATGCTAAGGAAAAAATTTGGATTATCCAAAAAGGTTGTATTATGTTTCCAAGTTGATTTTTGGGGGGCACGGCAGTGACTTGTGTGACTTGGCCGTTGATGGGTACACAAGGGTACAAAACCAGGTGCTACATGACACCATTGCACCGATGCAATCATACATGCAACATTACGTGTAAATGCAACTTTATCAAGCCTACAATTGATTGGTTATTCAATCAACGTTTTCCAAGTGGCAATTTTCCATCGTCAATGGGTAGCGGTTCTGGCGACAGATTGGTGCAATGGTGTCATGTAGCAACGGCCAAGTCACACAACATTCACTATAATAATAAAGAAATCGTAGTAAGGAACCTTAGACTTGGCACAACTTTGTCTAAATTTCATTACTTTTTAGAGATAAACAAGCAGCTCCATCGAAACTTGGCTAGTTTTTTACAGAATGTTTTTGGTGGGATAGATATTTTGACTTTGACATCCTTTAAATGAGTCCACAATGAGACTGACCTTTATCGCTGGCTACATTGCCGACTGCCACACCTTCCAGGCACGTCATCATTATTTATTACTGCTGGGGCACAGGCCTTTTATAAGAATGGAAAAGCAAGTTTTGGCCATAATCCTCCACCGCTACATGATTGGTGGGTGCTAACGACTGGAAATGCAACCGGGGCCAACGGCTGAATATGCCTTCCAAAACATGGAGGAGGATTGTGTTTTTAAAATAGCTATCTGCACCATTACGACTATAAGAATAGTATAATGTTTTTTCATTTATTCCCCCACGACAATGGCTAACTAGAGCCGAGGTCCGAGTCTCAGAGACGCCCTCTAGTTGAGCCGACCCCCTCAAGTTCGAGTGGTCTATAGGCTCCAGACGGAGAGGAGACTCCCCCCGTGGGGAGATGCCATCCGCCTGGAATACCTCTAGAGGCACTCGCTAATTCTCGGCTTGAGGTCCCCTTAGGATCACGCCGTCCCCAAACCCGGTGACGCTGTAAAGGTCATCTGCGACCTGACTGCATACACACATTAAAAAAAAGATTTTTTCATCAAAGTGTTGATCAGTAACTTCAAACTTACAGGCATCTTTAGCCAACGACAGTTCTGTAACAGCGCTGCCTCTACAAGTGGCCGTGAGACGCACAGGCTTAGTTCACGCAGCTTTGGGACCTATAAAACCGGACACGGAATCTGGGAAGACTGTTGTACCCTTATACGTTGATTTGACGAACGTCACCAAACCGCTAACTGTACACTTCGTGGTGAGTTCTAAATAATATTTTTAAAAATATATGTAAACACTTTCTTGTAGTTTGTCTTTATTATCATCAGCCTATTGGTATTATTGCCTAACTGCTGGGGCACAAGCCTTCTCTATGGATGGAAAAGGAATATTGCGCCATGCATGACCCATCAAGCGGGCTCAGTGCAAATTGGTGGGTGCTAGCGACTGCAGTTGCAGTAGTACCAACGTACATTGGAAACACGGATGAGTTCGAGAAATTTTTTGATCACCCATCCGACGACCGGCCAATGCGAAATTTGCTTAACCTTTACGATAGCCGACCGCACACATTAACCACTGGACCATCGAGTTATGGAGGAGGAAAAGATCCTGCATAGAATGTTTAAAGGACACCCGGCATTTTGTGCCAAAGTTGTATACTTTTAAATTTTTTTTATCTGTGTTTCATAATTGGGTAACGTAGTCTGACAATATTTATCATCAGCAGCTAGCTGTCAATGTCAAATACGTAGGTTTGTCATCAAAAGGGTTTCTATATCAAAAAATATTAATCATTAAATAACTTCTTTCCACGATTCACTAAAAATAAGGCAAAAGTAGTTTTATGTAGCAAATAATTTTGGCTTTATTTTGAGACCAAATTCAACTGTATACAAGTTTAGCATTTTTTCCTCCTTTATAAAAAATATACAGAATGCACTCCCACACCTCATAAGTAAATTTATTCCACAACCACAATCATTACGAATTAACCAATTTTTTAGGTTATTACCCGCGGAGGAATTATCTATAGATGGGGAGCGACAACGCAATGCCCTTCGACCAGCTCTTCCGAGTACATTCCCACAACGTCCAGAGAAAGCGAATGTCACCACGCAAACATAGCCTACTACGATAGAAATATAGCCAACTTCAATACAATCTCGCACAGAACTGCTGGGAACTTTGATAGTTTCAATACCATCTCTGCTAATTCTTCCAGACTTGAATCAGATTCGCTCTTAGATCGACATTTGCTAAGAGTAATGTTGCCTATTAAAGTTACGCATCAAATGTGCCCAGACAGCCATTTGGTGGCATTCTTCTATTATAAAGGGGAGTTGGTCAGTGCCAGCAAGCATTTCGAGCTCGACGAGTGCTTCATCAACAAGGTAAGTCCAATTATTTAAGTGAAGTATTTTTTTAAAGAGTATTCCTTACATTTCTTTGTTTCCTTAACATCAGGATTGCGATCTTAAGATTTAAAAACTGTAAATAGACTGCGTTAATATCGATGTTGTCTACCATTTTTTCGAATAATTTTAACATACTATACGTAATGAGTTGTTTCAGTGGCTAAAATTATATTGACTGATTTTAGACCATTTAAGAGACAGAAATTGCTATCATATTATCACTAAGCTGAGGCAGGTACCTAGTTGGACTTCTGTCTAGCTGTGTTATGTTTATGTTAATATGTGTTTAAGGCCAATATTTTTTTTTCTTTCACTTCACATGGCTATTCGCATTTGCTAATTGTCATTTTAACAGCACGTTGTCCTTATCACACTCTTTAAGGAGTGAAAAGGAGTAACTATTGTCAAGTTTACAAATCTATACATTTAATAAAATGGTAGAAAGCCAAAACTGTATATTGAATTTTTTTTTAAAGAATATTGGGGTGTGATCTACAATCGATACCTAAGCCAAAAATATAGTTTTTAGAATTTTTGTCTATTTGTCTGTATGTATGTCCGGGATAAACTCAAAAAGTACTGCATGGATTTACTTCAAATTTATCACGAAATCACGAAGTCGGGTCAACATTAGGCTACATATTATCACGCTATCACCTTACAGGGAACGAGCAGTGAACCATTATTTCTTATTAACTCCACGGTACGAAGCTACTAGTAGCAAATACAAAAAGTCATGTGCAGAATTAGCATTAATGAAACTCATATTTATTCATTCCTAGGTGGAACTTACCTGGTCGTCGAGGCAAGTAGCCCCAGGGTCCACAGCGAATCTCCAGATTTCCACAACGGGCCCGGCTCTTTGCGCCCTCACGGTCTTAGACTCGGCAGCCAAATGGAACCAACCATCGACTTCAGTGAAGGAAGTGCTGATAACGGAACTGAAGCGACTTATACAAAGTCATAGGAATCTGACGGAATATGACGCAGCTGGGACGTGTTTCCTTAGTATGTTTCTTGGGTGTTCTTTTATCATCTAATTAATAGGGTATTTGACAGTATTAAAAATAAAGTGCCAATTGTTAGCATCTGTGTTTAGAATGAATATTGACAGGAGTTTTTACTGTTTTTACAAAAAAAAATCATAATTTTACTAAAAACCCACGAAAAGATTATAGTTTTCTTATCTATTGTCACGTGACCCTTTTGTTTTGTGACCCGCTTGGGATGTGCGGAGCTTAAAAGGACGTCACACGCAAGTAAGCTTCCGGTTAAAGTGACAGTATATAGTATCGTTTGACGTTTTAATAACAATCGTGTGACGTCACACACTAGTAAGACGCCATATTGTCCAGAAAAACGTTTTCACGGCAACTTGAAAATGGAGTTTTTGATTTGGTTATTTTTACTGAAATACACAACAGAATGATGAATATCCACTTTTAACGGACTCCATTAATATTATTCAATAACGTGAGATTGTTTTCTAAAACTTGTCAAATACCCTATTTAATTTAAGGCAGTACACTGTAGACGAATAGTTTGTTGAACTATCGACCTTGAATTCCTGTCTTGTGTCTTGCATCTTTTTACATAAGAAAAAACATTTATAACATTTATGTTTCTGATGGAATAGGGTTGCATTTATATCAGCTATAAAGTAAGGCAGGTAGTCTTGTAATGACTAACTTATCAGCTAGTTTACCACAACCTTTGTGAAATAGAAGTAAGAAATCATCGTTAATCCATAACTATTCTAGAATAAGAGCCAAAGAACATAGAAAGGGGTTATAAGAGTGACCTTAAAGATAATAGCCAAACAAATGCCGCGACATCAAGCAATCGTACCAAACAGCGCTCACACCTGAGAGCAACGACGCAATCAGAACCAAATGTTCATCAAGTTATGACCATTTGCTCACACAAGGCCCTTCTAACCTCATCATGTGTTATGTGGTAGGAGCTATGATACGAAATCGATCCAATACTTCATCAAAAACCTGTTTATGTCTCTACTTCCAGAGCACAGGTCTTCCCTCTGAATCTGAACGCATCGGGTAGAAAGGATTATGACTAATCATGTGAGTGTGGATTAGTGATTGCTAAAGACATCACAATATGTTACGTGCCTCCTAACACGAAAAAAACAGATATTGCGAAATTTCCTTGAATTCCACTATCTCAATCAAGTAACTAATGCACCGTAGAGCTCTTGGATGTATTTGTCGTGTTCTAATATATTATAACTAAAACAATCATTAATCCTTAGCCTACTTGAACAATGAAATAACATTTTCAATGCACTTGCTCGGAAAGTGTTATTTTTTATGTATACACATTATGCTCTTTTCTACATGTGTGCGTGTGCGGAAAAGTTTTTTTATTATTATTAAAATCCCTTGCGCTACGAGCTAGCGACACGCAGCATTGTGTTCATTTGTTTTTTCAATAAACAGTTTTCTATTTGCAGATCAGTTCAAAATTTAAATAAATGTTTGATGAGTTACCGCCTTGGTTCCCATAGATTCTATGTTGTCTCCCATGTCTTGGAGTAAAAGATAATTCCAGCTAAAATTACACGACAGATACTTAACTGTGACAGACATGAGTTTAGTATGTAATTTAGTAATCATATGCAAAATCATTTATCTGTTTAGGCTGTTACAAGCACTCATGAATGTCCAAAAGCTACGCCATCGGTTCGTAAATCTACAACGGGAGATCTTAAACAAATGGGTTATTTATTTATTTTCATTTGGGAAACATACAGTTTTCCACAATTCAATTAAGTAACACGTATTACTTTTTCATAAGCCAGTTAAGTTTCCGCAGACTGAAACCAATACATACGTACAATACCTAGAGTTATGCGAATAAAAGAAAATAATTACTAAGTGTTAGGGTAAAACGACCTTATAGCATTCATTTCTAAATTGATTGTAAGAAAGGCAAAATATATCCAATCCCCTGAAGTATTTATTATAGCTGCGACATGCTCTACAAATGAAACTATTTGCAGCAAACTTGGTCCTGCTGAATTGTAAACAAACGTGTTATATTTTTATTTTATTTCTTCGCAAAGTAGATTAAAGAAAAAAATTATGACTCATGAGCGTAGAAGCATATTACGAATGCGTACCGTGGTACTTATTCGTAATAACCTCCTTTCCGCTCGTCTATCTTAAATAACTATTTATTGCAATTAGCTTCAGAACTGTCGGAGTTGCCAACGAATAGTATGGAACTGACAGCGTCATGGCTAGCGGCGGCCGGAGTCAGAATCACTGGCGGAGAATTGACTCGCGTCACTAGAAACAAGTGCGCTTCTGGGCCTGCGCCTCTTATTGACGATGCCACTGTTCCAAGAAGCGACTTTTCAGAAGTAAGTTAATTTATATAAATCACCAGCCTATTAATGACCCTACTGCTGGGCAACAGGTTATTTATATATATCTTTGTGCATATTTAAAAATTTTCAAAAAAGGAATGAAATTATTTATTGACCCTATAACATTGACAAATAAAAAAGAATAAATAAAAACACAGAATAAGGTCAACTAAGTCCCTGCCTCAGCACAATGCCACAACGACACCAAGGCCGCTGCGGCGCTGATATTCTGGCAGGGCCTAAGATTGACGTGAATAAAAATAAAAAGTAATAAACGACACAATCACGATTAACAATGTAAGTAAAAAAGAAAAAAATGAAAAGGCTGAGATTTTTTTTTCCTTTGCCTTAACACTAACAACAATAAAATAATTAGAAAATAAAATTTATAGTCTCTAGCAGTGTTGCCAGGTCTCCAGATTTTACAGGAGATCTCCTGTTTTTCTGAACTAATAACTATTTCTCTTAGTCTTGCTATAGCTCCACTGAGTAGGATGCAGGCGGGCATTGCGAGGATTTTGACCTATGTCTTTAGCCGCATCAGATGTCTCAGCAACAGGATTCCAATTTTAATTAAGATGAACTGAATTATTGGAAATTCACATGCTATTCTTACTATCAATCTGACTAGCACGGTAATAGTGTATCATTCAAACGTGTCAATTGTAACTAAAGCTGAGACTGTTATTTTCTTTGCGTAAACAAAAGAATGTGACAACACGTGACTGAATGAAGTATTAAAGTAATTTTATTAAGTACGGCTATTAGGCTTGCATTTTTTCGATATTTTAGTTGGACTCAGTAGTACCTAAAGAAATCCCCTCGTCTCGTCCGTTTCCATTGAATCTATCGTCTCGTCTCACCATAGCTTTTCTACAGGCATGGCTTTGGCGCTTGGTAGCCGTAGGCGCTAACGGCACCGCCATTGTATCGGGCAGGGCTTCCGACACCATCAGCCGGTTCGAGGCGGCCGCCACCTGCGTGTCTAGGTCGGGGCTGGCACACTCTGCGCCCGGCGTGCTGCAGGTATACTACATTATACGCGGGCTATAGCTGCACACATGCTGACACACAGCCATTGTATCGGGCAGGGCTTTCGATACCATCAGCTAGTTCGAGGCGGTCACCACCTGCGTGTCTAGAACGGGGCTGACACACTCTGCGCCCGGCGTGCTGCAGGTATACTACATTATACGCAGGCTATAGCTGCACACATGCTGACACGCAACCAGAGTATCGGGCAGAACTATACTATCAGCCGGTTCGAGGCGGAGATCACTTGCGTCTCTAGGAACGGGCTGGCACACCCTGTGCTCGGCGTGCTGCAGGTATACTAGACTACACGCGGGCTATAGCTGCACACATGCTGACACACAGCTAGTGTATCGGGCAGAACTATACTATCAGCCGGTTCGAGGTGGCCACCACTTGCGTCTCTAGGGCGGGGCTGGCACACTCTGCGCACGGCGTGCTGAAGTATACTACACTAGTCGCGGGGCTATAGCTGTACACAGTCAGTGTAGAGAAATCATCATCATCAGCCAATTAATGTCCCCACTGCTGAGGCACAGGCCTACCCTATGGATGGAATAGGGAGTTTGAGCCATGACCCACTACACGGGCCCATTGCGGATTGGTGGGTGCAACCGACTGCAGATGAAGGCGGAACCAACGGCTTAAAGTGCCTTCTGAAGCACGGAGGAGCTCGAGATAGTAAATTTTTGGTCACCCAGCCAATGACCGACCACTGTGAAAGTTGCTTAACTCCAACGATCGCAGCCGAACGCCCTAACTAGTTATGCCATGAGCTCCTCAATAGACATGTAGAGGAATACAGAATGTGGAGGAATAGGCTGTATATAAAATTAATTCATGCTTTTTTCTTCAGGACTTTAGTATCCATTAAACATCTAGGGGTTTTTTCAAAAGGAATAAAACTCCAGAAAACCTTCGTGGACACGTAATTCGTTATTTGACAATCCCAGAGGAACCCAAAATTTATCTGGTATGGTAATAAACTATCTGAGTCCTCCAAATCCATTCGGCCCTATTGTGTCCGATTGAGCTTAGACAAACATACATAGTTTCACAAAATATCGGAACACACAGAGATGTATCTTGATATAGATACTTTGTACTTTTTCTAATAAGCTAACTATTAATATTCTACAATTTCATTTGCTTGTGCAGGTATTCCGCGAGTTCTTCATCCACGCCGACAGCCCGAGGAGACTAAAGCAAGGGGACTCGACTATCATCCGTTATCGGCTTTTCAACTACCTGTACGAATCTTTGAGTGTAAGTTTATACTGATCATCATCATTATCATCAGCCTATTAATGTCCCATGATCCACCACGCGGGCCCAGCGCGGATTGGTGGGTGCTGACGGCTGCAGATGCAGCCGGGACCAACGGCTTAACGTGCCTTCCGAAGCAAGGAGGAGCTCGAGATAGTAAATTTTTGGTCACCCATCCAATGACTAACCACTGCGAAAGTTGCTTAACTTCAACAATCGCAGCCGAACGAGCTTACCACTTACGCCATCGAGCTCCTCAAGTTTGCACTACCAACATTATATTGGAGCTACAGCTTTTTATGTTAAAACGGCCACCATAGCCTATAGACGCTTGCGATATCAAAAATATCCACTCGCACCTTTGCCTTTTTTTTACGGGGAGAATGCATTTAAGCACCGTCCTCGCCCACTGGGCTAGTGAGCGGGAGGGTGTGGGACTTACCCGGCTAAAGAGATAGCCGGGAATACTCCACTAAACTCCCCGGGAACTTCGCCTCGCCATAATTGAGCGGGCCACGAGCATGCGCAGGGCGCTGGCTCGCGTAGGCCTGCTCGGCGGACTCGCACCTTTGCCTACCCTAACCCAATACCCTACCTCGTGGATCCCAAGAACCTTACTCACCACCAAGAGGTAGTGTTATATAATTGTGGTTATCTGTAAGGTTACTTTCCCAGACAGGCGCTCCAATTCGAGCGGAAAATCTTCTACGCCCTTTCTTAAATTACCATACTTGGCTGATCTACACGGTTAAAGAAAAACAATGCACACAAAAAAATAATTGATCATAATTATCACTCCTTCTGAAAATCTAATCGTTCAAAGTATTCCTGTTTTAAGGATATCTATACATAATAATAAATAATAAAAACGTTTATTTGTCACAAATTACAAAAATAACTTATTGTGTTACATATAGGTGATTGTGTACCAAACAGGCCACTGCTCAGTATATGCCGAGGCAGCATGTGCCACGACACTGATTTTCAGCAGCAGCCTACTTAAATTAAATGACATTTAAGGCCACGATAATAACTTAAATTAAATGACATTTAAGGTCTTAAATAACATTTAAAATAAAAATCAAGTTTGTTTCTTAGGTTTTCACGCACATCAATCATTAAATAAAACTAGTTTAAACGGGATAATGTACGAAACTTTATTTATTTATTGACGTTTCGTAGCCTTTACAGGCTTCGTCGTCAGAATAAAACTTTTGTTTAATTTGTCGAGCTACCTTACAACTTAACACAAAATAAAGTTTCGTGCATTATCCCGTTTAAACTAGTTTTATAAAAATCAAGAATAAAAGATTTAAATACATATGTCAAATTACTGAAATCAATTGGATAAATATTGTGAAAGAAAATGAAAGCCAAAAAAAATTAAATTAAAATTTACAGCGTATGAAATGGTGCTCAAAATCAACCATGGCGTTCTAGCGACACTCATTACAACTTTTGCACATCCAATAAATATTTCCTGTATTTAACTTTAAAAGTGCAAACCGTTTCTACCCATTTAACTGCTTGACTTTCATTAGCGATATGTGCTGGTTTGATAACAAGCTGGTATCTGTGACTAGTTGATTACAAGTTACATTAAATTTTATCGCAGGTACAAATCCAAATTATGACAGACTCCCATCTAGAAGGTCCCACAGAAAGCGTAGAAGCAGCTTGCGTCAACGCACGCGCTTCCATCGCCAGACGCGTCGAGATATCAGCCAAGTCTTCTGGTGAAGCGAGACTCAGTATACGAGCAAAATCCGTGCAAGATGGCAACTGTGCTAACGGCACTATTGGAAGGACTGGAGTTAGGTAATCACTCTTCTTCAGGCTTTAGAAATCTTTTTTCAGGAATTGGCATGGATGAAAACACCATCAGACGCGTAAAGATATCAGTCAAGTTTTCTGGCTAGGTGAGTCAAGACGGCATCCCGATCATATCTGAGCAAGATGGCAACTGTGCTAACAGCGCTATTGGAAGGATTGGAATTAGATTCCTTATCCTGTTTGACTCTTCAGAAATCTATTGCTGGTGATAACACAGAATTTGAATAGAGCGGAACAAGGTATTCGTGCTTTGTTTAAAAGTCAAAAGTTTCTTTGGAAAGACAATGCAAATTATTTATTTATTAGCTCACAAAACAAGTAACAATTAAATTTAAAAAAAAAACAAAGCAATTACAATAATGTAAAACCAAACTGTAACTCTAAACATGTGGGCATAACATGATAAAATTTTATGGGCTGAAGTTTACACAAAAGAAAAATATGTAAATCGAATTTCAACAATTAAACAACAAAAAAACACGCATAAAAGTACAAATTAACCGATTTTCTCTTTGGCAATGAAGTATTAATCGTTGGATTTCTTTCCCAAATTCAAGAAGCCGACTACAAAAAATGGCCAAGAAAGAATGATCCCTATGCAGGTTATCGTATTGATTTATCTATCCTCTGTTTCTCTAGATATTTATTATTATATAGAGGAACAGGTACAGTGACCATCAGACGCTTAATAATATCACCTATTATTATTATTTTAGATTTTTGGGGCTATGCAGTCCTAATTGGACTGTACTGCGACCTATAGGATCTATTGTAATTCACCACCAAGTTAAAGTATCTTCTTTTTATGCCCGACAGCTTTTAAGAAGCTCAGAATGTTTCTAGCTTTTAGAGATTTGATTTCCTCTGGACGTATTATATGTCGTCCCAAATTAATGCTATATTTGTGGATGAGCGGCCTAGACGCCTTGGTATTTCACGCTCCTAATTGCAATATCTGCAAACATTAGTGCCACTCAAATTCATAAATTCATATAAAATTGGTGTTCCTTGAGTTTGCAGTGTCCAGTTATGGCTCTTACGATAGCACGGATGTTCGGCCTTCTAAGTTCTATTAACTCAACAGTCCGTTTTTTCAAGTAACCTGTTACTATGTAATTAGTGATTTAGCGTGTTCTAATCCTGGTTGGTTTTACCAATATTTTTTCGATTCCCTTAGAAAGTCGTTCTTAAAAATTGCATAGCATGGTTTCTAGGGATGCCAAAGAAAGGTTCTGGTCCCATCTGTTGCCTCTGTGCCCCTGTTTTTGCTAATTCATCAGCTTAAGATATCAGCTAAGTCTTTTGTTGAGGCGACACGAGACGGTTTCCAGGCCAAATCTATGTAAGATACCAATTGTGCTAATTGCTTATTGAACGAAGTCCAGAACGAGTTGTGATGGCGCGATTACACTCGGTTTTTAGTTCGAAATCCAGCCCGTATTCCAGTGTAAATATTGCTTCGGGTGCCCGAATTCGAGTAATGTCTTTCGTACATACGGGCTAATGACCAAATGTAATTGAGCCATTCGAAATCGTACCTACATACATACATGAACCCTGAAAACATAACAGTCTTTTTCGAGCAGTCGTGTAAACTCGATTGAACAAAAATCTAAATAGTAAGTAAATGTGTTCTTTTGTTTACAGCGACGAGGTGATCATTCAAATATCCATTGAACCTGAAGGCGTACTTCAGCAGGAACACAAGTCGATACTGCTTTGTGGGAGAGGTGAATCTTGTACTAACACTTTACTTAAAATTCAAAGACAAGGAATAATTATAGGTATTTACAAGGAAAGATATGGACCTACATAAAATCGAAGAAGTAGGAACCTACATTATAGTACGTAATTATGAATTATATTAACAAAATGTGAAGAAGTGGCGCTGTCTTGCTGGCTTTAATATACTAGAAACAATTCGACTAATCCATTATGATCTCGGTATAAGTCGCGGCATGAAACTCTAGCGCTGACCGTTATTGCGCTGAAGTAAAAATTAAGATGTCTTAGGGGGAAACGAGGTGCGCGGGCGGGCGTGCGTTGAGCCGATTGGTTCTCCAGTCGTACCTATGCGCAGCTATCTTCTCCGCGTTTTGTTCAACGCTAGAATTACCTGTAGCTAGTTTTATGTATTCGCTTGGATAGCAAAAATCGCTAATTCGAATCCAGCCTGACGACTGAGATACAAAATACAAAAACATTAGTGAGATAGAAAAACATTAAAAGATATGAAATCTTTTAATGTTTTTGTATCTCACTACTGACGAACTCGATGGCGCAAGTAGTTAGCGCGTTCGGCTGCGATCGTTGAATTTAAGCAACTTTCGCAGTGGTCGGTCATTGGATGGGTGACCAAAAATCTTCTATCTCGAGTTCCTCCGTACTTCAGAAGGCACGCTAAGCCGTTTATCCCGGCTGCATCTGCAGTCGTTAGCACTCGCCAATCCGCATTGGGCCCGCGTGGTGGGTCATGGCCCTATCTCCCTATTCCATCCATAGGGAAGGTCTGTGCCCCAGCAGTTGGGACATTAATAGGCTGATGATGATGATGATGATGATGATGTATCTCACTAAAGAAAAAAGCAACTCTAAAAGTATCCTTGCTGGTACTTTCCGATTATATAAAATAATATTCACAGGTAGTCCCGAAGCCAGTAGTTCAGAAATCACATGGTCGTTCCCTGCCGTGGAAGCAGTTCCTGGCACAGAGTCGTTGACAGTGTGGGCTTCCGGTGACCTCACTGGACCATTGCTTGCTGTAAGTTTTGTAAATGCTTTTAAATCGTGTATCGTGACGTCATTATCTATGATCCGATTTTGAAAGCTCGCTCGATGAATGCGGGTCAAAAACTTCAAATTTTAGAAAGAAAGAAAGTAATATTTTTCTCACCTTCACAAAATGAAATTTAAAAATGAAAACAAATTTTAGAGACATTATTTCACAGCCACGCCAGCTGGTGTCGTGATGTCTCTTGAAACCCCTCATTTCAACTTCAATCACGATGCATTTTAGTTTGTAATTTAAAATGGCGGGCACATGCGATTTTGTCCGGGTTAACTTTAGTTTTTGAGAATACCACAGGAACCTAACATTTTTCTTTGATAAAAATATTCTGTTTCTCAACCCACGTCGTAAACTATATGCGTACCAATCTCATTCAGATGAGTTCAGTAGTTTTTCGTGATAACGTTACAAACATAAACACGTTCACATTTATATTATTTGTAGGAAGTAGAATTAATAGTGCGGAGCCAACTTAATGGTGACTGTGCAGTTACAGCAAGTCATCTATGAACTGAAACCTCATGCCATAAAGGTTGAAATGCACTATACTTCAAAATCAATAAAAGTACATCATTCATTCATTTTAACGATTATCATATACTTTTAACTCTTCCCAAATCCAATTAAAGTTTACCTTTAACACTGAATTTTCCGTAGGATTCGGACGCGTTAGTGACATTACCCCGAGGCTGTGGGGAACAGAACATGGCGCGACTGGCCACCAACCTGCTCGCGCTCACGCAACTACGGAACGATTCTTCGGCCGCCACTATCGCCGCCTCACACTTGGCACGAGGTCAGACGCATTTACATAGATATATATATCCCAGTGTTCTCGTAGCATTCGGACGTGTTAGTGACAATGGAACAGAACATGATGCGACTGGCTAAAACCTGTTGGCGCTCACACAACTGCGGATCGATTCTTCAGCCGCTACTATCGCCGCCTCACACTTGGCACGAGGTCAGATGCATTAACATAGATATATCCCAGTGTTCTCTCAGCATTCGGACGTGTTAGTGACAATGGAAACGGAACATGGCGCGACTGGCCACCAACTTGCTGGGGCTATCACAATTGCGGGACGATACTTCAGCCGCCACTATCGCCGCCTCACACTTGGCACGAGGTCAGACGCATTTACATAGATATAGTCTACTGTTATCGTAGCATTCGGACGTGTTAGTGACAATGGAACAGAACATGGTGCGACTGGCTAAAACCTGCTGGTGCTTACACAACTGCGGAATGATTCTTCAGCCGCCACTATCGCCGCCTCACACTTGGCACGAGGTCAGATGCATTTACATAGATATAGCCCAGTGTTATCGTAACATTCGGACTAGTTAGTGACAATAAAACAGAACATGGTGCGACTGGCTAAAACTTGCTGGTGCTTACACAACTGCGGAATGATACTTCAGCCGCCACTATCGCCGCCTCACACTTGGCACGAGGTCAGACGCATTAACATAGATATATCCCAGTGTTCTCGCAGCATTCGGACGTGTTAGTGACAATGGAACAGAACATGATGCGACTGGCCACCAAATTGCTGGGGCTATCACAACTGCGGAATGATACTTCAGCCGCCACTATCGCCGCCTCACACTTGGCACGAGGTTAGTAGCATTTACATAGATGTATCAAAGTGTTATCATAGCATTCGGGCGTGTTAGTGACAATGGAACAGAACATGGTGCGACTGGCTAAAACCTGCTGGTGCTTACACAACTGCGGAATGATTCTTCAGCCGCCACTATCGCCGCCTCACACTTGGCACGAGGTCAGACGCATTAACATAGATATATCCCAGTGTTTTCGCAGCATTCGGGCGTGTTAGTGACAACGGAACAGAACATGATGCGACTGGCCACCAACTTGCTGTGGCTATCACAACTGCGGAATGATACTTCAGCCGCTACTATCGCCGCCTCACACTTGGCACGAGGTCAGTAGCATTTACATAGATGTATCCCAGTGTTATCGTAGCATTCGGACGTATTAGTGACAATGGAACAGAAGATGGTGCGACTGGCCACCAACTTGCTGGGGCTATCACAACTGCGGAATGATTCTTAAGCCGCCACTATCGCCGCCTCACACTTGGCACGAGGTCAGACACATTTAGATATAGCCTACTGTTATCGTAGCATTCGGACGTGTTAGTGACAATGGAATAGATCATGGCGCGACTAGCCACAACCTGCTGCTCACATAACTGCAGAACAATTCTTCAGCCGCCACTATCGCCGCCTCACACTTGGCCCGGGGTCAGACTCATTTACATAGATATAGCCCAGTGTTATCGTAGCATTCGGACGTGTTAGTGACAATGGAACAGAACACGGTGCGACTGGCTAAAATCTGCTGGTACTCACACTTGGCCCAAGGTCAGACGCATTAACATAGATATATCCTAGTGTTCTCGCAGCATTCGAACGTGTTAGTGACAATGGAACAGAACATGGCACGACTGGCCACAACCTGCTGGTGCTCACACAACAACAGAACGACATTTCAGCCTCCACTATCATCGCCTCACTCTTGGCCCGAGGTCAGACGCATATAGATATAACCTAGTGTTATCGTAGCATTCGGACGCCATTACTATGGCGTCAAGAAGAGTAACACTGTCGAGCTCTGGAGGATGCGGAGAACAGAACATCAGCCATCAGACTGCTTTTATTCAGTCTCTGGAAAGGCATAAAGCCTTCCTCGCCATCGCGAGTTGGAAAGAAGATATTTGAGGATCCACCTTTTTAGGAACGAAATTAATGAGTGGGGTCCATAGACATATACAGATTAGTGATGTAACGAATATTCGCGAATATTCGCATATTTTTGAATAGTCGCATTCACATTCGCATTCGCAAATTCTCTGCGAATGTTTTGCGAATATGAATATTAGAAAAAAACAATTTGAAGTAGTTGTAGTTCTGCCATTCCTTGAATATTCATTGTTACACAGTTTGCATTTAGCTCGTTCAGCATCGCAAAGTGTGAAATAAGTCCATGTTTCACTAGAATTCGATTTACTCATGTTAATAAATCAGTATTATTGCTCACAATCACTAACCTCAAAATTCACTTGTTTTATTTACGGAAAGACCGGTGCGAGCGGAATGACACTTCAGTCGGATGAGTTCATATCAACTCGGCAATTCGAACGAGACTGCCACCATGCCATAGACAATTGGAGCCAATTTAAAAAAAAAACTAAATATTCGCATTCGCATTCGCGAATGTCGGTACCAGACATGGTACCAAGGTAATGTTCAAAAAATGACATTCGTTACATCACTAATACAGATTGGATCAAGTAGGTATGTAAGATAATTTCAAACGCAAACTACTATCCGGTTGATCGAATCAACTTATATAAATACCGTATAATATGCGCTCTCTTTGTAGAGAATTATCAATTTCATGCACGCATTACTCAGTCCATTCTCTATGTCTACCCACTTAAACATGTGCAATAACCATAGACAATACTCTTGCACCGGTCACCCGACACGCACTCTAAGGACTAAAATAATAATAATAATAAAGTTTTATTTGTATTTCCATTACTGAGCATACAGACATGGCAAAATAAATCATGGTAAAATAAATCCGCGTGGTTTTTTTTTCTAGTTATATTTTCTTTAGATTTAAAACATCAAGCAGTTACATGCTTCAAAAAACATAATAAAACAAAATGGTTTGTGACTCAGTGACCACGGAGAACCCGCAGTCTCTGGTATTCTGTCACAACCTTTCCAAATAACGATATCGCGTCCTCCTATGAAGACACAACACAAAATCTTTATATATATAATTCTTCTGTGAGTGTGTATGTCACTGAACTTCTCTTAAACGACTGGACCGATTTTGATGAAATTTTTTGTGTGTGTTCAAGGGGATCTGAGAATGGTTTAAATTCACAATTTTGTCCGCTGGACAACCCCTATTTTTTTAGGGCGGTACGAAGTTCGCTGGGTCAGCTAGTATACGTATATATTAGTGAGGCTAAATCGATATGTAATATTTAGCGTGCGTAGCGTAGGTACATCTGTAATCTATTTAGTTCCATTAAAGTAGGTGCTATCACTTTATTTGGCTATAGCTATTGCAATCAGGTATAAAAAGTGTGAATGTCATTTCAGGCTTCACCCGTCAGTTCCAGTATTTGCATCCCCAGGGAGGCTTCAGTGCATTCGGTGGGTCTGATCCGACTCCATCTACTTGGCTTACCGCATTCTCACTTAAATATATGCGAAGGGCTCATCAGGTGGGTACCTAATAGAAACACAAAATTACATAAGATTGCTCCTGGTCTAATCCTATTTCACTACGTTTTTATATTTTCCTAATAAAAGTTACCCAAAGTACTTATTCAAAGTCGAATCTATATTTTTGTCGAAATTCAGCAAACAGTCTTAGGCCCGTATTACAAAATGACAACTAAGTGTTGATCTTTACTTGAGTACAGTTATACAGGGATGTAGCTATGTGCTATATATACCGACATCCCTTTCTAACTATGCTCAAAACTAGATCAGTCACTGAGAATCTTTCTTTAATACGGGCCTAAGAGAGAGATTTACTCAATTTCCGCGTTCGCAGACCGAACACTGCACCATCCACTGTTTGAAATTACTTTGGTATTTTTAATAATTTTATAACCGGGGGTCTACTGCGGTTTCGCCCTCATTAATTTGAGGAAAAAGGCTGTAGTGAATCAAACTTAAAAGATGTGTATATGCTGTCGCGGCCTTTTTTATACAACTTTTAAAGAGAAACAATTCCGTCATACATGATTTTGACCTTCCTCGAAAAATGGGCTATCTAACACAAAAATATTTTTTCGGTTCCTGAGATTAGCGCGTTCAACCGAACAATCAGACAAACAAACTCTTCAACTTTATAATATTAGTATAGAGATGAGTCCTAAATTTGCGTAAGAGGGCTTGCCTTTTCATTTAGACAAAATTAAATCTAAAATTTACTTCCTAATTTTAATATAACATTATAATTTTTCTCCATTAAAAAATCATAACTATAGTTGGTATGGTGGGGTGGGATCTGAATATCCCTTGTATTTTATAATCTATCCATATTTTTTTAAGTAAATCTCGTTTGTCTCCAGATATTGAACCCGGGCCTGCCTCTCCCTCCGTCTTTAGAACTGGCGTCTCGGTGGCTGCTCGCCCAACAGATGGAGAACGGCTGCTTCCGGGCGCAGGGGCAAGTCTTCCATACTGAACTAAAGGTATAACCTTTTCATATTGTTACGTGTCGGGATGGGGTTCGAATTTATATGCCAGTTCACGCTTGACAGTTCTTTATTCACCACTCAGTTCACACAATTAACACACGATGTTAATTACAAAACACTCACTAAACACTGTATTTCACTATACAAGTCACTAAACTATCGCACTGGAATACTTTTGTTGCACTTTGATCGCCTTTGGATTCGCTCCGAAATCGCTGTTGAAACTCAACTGTCACTGCGCGGCACCAATCGCGCTTATATACGCCGATCGACGCATTCTAGAAAGTACCTGTTAAATTGAGAATTACCTAGCACCCGCGAGTACGAAATACCTACTTATACCTACGCAGGTAACACGCATAACTTGTAAACAAGTGCAGATGTCATTGCACTTTCTCCCTTAAGTCGCATTGCATAAGGCTCATTTTAGAATGAGCAACATTACTCGACCTCTATCGCGACCCGCGGTGCTCTGGCAAATTCGATCTCTAGCACATTCGCGGTTCCGTTTCGAGAGCGTTTGTGACAATATTTTAAGAATACATTAAGTGATGAAAAAACATGTGCCCCGGTCACCTTTGAGAGCGCTTAAATAGAGTGTTCCACAAAAGGCAGCAGCAAGGCTGTCTCACTGCCATTATTGATGTCTTGTGACGGTGACGGTGATTATTTAACGTCAGGTGATCCGTCTGCTCGTCTGCCTTCGAAAGCAATAAAAAACCCTGTTTCAATTTTATAGTTTTCCAGCTTCTGTATGATACTATTAAACTAAACTTGCACGAGCGCAGAACGTCAATCCCAACTTCTGCGCCATCAAACTTCTTCTTTTTTCTTACTTCATAAAAAACAATTTTCAGGGCGGCCTGAACGAAGAAGGGGAAATTGCAAGCGTAGCTCTCACAGCGTTCGTAATCACATCGCTACTAGAAAGCTCCGCCCCAATATCAGCGCGGGTACTCCACAACACTTTATCCTGCCTCAGGGCTCTGCCCCCGGGCAAAGCCAGGGTTCCCAGCAGGGTCTACGCTCAGGCACTCCTTGGGTACGCGTTCATGAAGATCAGAGCTTACGAGGATGAGATCAGAAAGGTGAGTACTCGTTTTATAAACCTAAATTTCCTCTCCGTCCGGGCAACACTATGGAGACAGTTCACTTATTCGTGTTCTATCACTAATTATTCGCTATTAGTAGAATTTCAAGTAAAGTGACTAAATTTTGTGATTAATTTACTAGGAAAACTTCCGATTCCGATCCGGAAGGTGTTTATAAGAAGAAACGGACTGCCAAATGGGTAAACAATATATAAATTATACTATATTTATTTACCCTCAGCAGGAAGCGTTTTAAAGTACCCTCAACATTGAAGGTTTTAGGGTTGTCAGAATCAATTTGACGTCCAACTTTATCCAAACGCCAGAATTTGAGTTGCCAGCTTATGAAGATCTCCTCAGTATTGGGAAAAAGCAAATGATTGAGTTGACTGTTTAACTGTTGAGTGTGGTCTTAGCTGTCGCCTACCAAATCAATACTAATTCGTGACGTAAATAATCATCGCACTTAACTAACTGCTCCGTTCGGCAGCTGCGAAGTCTACAACTAATCAATCTGCTTTGTAACTACAGGCGTTGGGTTCTATTACACTGCGGGTTTTCGACTCATACATTAACCGTAGTAAAAGATGCCTAATCTAGCACGATCACCACCACTTAACAAATCACATAGCATGTCTGATTCTGACGTCGCAAAATCGAGCAATCCCTTACTTGATGAATCTAAAATTATGCAGAGAGATAGTAAGCGGCGGCGATTATCGGATACGGTTACGGAAATTGAACATGATAATATTCTAACAATCATTCGAGAGGAGCTTCGTGATATGTTATGTTCTCTCCAAACTCAGCAAAATACACGATTGGATGCCTTTGAGCAGCATTTTTCAGAAATAAAGGGCCAAGAGGGCGATATAAAGAAAATAAATACATTACTCTTAGAAATCAAAAATACCAACATAAGCATTGAAGGTACAATGTCCTTCCTTGCGTCACAAAATGATGACCTGAAAAATAAAATAGAACACCTGGAAATGCAAAACAAAAAGAATATTGAACATATAACAATTCTGGAGGAAAAACTTGAAGATATTCAGCGGGAGAAACGCAAGGCTAACATAGAAATAAAGAATGTACCCAAAATGACAGAAGAAACCAGAGAAACCTTGGTAGAAATGGTGACAAATCTATCAAAGACTTTAGGATGCAAGCTCGATGAAGGACATATCACAGACATCTACAGGTTAAAAGCTAAAAGAGGAACAAATGGAAACTCGCCAATTATAGTCGAAACCTCATCGTCAATGTTAAAAACGGAACTTTTGACACTATGTAAGGCATTTAATCGTAAAACTAAACCAAAGCTATGTGCAAAACACCTTGGTCTTAAAAAAAGCGAAGATACACCTATATTCGTTTCGGAACACCTGACCATCAAGGGCACTCGATTATTCTTTTTAGCACGGGAACTCGCCAAAACTAACACCTTCAAATATTGCTGGACTGCGTATGGACGGGTGTACCTGCGAGAGCACAACACGTCCCCCATAATTACTGTGAAAAGTGAATCCCAAATAAACGGCCTGATGCAGAAGAAGAAAATATGACTAGATATTATGCTTTCTGTGGAATGCATCAAACAATCCATTGTACCTATTATGTTTAAAAATATTATTTTAAATTTTGTAATAACCTCCAATATGTTGATATTATGTATAGTCGACACACTTAAAGATAATGACCACACACCAAACACAATCTCACACATAATACACTATCACACATATCTTATAAATATACACTTACCTTATCAAGCAAAATGCAAAACTAAGTGTTTTATAGTTTGCATAATTGGTTTTCAGACTCAAAAAAGTACAGAACTGTCTTTCAGCTCTTTTCTTGTTAGTGTTAATGGATAGCTCTCTCGTTAATTTGGAAGTAATAGACGAAATCCAAGTTGCGAAATCAAGAATAGATTCTATAAATAACTTCTCTAAAATATATAAATATAATGAAAACAAAGACTTTACCATAATCGCACAAAATATCCGTAGTATATATAAGAATTTTGATGGGTTAAGCGTCTCTCTATATAAGTTAAACTTCGAAGTTGATTTACTTGTTCTAACTGAATGTAGACTTGACGTTAATAAACAAACACCCCAATTAGAACAATATACGTCGTTCTCGACTACCAAGCATATAAACCGATGTGACGGAGTTACTGTTTATTTAAAAAGGAAATACAAAAGTAGCATCGAGGAAGTTGAATTAAAAGACGCATCATGTGTGCAAATCACATTAGCCACATGCACAATTTTGTGTATTTATCGATCTCCTTCTAATAATAATGGCGAAAGATTTATAAATGCCTTAAACTCACATTTGGAATGTATTAAAATGCACCGGAACATCATTATTACTGGTGATATAAATATAAATATTAATATCACAGAAAAACATACCGAAAATACTTACGAACGCAAGAATAGGCTAACATATCTTGATATGCTTGCTTCACACGGACTCTTACCAGGTCATGACTTACCGACACGGGAGCACAGTTGCTTAGACCACTTTATGTTGAAATTGGAAAGCAATATACACACTGCATCTATTACTGTTTTTGATAGCACAGTAACTGATCATCGTATGATATTCTTAAATTTAACTAACAAAAGTAAGCTTAACGTAAAGGAATCAAAGTATAAGATAGTTACAAATTATGATAAAGCTATTCGGAGTCTAAAGGAAAGCAACTTAACTAGTCTGCTTCTTTGTGACAACCCTACAGAATTAACTAACATCCTAATTGCTAAATTACAACAATGTTTGATAACTAACTCAACAAAAAAATGCATTTCATCTAAGAATCGTATAATCAAACCTTGGATTACACCAGGTATTCTAAAATGCATCCGTAACCGGAATAATATGCAGCGAAAGTTACGAACTGACCCATATAACGATATTTTAAAAATAACTTACAGAAGGTATCGTAACTTTTGTAATAGCCTAATCAGAAAATTAAAAATAATCTATGAACGGGAACTTTTAGCTAACAACAAAAACAATCCAAGAACTCTGTGGCAAACAATAAACAACATAACAAACCGTAAAGCGTCAAACACAAAAAGCACGGCTTTGTTAGACATTCGAGATACCCCACAGCAGGCTGTTGACCATGCAAACACTTACTTTTCAAGTATAGGTAAAAATCTGGCTCAGAATATTTTATCAAATACCGTTTACCCACAACCCAGGATGAATAAAGAATCTATTAGCTCGCCAGTCCCGTCTTTTGCTCTTTTCGAAACTGATTCGGAAGAAGTTTACAAAACCATTATGGGACTTAATTCTGATAGTGCTCCAGGTTGGGACAATATTTCTACAAGGTTCTTAAAACTAGCTAATGAACAAGTAGTCCCCATAATAACACACCTCGCTAACCTTTGTTTTCAGCAAGGTATATTTCCCGCTGCCTTAAAGAAAGCAGTAATTACGCCTGTATATAAGAGTGGGGACGGAAAGAACATATCAAACTATCGCCCTATTTCAGTTTTAACTGCGATATCTAAAGTACTGGAAAAAATAATAAACAAAAGACTTCAAAATTATTTGGACAAAATTGATTTTTTCTCTAAATCGCAATACGGATTTAGGCAATCCCTTTCAACCGAAGACGCAGTGACAGCGTTAACAACTCGTATTGTAGAGAACGTTGACCAAGGGAAAAAGTGTATAACAGTGTTCTTGGATTTAAAAAAAGCGTTCGATACGGTCTCCGTGCCCATTCTTGTAAAGAGGTTGGAGGGCATTGGTGTGAGAGGAGTTGCTTTAGCATTACTGATAGACTACTTAAATAAACGGATACAGCACGTAAAAATAGACCATTATACAAGTACTGACTGTGACGTGACGTATGGAGTTCCACAAGGGAGTGTTTTGGGACCAACTTTATTTTTGATCTATATTAACAATCTTTGTGACATAGTGATTAATGCAGGACAAGTTTTTTCATATGCAGATGACACTGCCATTGTTTTTACAGGCGATACGTGGGAATCTGTACGTCACGCTACGGAGAAGGGTCTGGCGAAAATAGGCCTCTGGTTAAAATATAACCTTCTAACCCTTAACTTAGAAAAAACTAATTATATTGCATTCACTAATTATACTTCTTCTCAACCTAACGCTAGCTATCAAATTCGAATTCATGAGTGTTATAATCGAGAAATATCCTGTTCTTGTAGGGCTATCAACAAAGTGACTGCAACCAAATATTTAGGAGTTGTGGTTGATCAGCGGCTTTCATGGCACGCCCATTTAGAGTTAATGATGGGCAGAACGAGAAAGCTCATGGGGGTATTTAGAAAATTGAGACACATCGCCGATAAAAACCTATTAAAACTGCTGTACAACTCACTAGCTCAGTCTGTTTTGGTTTATTGTATTACGGTCTGGGGTGGTGCTGGTAAAATGAAGTTCCTGGATCTCGAAATAGCACAAAGATCACTCTTAAAAGTAATTTACTTTAAGTCCCGTAGATATCCTACAGAAAGCTTATACAAAATGAGCGACGTGCTTTCGGTTCGACAGCTTTACATTTTAAATATTATTTTAAAAATGCACAAGAGTTTGGAGTATGATCCTTCTAAAACATCAAGAAGACGCAAACATAATGTAGCTCTGACTACTGCGGTTAGAACAATGTATGCAAGGAGGCAGTATACGGTTCGATCAGGACATCTCTATAATAAAATCAACAGAATTCTAAGTATATACTCAATGAACAAATTCAATTGCAAAATAACTGTAACATCTCTACTAAAAACTTGGAATTATGATAAAACTGAGACATTCCTGGAGGGCTAGGTGTTTGGATATTATATGTTTAAATAAACATCATTATCTTTTGCATTTTGGTGTTATATAGGTATCTCAGTAGAACCACTTTCAACAATACACTCTTTGTTCAGACACAAATACACGCGCACACACACGTACACGTACACTCACACACTCATACACCCACATACAAGCATGCATAAGCACAGACAAACAAATCGACTAAAAGAAATATTGTAAAAAAAAAAAAAATTTTTTTTGCTATTTTTTAGATTTTATATCATTCTTATTAAAATATTAAGGTGATCAATAATTCAATGTACTATGTCTTTTAGCACGGAGAGCGGGAATTTCTAATACAAGTATATATTTACTTAAAAGAAATTCCCAATCGCAATACTGTATCGGAAATTATTGTATCAAATAAAGAATTTGTATTTTGTATTTGTAAATATCTTTAATGCTCAGAAATTGTCCAATTACCAAATCTCCAAATACAAAACGGCAATTTACTAATCCCAGGAAGTTCACTTCTAAAAATGTTCATATCCCAGTGTCTTAGATATCTTTCTATGTCAAAGTTAAAAGAATGATGAATCTTCAGACCTAGTTACAAGACAAGGAATTTGACCATGACCCACCACGCAAGCTCAGTATGGCTACGACTGCAGATGCAGGTAGGATGCAGGTGGAACCAAAGCCTTAACAAACCTTCCGAAACCCTATGACCGGCCATTTTTAATAACTTAAAAGGGTAGCAAACGACCATAATTAAGACTCGCCTGATGGTACGCGGCCAACATAGTCTATGGGCGACACTGCGAAACTAAAAATATCATTCGCTCCGTTGCCTACTCTGACCCAATCCTTACCCCACGATCCCAGACCATACTGCACTACGGAACTTCGTGATCCCTCAATCTATAAGTCAAATTACATTTAATTTAAGAATGTATAACTTCCACCTACATAGACCAACGAAGCAAGTCTCCTATGGGAGAGGCGGGAAGCAATCGGCGGCGGCCTAAAGGAAGACGAAGAGTTGAGGGAATTGATGGAACTGCTGAAACTTGCGCGTCGCACCGGAGATTACGTCTACTGGGAGACTAGTGAGTTTAATGATTAGTAAATGTTAATACATATAGACACGTATGATGCACAGTGATGAAAAATTAATACAAAAAACTTGCATGCGTCACTTTTCTAGAGGTCTAAAATGGCGATAATTAAGGACGAAGAATCTTATACCAGAACTTTGAGTAATAAATGGGTTTTGTGTAAAGAATATTTCTGCATTTTTTGAACATTTAAAAATTAACTTTGAATGTTCATATTTTTTTATGTGCGAGATTACTTGTTCAGGGTTTTATTTAGCTTCAGGTGTTTTAGCAAAAATTCTGCAGTCATACACATTTTACCACTTTGGATGTCGTATAAATTATTCAGTTTAGAAAAAAATATATTAGACTCAATATAATTTTTGAAGACCTATCCATAGATACCCCATACGTATGGGTTTGATGAAAAAATATTTTTTGAGTTTCAGTTCTAAGAAGAAATATTCTAGAAAAAATATTTTTTCTTGGGGTACGCCCAAAAATTTTTTGTTCTTTTTCTATTTTTGTGTGAAAACCTTAATGCGGTTCACACAATACATCTACTTACCAAGTTTTAACAGTACAGTTCTTATAGTTTCGAAAAAAAGTGACTATGACATACGAACGGACAGACAGACATGACGAATCCATAAGGGTTCCGCTTTTTCTGCCATATGGCTACGGAACCATAAAAACGTATTTATTGCTGTCTCCACAGGCAGTCTGTCATCATCGATAGAAGCGACAGGATACGCGCTGATGGCGCTATCATCATGCGGTGCCCGATGTGCTTCTGACGCGCGCGCCTGCGTGCGCTGGCTCAGCGCGCACCGCCACGCCGCCGGGGGCTTCCTGTCCACGCAGGTCCATACATTAAAACATCCTTTCCTTACTAATATTATAAAGGCGAAAGTTTGTTTGGATGGATGGATGTTTGTTCCTCTTTCACGCAAAAACTACTAAACGGATTTTAATGAAACTTTACAGTAATGTAGCTTATAGATCAGAATAACACATAGGCTATAATTTATAAAGATATTGTGTGAATTGTCCAAAATATAACGATAAATGTCATTTAAGTCTGAAAAAATTCTGCAATCTGCGAGCTATTCAGGCGTGTGCTGCAAAAACAGTTAGTGCTACATGTATATAATGTATGGTGAAAATATTTATCTTAAATAGTCCTACAAAAAATTCTGCGACACCATATATATCTATCTTTTATGAGTAATATAATATAAAACTCAAAGGTGACTGACTGACATAGTGATCTATCAACGCACAGCCCAAACCACTGGACGGATCAGGCTGAAATTTGGCATGCAGGTAGATGTTATGACGTAGGCATCCGCTAAGAAATGATTTTGATCAATTCTACCCCCAAAGGGATAAAATAGGGAATGAAAGTTTGTATGAAACTTTGTCAATTTTAAACCGATCGGGCTGAGACTTTGCATGCAGGTATAAGAAGAATCATAGATGAATGTCATTGTGTTTAATACAAGCCTGAGAACAAAAACTGTCTACACTTCAGCTCTACACCGAAGCGAAGCGAGGGCGGGTCGCTAGTCATAAATAAATCGGCTAACTAGAGCCCAGGTCCGAGTCTCAGAGACGCCCTCTAGTTGAGCCGCCCCCTCAGGCCTTCCATACGAATGGAAAAGCAAGTTTTGACCATAATCCTCCACCGCTACATGATTGGTGGGTGCTAACGACTGGAAATGCAGCCGGGGCCAACGGCTGAATATGCCTTCCAAAACATGGAGGAGGATTGTGTTTTTAAAATAGCTATCTGCACCATTACGACTATAAGAATAGTATAATGTTTTTTAATTTATTCCCCCACGACAACGGCTAACTAGAGCCGAGGTCCGAGTCTCAGAGACGCCCTCTAGTTGAGCCGACCCCCTCAGGTTCGAGTGGTCTAGAGGCTCCAGACGGAGAGGAGACGCCCCCGTGGGGCGATGCCATCCGTCTGGAATTCCTCTAGAGCAGTGGTTCTCAAACTTTTTAAATGACGGAACCCTTTTGGGAAGCAAAATACTTGATGGAACCCTACAATAAAACAATTATTTTTATAAGTGTATTCTATATTAATCAGCATAATAAAAGTACAATGTATCCGTTACTAATTATTATTTACTTCACCACTTGGTAAGGACAATAATAGAAAACATTAAAAAAGAAAAAATCTAACTAGTGGGAGGTATGAAACTGTTTTTTATTTTTCATCAATTGCTTGATATCAGGTTTGATGGAAGAAAGTTGGAGTCTCATATCAGCTTCGGCGTCCAGTCTATTGCGATATTTTGTTTTCGTGGCTGCGTAGGTAGAGAATCCTGTTTCGCACAAATATGTAGTTGGGAACGGGAGAAGAATATCCAGAGCCATTTGGCCAAGCATTGCATATTCATCTTGGATTCTGCACCAAAAATCATTAAGAGGCGTCGTTTTGAACAATGACTCCATACTTGTGTCTGATGACATTTCTAAAAGAGATTCATATATCTCATTTGACATGTTTTCAGGCTTTTCCAAGTTGGGTAAAAAAGGATTATGAATCCAGGAGTTCACTTTAATTTTTGTATTGTGTTCTTCGGGAAAATACTTTTCAAAAGATGCGCGCATCGAACTGAGATATTGGACCAATTCTTCAAACACATTATCTTCAAACATTTCTGAGTCGTTTTCGCTAACAAACTCAGTGAGTAACGTAAAACTTTCTATTTCTTTCTTACCAATGCAAATGATCCAAAAATCTAATTTTCTTTTAAAAGTAGTTATTTTATTATAGGCCTGAAACACTGTTGTCTGTTTACCTTGCAATGATAAATTTAATTCGTTAAGTTTTTGAAAGATATCCGCCATAAAAGACAATCGGAACAACCAAGTTTTATCATACAAACGGTCCTTCAAATTAAAAGAAGTATCTGCTGAAAGAAACATTTGTAACTCGGCTCTAAGTTCAAATAGCCTTGTTAAAGTTTTTCCCCGAGACAGCCATCGCACTTCTGTATGGAGCAGCAGTGTTTTATGTTTGCTGCCATAATCTTCACACAATAATGAGAACAATCGGGATTGTAGTGGTCGTGATTTGATAAAATTAATTATTTTTACCGCTTCATCCATAACTAATTTTAGATTAGACGGCATTTGCTTCATCGCAAGTGCTTGTCTATGCAGAATACAATGACTGGAACTACAATTAGGCGCTTTATTTTTCATTCGTGACACTGCTCCTGCTGTTTTACCTGTCATCGCCTTGGCCCCATCTGTACAAATGTCAATGCAATTGTTCCAACTGAGATTATGTTCTTCAATAAATATATTTATTTTATTAAAAATTTCTTCCCCGGTAGTGTTTGTAAGCAGCGATGAACACATAAGCATGTCTTCTTCAAAAGAACTTTTATATGGATATCTCACAATAACCAGCAGGATAGCCAAACCAGCGACATCAGTCGACTCGTCCATTTGCAAAGCGAATCGTGTATTTTGTAGACGTGTAACTAGTTCTTGTTTGACGTAGCTTGCCAGATCATGGATTCGTCGTGAAACAGTATCGTTTGATAGCGGAACAGTAGAAAGATGCTTTGCAGATTTTTCATCAAGCATACATTTTGTTATGTCTAATACACATGGTTTTATTAATTTCTCAGCGATAGTGTGCGCTTCACCTGCTTGTGCAATGCGATAGCTAACTAAGTATGATGCCTCCGTGGCCTTTTCGTTGGTAGTTTGTGTTACATGCATCATATTTTTTTGACTTTCTAATAACTGATCTTTTTTGCGAACAAAAAATTCTTTATTCTTGTCTTTAGTCTCGGGGTGTACGGTTTCTAAATGTCGACGCAATTTGGCAGGTGCCATGGAACTATTAGGAAGCAGTTTACTACAGAGCATGCAGAGAGGTGAGCCGTTGGAATCAACAAATCCGAAACTGATATAAGATTCATCATACTTCCTTTTTTTCGTCTTTGAAACCGTCGAGCTTGACGTCGTGGCACTCGTGGCATCATCTTCTGGATCGGTGATTGCTAAATTCTCCGCGCGCATTGCTTTTGAACATTCAGCGTCATTAGAAGATGTTGTTGGAACACGTTTAACACCTTTAAGCCAACGTTCCATTCTTCTTTATTTATAATGTTACAAGTCAGGATAGTGGGGTTTAAATAATGCACAATCGTTACTGCGTATAAGAGACTAAATTTAGAACCTACAGGGAAGAAATGTATAAAACTGAGACAACAGAATACAGCAGGCAGTAAAACAATGAACACCAGTTTCTCGCTAGCGAGCTTGTAAGTAGGTAGTAACTTATCGCTCCGAACGCTAATCATCAACTGACGACGCCAACGCGCGATCGCCGCTTTTATACTTAGTCCTAGACTCGATCTCAAATATTCTCGAAAATACTCGAGTCGGCACCTTTGATAAACAAAAAGCAAAAATAAAAACAGAAATTTAAAAATAGCGTTGTAAACAATATCGACTTTATCCTTTGAAGTTAGAGACGAAAGTCGCTAGTTGACAACTATAGCGTCTAATTCAGAGGCGGCTTTTATCAAAGAGACTGAGCGCTTACAAGTATACTACCCGCTCGTTTTAAGTTTGCCGCTGGCGATAGGTATGAGTGTATGACGTTCGAAATTTTTTATTTAATTGTAACAATAAAAATTGTGTACGTTAGATATTTGGGTAAAACTATGACACATTATAAGTTTTGTTGTCACGTGGGGGAGGGTACGCGCATTCCACAGACCGGCAAACTTAGAGCGAACGCGTTGTACAAGTATAAAATTGTTGAGACCAAACTTATGAGATATTGTACCAGCTAATGTAACACAAGCTTATACAAATACAAATAAATAAATAAATAACATTCATAGCGTTTTGTCTCCGCGCGGCCGCGGAGTCCGCACAGCCGCGGAGCGACCAGAGAGAGGTGTTTTGATTTTTTTATTTCTAAATTCTTGCGGAACCCCGACAGAGGTATCACGGAACCCTAGGGTTCCGCGGAACACACTTAGAGTATAGCTGCTCTAGAGGCACTCGCCAATTCTCGGCTTGCGGTCCCCTTAGGATCTCGCCATCCCCAAACCCGGTGACGCTGTAAAGGTCATCTGCGACTAACAGCATACACACTCAAATATATATATATATTTCTCCCCTCAACCAAATCTCAGAAAATTTAGCCTGCACCCTTGCATGCCATAGACGTACCGCACCACAAGCAACATAAATAAAATTGGTCCATCGAACTGGATCTCAACCAACGACCTATACAACAACAGCGGCTTCGCTAGTGCGGCGAGTGCGGGGGAGTGCCAACAGCATGCTAGATGTGCTAACAGACTTGACTGCCCATATATCAACCACTGCTGTAGACATTGCACACTGTGGCAGAGCAGTTTGATTACTTTTTTTTTTTAATGTTTAGGGACTTTTGGACCTAAATGTCCATACCAGCCCCGTTTGATTACATTGTGTTGTATTACTTTAGTTTTATAAGTATTCTTTAATTTTATTGACATATTTTAAATGTTTCAATTTTGATATTAGAGAATGTGCGAAAATAATTTTAATTTAATAAATCAATAAATTGTGGGTTACCTACAATGCGAAGAGATGGCGCTGCCTTGCAGCTTTAGAAAGGTTATAAAGAATTCGACACGGCCATTATGGCCGCGCCGCGGTAGCATAATTGGTCAGTGCATTCACGCGATAGCGAGTTCGAGTCCCTCTGCCTGCTACCTGGTCCGCGTGGATTTTTTTCTAGTAATATTTTCTTTATAATATGAGCCTTTGTTACTTGATATAAAGTTATTAATAAATATATATGTACAATCCACTTAATCTTACATGCTGAACGATTCTCAGGTAGTAGATTGGCCAGATGATCATCTGGTGACGGTGGGCATGGTAAGCATCCGGATGTAGGCAACTCAAAACTGATCAAAGTCCAGCATTAGACGTCATTGGCTGTCTTTAAGATGGCACACTATAACTTTACCTGCGGAGTTTACAGAGCATTATAAGATTAATTTATTGGGTCTAATAAATCCAGAACCTCAGAAGTTTTTCCACCACGGAAGTAGTTGCCATCGGCCTTTATCGCTACATTTCCTTAATTTATTTCGCTAGGCTTTTTTGTCTTTCTAATTGCTAACGTAACTATAATATCTCCAATATTCGACTAACTCGATAGTAAAGTAACGTAGACCAACGAATTTTATATTTGAACAGGACACTCTAGTGGCATTAGAAGCTTTATCGATGTGGTCAGCAGTACAACCATCCACACCACCAAGTCTCAACGTGAGGGTCCGCAGCAAAGGCGACTTGAAGACAGCGTTCATACAAGCTGGAGAGAAGGTGCCTCAAGTCATGAAGATGACACCTGGAGACCAGCTCGATGTGTCTGTGGAAGGTCAGTTTATTTGTTAGTAGTTAATTAGGAATTGGTGATGATATAACCGTCCATATTTCCGAGTCTCAATGTGAATGTAAGAAGCAAAGTCGCCATAAAATCAGTGTAGGTAGCTAAACCCCCTTTCATACAAGCTGGGGAGAGGATGCCTCGACTCATGAGGATGACACCTGGCCACCAGCTCCGTATCTCATATATATATATATATACGTCGAGCTTCAAATGTTTGCAACTGAACTCCACTTACACTTTACATCAAGTGGGGTGGGGTAATTTGTTGCGCCTCAAATAAAAAAGAAAATGTATAGGTCTGCTAACAATGTACACACGCCATGTATACTGGGCAAAGTAGCCAGAAAGAGAGAGAACGATTTCCAGACTGCAGCGTTCATACACAGTCAGTCGTACCATATCCTGTTTGGGGTAGAGTCATTTGCCTACCTGGCTATAAAAAAAATAAAAAAATCATTTCATGTGCGAATGGGCAATACCGGAATAAATGATTTATCATTTTGATTTTATTTATTTAATGCAAAACAGCTGCTGCGCAGGATATCTTCGTGTCTTGACTCCACCGTCTCATAACATCAGGTGTAGAGGAGTCAATTCCGCACATTTTTATATAAAAAAGACTACAAGAATTCCCAGTGAATTCAATATTTTCTGCCACCAGGATTGGGTTGCGCACTAGTGCAGGCGAGTCGGTCGTACCACAGCGTATCTGATAGTGCGGGACCGACGCCACACTCGCTCGCGGTTCAAGTGCGTGTGCGCACAGACGGCGTGTTCGACTGCGACGCTAATAAGACGATGTGCTTCTGCGCCGCTGAAATTGAGGTGAATCCACCCTTCGACATATTACATCACATAAATTTATACATTTATAACCAACTAGTTAACATATCGAATCTCGAGCACAGCACCGTTCGGGAGATGCGAAATAACATCTCAAAAATGTTATTAAAATGGTCGTATGACAGAGCAGAGAATCTTTTAAGGATAATGAGTTGATTATACACATACGCACACAACACACACACTCAAAACACTCACATACTATCACCAATGTATCCATTCTTTTAAGTTGGTTGTATTTTTAGGCCGTAAGTTATATATTGTTAATTTTTTACTTCCCCCATAGGACGGGCTTCGCCTAGTATGGGTGATTGTTATGTGTTATTGTAATTTTGTTTATGAATAAATGGATTATTATTATTATTGTAAATGAGTGTGGTTTAATAAAATATATTTTTAATTTTTTGCTCTGGTAACATTGTGAGACGGGTTGAATCATTTTATTTTAAGCTCTGCAGAGCTTAAGTTAAAAATATATTTTACTATACACACACTCATCATAATTATCATCATCAGCCTTTTAATGAGCCCACTGCTGGGGCACAGGCCTTGTGCAATGAACTAGGGAAAACGAACGTGCGTGAATGACCCAGCACGTGGACTAGATGAAGTTTAACATCGATAACAGCTTATTATTTAAGAGATTTAAATCTATTATTCGGTAGCCATACGATACGGATCTAATAGATCAACAACAGAAAAATGGCTCGATGATTTAAGCAGAATTTTCCTGCCTTTAAATCGATTTCGCATCATCTTCGAAATAATAATTTAGATCAAATATAACTTTTAAAAAATAGATGCGTCTAAAAACTAGAATAATAAAACCCTTTGATTGATTATACACACCTAGATACAGTATTAACTGCACGGAAGCGGAACAAAAAATATACTATATATATTGCACATGACTGCTTTAGCACAAATTGACATTAGGGTCACGAACTCATTACGCGAAACATGAGCCGTTTTCTTCGTGTGATTTATTTGTATTAGGCTATATTTTGGCTCTATCCAGCCGTATAAATAAACAAAGGATTTCGCTTCGCACGCTTCGCTTCCGCCCAACGAAAGTTCGAAAAGGGTTGGGTACAAAACTATCCCAAAAACACAACAATCACAAAACTATCCCTGTAATTTTAGGTATGGAAGAACGGAGTCACCTGTTACAGGCATTATTTGCTTAGAAGGTGGATCAATGTAACCAAAGTAATGTTAAAGAAAATAAACAAAATAAAGTTAAAGTTTTTATTTTTTAAGCATTTAACGGGACCCCGTCCCGGGCGGTCCCGTCTGCTTTAGATTTAAACATCTAGCAGTTAAATGCTTAAAAAATAAAAAAATAACTCTAATTGCTATTTCTTGTTTCAAATATTTAATACCTGTAAAGGTATTCATTTGACATTGTGGGTTACCTACAATGCGAATGGCGCTGCCTTACAGACTAAGGCTAGAGAAAATTCGACGCGGCCGTCAGCGCGGTAGCATAATGGTCAATGCATTCGCCCGGATAGCGAAGGGTGCGGGTTCGGGTACCGTCTGCTGCCTGGTCCGCGTGGAATTTTTTACAAGCTTTTATTTAACTTGCAATGTATGTTTGTTCGGGTGGAATATTACAACTCAATTTTAAGGTACTTGCCCTCAACCGATTCAGCCGAAATTTGGTATGCACATTCAGTTCGGACGACAATGCATGATTAACAGTGTGACGTCATTCTAAATCCAACATGGCGGCATACCCAAAATGGCGGACCAATCATTTTTAATGCATTCCTACAATATGGGTAGGTATCAAATTAAAGGGCTTGCTGAGAGTAACTCGAAAAAAATATGACGTCACTCTTAATCCAATATGGCGGACTTCTAAAACTTGAAAATCAATTTTTAAACAGATATTTCTCTAGTAATGTTTTCTTTAAAATAAAATTATTATCCCTTTAAAGGCGTGCGTCCGTTGGTCGGGCGGGGCGGTAGGGATGCGTGTACTAGAAGTGCGGCTGCCAGCGACCGCCGCCGCCGACGCCGCGCGGCTGTACTCGCAACTGAAACCACCGCATTCACGTACGTATGCTAATGAGGAGGATGAGGATGGGTTATTATCATCATCAGCCTATTAATGTCTTCACTTCTGGGGCACAGGCCTTCCCTATGGATGGAATAGGGGAGATTAGGCCATGTCATCTCTTTTCCTCACTCTGCCAATATTCAAATTCTAAGTCTTAAGGGATAGTCTCTCTGTTTTGTGTAAACAAGTTACTAACTTCCCGAAGCTTTAAAGAAAGTTAATTCTCAGCGGCGGACGAGCTACGATATGCCATCTGTAGTTTTCTTCAAAAGTTGCTGAAAAGCCGATTCCGAAATATTTTAAAATAAAACTGTAAAATAAAGAAACTAACTTTCCAAAATCTAAAGCAAAATCCACTATACAAAAAAAACTATTAAGACCAGACAAAACTTTAAACATTTTCTTCATTAATTCTCATTGATTCTGACCTATAAATAGTGCTTCGCCGTATCGAGCTGACTCCCAGCGGCGGGAGAGCTACCTTCTACCTGGACGACACTGGCATGGAATCTGAGACAGAAACCCACGCGTGCTATTACGTCCACGCCATAGCACCAAAAACAAAGACCAAACCTGCGTACGCGCGGGTGACGGACTATTATAATCCTACCATCAACCATACTCAGGTAAGCGGTCTTTTCTTAAGCCTCAATGACACGGGGCAGTTTTCAAGCTACAAGCTAGCGAGTTCGCTAGCAGATTGTAAACTCGACTCGTATCATCGGCTTTTTTAACATCTGCTACTCGATAATACAGGACGAGTTTACCATCTACTAGCGAACTCGGCCGTTGGGGAGGAAAGGTTCTGGAATGGCGACCACGCACCGGACGACGCTCAGTGCGCAGGCAGTGTAGGGGTACAAGGTGGACCGACGATCTTGTGAAGGTCTCGGGAAGCCGATGGATGCGAGTGGCACAGGACCGATATCGGTGTGGATATTCTTGGAGGAGGCCTATGCTCAGCAGTGGGCGTCGTACGGCTGACATGATGATGATGATGTTAGCGAACTCGCTGGCTTGTAGCTTGTAAACTCGCCCCGTGTCATCGAGGCTTTATACACTGCTTCTCTGCTCTCGTATTTTATTTGTTTTTTTTTAAAGAGTGGAGTTTACCCCAACTTAGCTCATGGAAGTCATGCGTGCTTCCAATATCAAGAAGTAACCAGTTAACGCAATATTAACAGGCCACTATAATGCCACCATTGACTTCATAATCTCCGTGCTGTCATTTCGTTCTTTAAATGCTAATTATATTTTATAAAAAAGTTTCAAAGCAATTATATTGCAAGCTGATAGCGGTTAGGTACTCTTATACACCCCAGTACCAAAGGTATCACGATCTTACTCATTGCAAGAGTTGTAAGGTTACCTGAATCCTGATAGAGATGTTTGTGATGTGTTTTTTTTTAATTTAGAAATCTCCATCGAGTGTGAACTGGCATTTACTATCTCTGCGTTCTTCATATTAGAGCCTGCGCTGAATTAAGTGGAAGCACGAAGCGGGCGTCCGCTCGGCGTGTTTGTTTCATGATATTGCTTAAAGCCGCGCTGTTCTGTGAAATGACATGAAAACTGCACGCGGCGGACGTCCACTGCGTGTCCCGCTTAACGCAGCGTAGGATCTAAGACGCCAATCTCGCTTTCTCATAAACAGTTATCAATAAAAATATATATGGTTCAGTAATTTACAAGACCTTCCTAACTCAAAAGGCAGGTATTGATTTATCATATAACACGGGGCTATCTAGGGAGTTTTCACGCTGGCTCAGTTTGATGGACGGGTGCTGAAGATAAAATTTATGCCATCATCAGCACAGGCCTTCTCTGCGGATGGAATAGAAAAACTGGGCTGTGACCCACGAAGGGGACACAGTGCGGATTGGTTGGTGCTAACGACTGCAGATGCAGCCGGGACCAAAAGTTTAACTTGCCTTTCGAAGTAGCTCCTCGTTGTTGTTACCCGTATATAAAAAAATGGAATTTCTTGTATTTTTTTTATCATTACCCACTAACTTTTTATTTTAGATGTACACAATACCAGAGGACTGTCCACCCCGTATAGCCCACGAGAACAACGAATTCACAGCATCCGACAATTTATTCAATAAAGCTAGATCACTATCGGACAGCAGTGAAATTGTTATAACTCACGAATACTCGTTCGAGGACATTCCGGATGGGATTCCCCTAGAAGATCCTTTATATGATTCGTTCAATAGAGAAGAGATCGCATATTTAAGCAAACATAATGATCATAAACACAAAAATAATAATTTTATGATTATTAACAATGTCAACCATAAATCCCTGAAAAGGGATGGTGCTTCTGAAGAAAAAGAAAAAGATATCACTGATAAATTAGGAACAAATATTGATATGAACGAATCAGGCAAGAACGCTGATGTTACATCTAAGGATATTTTTTACGCAGAATTGAAGTCAGCAGAATCAGATGAACGAAATTCATTAAATACTGATAGAACTAATGTTACTAATGAAGTTGATAAATCAGCTTTTACAGATAGTGAAACCTCAAACTCTTTTGATATCATCTCAAGTGCCATGAATAAAGATAATTTGATTAGCAAAGAGAATATCACACTAGTTAATTACGTTCCGTCTGCGAAAACCCATGAGAATTATGATGATAACAGAAGCAATAATGGTGTAATACCTGAGAATCTTGATTCAACGAGAGCAAATAATGAAAGCGTCGTTCCAAAAGAAGTTGACAACGTTAATACACTTTACGTAAATCACGAAGCAGCAAAAGATTACAGCGTCAATGAAAATGTTGGTTTCGGAGTCAATAAAAAACAGACTAATATGGATATTAAGGTACAAAACCCGAAGCTGTCTGCGTTTCACGTAGTGAATTCGCAGACAGATCTAGATGTGCCCACGGGTATAGAAGGCCCAGTTCCTTCTATAGTTCTACCGCCTCCAAACTTCGTCATCCCACCTCCAGGTAAGTTTCATAAATATTACCTATTTTTATATAAGTATCCTAACTCTGCATCCAGCAGCCTCGGGTTCGAATTCTGTACGAGGTAAATGATCCTGTGATGAATGCGTGAATTTTCCATTTCATAGTGCAACAAGTAATACTTAGTTGAGAGCTAGAGAATTCTTGTGACAATATCCAACATTAAAAAAATATCAATCTAGCTTTCACCCACCACTACGCCCGCGCCGTCCCGTAAAATCCCTTTGGAACCTTTAAATTGGAATAAAAGTTTTAGTTAAGATACTCTACTGGACCACTAGACATTCTGAGATCTTTTTTTTAAACCCCACAGGTAATTGTTTTTCCTGGATAAAAAAGATTCTTTAAGATAAGTCTACTCTTTAGTATAACAACAAAATACAATATAAAAATAACATTAACAAATTAGAGGAGAAATAAATAAATCATTTCAATCATCATCATCATCAGCCTATTAATGTCCCCACTGCTGGGGCACAGGCCTTCCCTATGTATGGAATAGGGAGATTGGGCCATGACCCACCACGCGGGCCCAGTGCGGATTGGTGGGTGCTAAAGACTGCAGATGCAGCCGGGACCAACGGCTTAACGTGCCTTCCGAAGCACCGAGGAGCTCGAGATAGTAATTTTTGGTCACCCATCCAATGACCGACCACTGCGAAAGTTGCTTAACGACGCGGCCGAACGCGCTAACCACTTGTGCCATCGAGCTCCTCAAATAAATAAATAATAAAAGAATATTCCTATGTGACAATCCAGTTAAGAAATTATATCTATGCATTTGATTTTGTGTGATTGAGTAACAATACTTATAAACACCTGAAGATTTTTTTACTAGAATAAATACACTCAGTCCAGGTTTTAGACAGAACAGAACAAAGAAAGAGTTTAGAAGCGCCTTGTGTGTGAGGCAATGCTCATAACTAGACCAAAACTTGGTTCTGATTGCGTCGTTGCTGTCAGGTGTGAGCGCTGATTGGTTCGATTGTTTGATGTCGCGTTTGATATTGATTGACTATTATCTATTAGGTGGGAATGTAGTGGGGGCGCATAGTAGTTCCCGTACAAACGATCACAATTCAAATTTTTTATAGATAGGTCCGACAAATGACTCCACCCCACCTGATGTTAAGTGAAGGTGAGGTCCAGACGTGAAGATAGCTGATACAGCAGTTTTACCTGCCACACCAGCCATCCTCACCCTGCCGGCCTGCATGTTGCTTCTTCACGCCTCTTTTAAAGGATCCCAGGTTGTAAGAGGGAGGGAACACGTGAGCGGGCAGAGCATTCCATTTACGGATAGTGCGACAAAGAAATGAGTCACCAAATTTCTTTGTACGCGTTGAAATTATGGCCACAGTTAGACGGTGACAACGTAGGCCAGCGCGCGTGGTCCTCTGAAGGAAAGGAGAAGGTGGGATAAGAGAGAATAACTCCTCAGAACACTCGCCGTGGTACAGACGATAGAACGCGCTTAGTGACGCCACGTCACTAAGATGGACGCACTAACCAATTATGCTTACGAGCGAGACCTTCTCGAAACTTCGAGAGTCTGAAACCTGAGCCGTATAGATTCCTTTCTGGAAAAATATCCTTAGATTAAAAAAGACATCTTAAAATAAAATAGTCACTTACACACATACAAACTTTCACATTTAATGATATAACTAACTACTTATGCAGTAGGTTTAATGATATGCGTTTCTTCTTTCTTTCCAGATATTTCACAGTCAACAGTGAGCTACTCGCGAAGATTCCCGATTCCACCACAGAATTTATATTACTTTCCGTACCAACATCCAGGCGTTTATTATAGAGAACGCTATTACCCACAAAATGGTTGATAAGAATAGAAATGGTTGTTGAGAAGAAGAAATTTCTGCAATCGTATTCTTGACATCTTTGAACCACCGTGATGATCTTTCAGGAACCTTGTGTTTCATGAAAGGACCAAATGCTAATTTAACCCATTAAAATTAAAATACTTGCGCCGATACTTCTTACGCAAAGCAATTTCGATCTTTAAGGTCAGGATTTGGTATACACCCCGGCAATCTTCTTGAGCAAGACCGTGGACAAGGAAGCCTTCGCACTAGCAATTTTGAATACAAAATCGTCTACTGCGCCAGTTCATTTATCTGTTATTTTGATCAAGAAGTTATAATATTGCCGCTACCAAGTTAATAATTATTGCAAAACGCTATATTTCTATGCCTGATCACTTGCGGCATAGGGCTTTCTGTACCCTTAGCATAAACCAATATCGATTTGCGAGTGCGAAATGTCATTGTCAAATATGTACTGATTACACTGCACAACAACACTTCTGATGATTGGGTTATGTTGTATGATATCAGTCCATTTTTCAATGACGATTTCAAATCTGTGCCTGAAATTTCTGTATTAGCTCTAGTTAAAAAAATATGACACATTGTTTTCTTTATAATAAAACACTTTATATTTGGAGATGATATCAATTTATTTAATTTTAAGTGGAAAAATACTTTCTTTTATTGGATTTTCTTGCTGAAGCTGAAGGCAGAGAGCTATTCTGAATGCTCCAACAATAGTCAGATATCATGTGAGCGTTCCAGTAGCATTGACAGCGTTCCTCCATCGTACGAAGTTCCTGGTGGAATCACTCGCCCTGTTCTTCACTTAGATCCCCAAGATTGGCGGGAAAATAGTTTAAGTGGTTGTGAAGAAAGTGTAACTTGATGCTCATGTTACATCCGAGTTTTTGAAAGTGACTCATTAGTTCTTTGACGTGTTGAGAAAAGTCCGAACTTTTTATATTTCCCAAAAAATTTTGTACCAGCCAAACGAACTCATTCCATGCCTTTTTCTCAATATTTGTCATAGTTTCCATAAAATTTGAGTCTTTTATTAATGATATTATTTGTGGCCCGTCAAAAATTCCCGCTTTTATCTTTTTGCACTCAGTTTTGGAAACTTTTTTGATAGAAAAAGGAAACAATTTCCATTTTTGTCAAGACCTTTTACAAATTGTTTAATAAGGCCTAGTTTTATATATAACGGAACGAAACACGTCTATTTGCCGACCGTATGGAAGGATATTCCCATTTGGCTCAATTTTTTTCGGTTAATACCAGATAAGTTCACCAAGCAAAAATAACAATCATCGTGGTGGTTCACGGGTTCTTTCCATATCATAGCCGATTCGTACCTAAATCTTTACCTTTCTTATTTGTCTACAAACGTAGAAACTCAACACACGTTTTGCATACCTTTTACGGAATCCAAGGCTTGTTTTTAATTATCAGCGGGTGACCAAAGTAATTTTTGTAATCCTCATTTACGAACTTAGTCACATTCAAACGGTATTCTTTAAACATATACTCTCCGCAAATGAAACAAAATGTTTCGGTAAATTCACAGACTCGTCTTAACGACGCCATATCAAATTATAATCAGAAAACTATTATTATCAGCAAATTAACACGGTCATATGTCGACTTTATTGTGAAAGCTATAACTTGTAAACAAGAGCTGTTACAAAAAAAACGAGGGTATATCTAGAATCAGCGACGTCAAATTAGTAAACATCATGTGATAAAAGTCAATCATCAGACAAAAGTTGCAATTTTGTTGTGCAGTGTTATTAGTTCTCGTTACGTCATTTGTATGCAAACTTGAACAGCAGCGCCATATAGGACGTAACGAGATCTAAAAATCAGTACACATTTGACAATGACATTTCGTACTCGCAAACGTTACGAATTCGATATTGGTTCGTGCTAAGGGTACAGTAAAGACAAACGAAACTCTAAATAAAACAATCATTAGAATAGATCCATAAGCGTTTCAGGTTTTAGAGAACTCTGTATCTACTTTATTTTGATATTTCATTACTCTAATTTTTACATCACCGAATTGCAAAGATATAATTCACGCACAGGTAGGTACATAACAATTAAATTAACTCATCAAAGTGGACAGTTAACTGGTTCGATTTTATAATTTTAATAAATAATTGAATGTATAAAAATCTCCAGAGTATAAAGATTAAAATCAATTTCATTGTTATTAAATATTTATTTATTGCTTAAGTTTAACGTAAAGAAAGTCTAAATAATTAATTAGAATTTAAGAAGTAATCTTTAAAGTATTCGTATCGCATTTATAGATAGTAGCCTAGTAGTATTAGGATTAGTAATTATTATATTTATTAAATACCTATATTACACTAATTGTAAGAAACGTGAGCACAAAAAATATATAATATGGGTGCTTTTATGGCACATTTGTAGACAAATAATAATAAGTTCTTTGTAATCAATCTTATAGTACTTCTTTGTTGAGACGAAGCCAAAAGCCATTTTATTTATCTGGTATGGTATACCGTAGATTACCTAGTTGGATATTTAAACATTTTTACTATTTTTATAAATTAATTATGATTCGAGAGAAAATAACGACCAAAAGCGAGTCGCATACGAAAGATTCCATGCCATCAAAAAAGGTTCATGATGAGTCAGACAGTTCTGTTGCTGGCGTCCTTCCTTTAGGCATGTGGTAATCTTTAAAGGAACACAAACAAATGTTTATGCTTATAATTTTTATTATTTTTAAAGCATGTAACTGCTTGATGTTTAAATCTAAAGAAAATATAACTAGAAAAAAATCCACGCGGACCAGGCAGCAGACGGGACTCGAACCCGCACCCTTCGCAATCCGGGCGAATGCACTGACCAATTATGCTACCGCGGCCCTCACGGACCGCGTCGAAATTCTTTCTAGCTATTCTTAAGCTGCAAGGCAGCGCCATCTCTTCGCATTATAGGTAAACCCACAATGTCAAATGAATACTTTTACAAGTATTAAACATTTGAAAGAAGAAAATAGCAATTATAGTTATAATTTTTATTATTTTTAAAGCATGTAACTGCTTGATGTTTAAATCTAAAGAAAATATAACTAGAAAAAAATCCACGCGGACCAGGCAGCAGACGGGACTCGAACCCGCACCCTTCGCAATCCGGGCGAATGCACTGACTGATTTTTTTTCTAGTTATATTTTCTTTAAATGTTTATGCGTGGTGGTACCTAAGTACTGATAAACCTAATGACACGTCTACATTACTTACATTAATTTAGGGTCGGGCTTAGGAAACAGCTGTGATTTTTGACCGTGCAAAGAGTGGTTTTATTACGGACGGTAAGACGACGATCAAAATAAAGTTTATCTTTTTGATATTATGTGCAATTTGTTGAGTGACACAGGGAGACATGTTTCGTATCATGTAGTAAAAGTCTTTTGTACCGATATGGTCTTCTTTGCTTTAATTTACCATGTAGTTAGCCATTCATAGATGTTGCTTCATCATCATCATCAGCCGATGGACGTCCACTGGTGGACATAGGCCTCCTCTAAGGATTTCCATACACAACAGAACTGCGATTTCCGCTTCCAGGTCCCCCCGACTCGTCAGTCCACCTGGTGAGGGGTCTACCGACACTGCGCTTCCAGTGCGAGGTCACCATTAATCCACATTAGCACCGGACCAATGGAAGTTGCTATTGGTCTGCTGGACAATGTGCCCCGCCCAATGCCACTTTAGCTTGGCGATCCGTTGAGCTATATCGGTTATTCCAGTTATTCTACGGAATTCCTCATTCCTGATTCGACCACGTAGAGAAAAACCTAGGATAGCTCTCTCCATCGCTCACTGTGCGACTCTGAGCCTTCATAAGAAGCATACTCTCAACGACCGTGTTCCAGCTACGTATGTCATAATAACTGGGAACACGCATTGTTCGAAGACTTGATCTTCAGGCACTGAGATATTTCGGATGAGGACAGCCTAGATGGATACAGCAGTTTACCTCTTCCTCGAAATTGAACTTACCCAAGTAGACTATTTGACCCAGATGTACATATTTTTCGACAATGTCGAGTGCAGAGTTGTCATCAATTACCGTGTGGAGCGGAACATGAGCGTTAGACATGATTTTTCGTCTTACTGATGTTCATTTAAGGCCCACCTGTTGAGACTCTGCTGTGGTCGTTGATCATTGTATTAAGATCATCCAAAACGTCTGTCATGTACTAGCTGTTGATGGGGACTGATTCGGTTCCAATCCAGAAGATAAAAGACGGAGCACTAAATAACTTCACGCCTCGCTGTAGTTGGATAGGTCTCGTAGTCTGGTCTTGTATACGTACTGTCGTGGTGGCGTTTTTATACAAATTTCATACAGTACATGTTTCTAACAAATCAATAAAAAATATCTTTCTCGTAGTCTACAAACGATACGCAAAGTGGCAGGTTATATTTTTCGGTATTTTGTATAACCTACAAGGCTGACGCAGTGTGTGATTGCAGTCTATGGTGCTGAAACCTTGCTGAAATCCAGCTGTTCGGGAGGCTGGAAGTCATCTTACCTAATTGCAAAACATTGATTATTGACTCTCAAAACTACTTATAGATGTGGATTAGATATGGCTCTGTAGTTCTTCAATTGGGTGTTGTCACCTTTTTTGACCAAAAGTACCGCCGCGCCCCAGTGTTATACCTCTGGCGTTATGCCTTCGTGAGTGACGAAATTGAACAATGTCTCGCAATTTTACGTACTGGTTTTCCACTCTTTTCATGACTTCTGCTGTGATTCCGTCATCCCCTGTTGTTCTTCAGGAGCAATACTAATCTCGTATAGACTGACGTACGCTGACGGTATAGTGTCGGGGAAATATGTTTGTGTTGAGGTGTGTAACTATCCATATAAGCTTGCTTCCCTTCTCAAAATCTCAAGCTTTGATATAAAGTGTTGCTTTAAGGAACGTCAAAGAATACTCCTTGCTGGTCCCGGTTCTTCGTGGGTCGTGAAGGCTGCTGTATCAACAGTTAAATTTGATGGGAGGGTCTGAAATAAAAATCAGGGAGAGGGCCAAGCACCTTCCACCTCGGAGCCTTGCAAGAGACCCAATCTCCCTATTCCATCCATAGGGAAGACCTGTGCCCCAGCAGTGCATAATTTTATCCCTATAAAGTTTGATTATATCTTCTTCTTGTTTAACGTCATCATCAGCCTATTAATGTCCCCACTGCTGGGACACAGGCCTTCCCTATGGATGGAATATGGAGATTGGGCCATGACCCACCACGGGGGCCCAGTGCGGGTTGGCGGGTGCTACCGACTGCAGATGCAGCCCGGACCAACGGCTTAACGTGCCTTCCGAAGCACGGAAGAGCTCGAGATAAGCTAAATTTTTGGTCACCCATCCAATGACCGACCACTGCGAAAGTTACTTAACTTCAACGATCGCAGCCGAACGCGCTAACCACTTGCGCCATCGAGCTCCACATCGATTTTAACGTAAAATAATCTATTTGTGTCATGTTTTGATGTACAACACTTTTTAAATAAAACTACTTTTAAAACGGGTTTAAAATGCATTTTGTAAAACTTTTTTACATATCTCTGCGTTTCGCATCATTTTCAAGATGCGTTATGAAGAGTATGATTTTAAATTACTTTTTAGGTATAACTTTGAATTCTGCTATTACAATGACTAATTGCGTTAAAAATTATGTCCATAAGCTTCGACAGCATGGGTAAAAAGCAGATGTGGTCTACAAGAAGACGCGTTTTTGGTAGCTTATCCGGTTTGAGGATATTTCTATTTTTGCTATGTAATATAATACTTATTAATTTTTAATAATGAGTGTCACTCTCACAACTAAGAAAAATCAAACTAAATCTCTTAAGCCAAAATCCGTCAAACCGTTTAGGTCAAGGAGCTTGCTAAAGAAATATATTATACTAGTGGCCCGCCCTCGCTTCGCTTCGGGGTAGATTTTATCAAAATCCTTTCTTAGCGGATGCCTACGTCATAACATCTACCTGCATGCCAAATTTCAGCCCGATCCGTCCAGTGGTTTGGGCTGTGCGTTGATAGATCACTATGTCAGCCAGTCACCTTTGAGTTTTATATACCTACTAGCTGACCCAGCGAACTTCGTACCGCCCTAAAAAAATAGGGGTTGTCCAGCGGACAAAATTGTGAATCTAAACCATTCTCAGATCCCCTTGAACACACACAAAAAATTTCATCAAAATCGGTCCAGTCGTTTAAGAGAAGTTCAGTGACATACACACTCACAGAAGAATTATATATATAAAGATATAGATGCACTTGAAAACATAACTATAATTTTGACGAAGTCGGGTAAAAAGGGCCCTGCAAATATCAGTCGACTGATTTTGTGCTTAATTCATAAGTAAATAGTGATAAATTTAAGAATTTGTTATCAGTAAGGAATTTGAGGTGGATTATATTTTAACATTTATTTATTCTTTATCATGTAAAGCTGCGATTATTTTCTTAAGGCTGTGAATATTGTAATTATAATTTAGCTTTTAATATTACAAATTTTATTATTTATTAAGTTGCCTTTTATTTTTAACCATTCTTAATAACCTCTCCCTTTTTCTTTAGGATATAAAGTAAGTAACTATAATAAGTACCTACTTATATTATTACTGGATCTGTCTTTAAAACTTATTATAGACTTACTTTTTTATGAAAACACTGTCTCAAACATCTGAGACAGATTTTTTGAAATTAGAGTGCCTAAACAAACGGTAGTGTCGTTTCTGGCATGATTCTCTAAACTTAAAACTAAAGGACAATGGGCAAAACGCACCCAGCTCCGCCAACAATGTAATTAGTGTGAATCGATAATCTATGAAAAACTAGCCTTTTTTATTATGACACCGAAAAAAAATATCCTGGGAGTCAAAAGATATGACACCGTAAAAAATATCCTGGTAGTCAATATATATGACACATGGGCATATTTAAGTAGCTGAATAAATTTATTTTACAGTACCTTCATTTTATATTATTAGTAATCATAATAATATGCCATATCGTACTATACAACCAGATATACGACAAAGCCTGCCAACCATCCTGCGCTTGCTCTTACTGAGACATTTCAAAACGGTTTACGGATGATGAAGGACTTGCAGTTGCAAATAGTCGACTCGTCTTACTTTGTTGTGATTGTGCGCTCTCTGCTACTTCATTGATTTTTATCTAACACGCTTTGGATATTGGAACACGATTATCGGTTTTGTCAATTAGTATGGATGAACTGGAATCATGTTTTCTCCGAAGGCGTGGACAAGTTTATGTGATTTATGGTCGCTCCCTTTTTACCCGGCTGCGCAATGCAAGAGCGCGAAGCGCGACGCGCAGACAGGGTTATTACCCGGCTGCGCAATGCAAGAGCGCGAAGCGCGACGCGCAGACAGGGTTATGTGTTTAACAGTCTATATATGTATGTTTGTTCCTTTGTGGCACACTAGAGACCAAACGCCTGGACCGATTTTGATGATTCATATATCAATCGATTCGTCTCAATTATGGGAGTGCTACTAAAGATATGATAGTAATTAAAATTCAATATGGGCAAAATTGGGCGCCATATTGTGACGAAGTAAAAAAAATAAGTTGACAAAATATGTCGAGTGGGGTATCACTGTCTAGATAATCAAAAATAATATTTAGGTTTCTAACACCATTTTTCATTTAATATGATTGTTTAGGATCTACAACGCTTTAAAGTTGTATATTAACCACTTCGCTTTTAATTTCAATCTTACGTTTGTATGGATCTTTGTTACTCTTTCTCCTAAAAAATACTGAATGGATTTTAATGAAACTTAACAGTAATATAGCTCATATATGATAATTATATATATATATATATATAATAATTTATTTAGTTATTGAGTGAATTGGCCAATATATAACAATAAGTGTCACATAAGACGGAAAAAATCTCCCATTTGCGAGCCATTTTGGCCTGCACTGCAAAAACAATAAAAGTTACATGAATGTAATGTAGAGTGAAAATGTATCTCTTAAATAGTTCTAAAAAAAAGTCCGTGACACCATATATCTATTTTTAATGTGTAAGTCATTACCGCTAAAATAGTGAATCAAAACTAAAATATTATTTGATATCTATTTCCAAAATGCACATTTTGTATTAACAAATCATTTTTTATCAAAACAAATACTTTTATCGCTTTTGATATTTAAAGACGATAAACTTTGCTTTTTACACTATGTCAGTTCGACAAATATTTAAAAAGTTACAACGATGACAAAGTGATAGTGCGGTGTACTATGTAAAAGAAAAAAAATGGGCTATTCGCAGTATCTGATGCTATACGAAGCACTAACAATAAAACTGTGATACAGTTCCTTCTTATTAAATGATGAAAAATGTATTATCATAATAGGTATTTATGATTATTGAATTTTGTGCATGAAGGTTTTGCCCATACTGAGGAGTACAATCAGCCCCTGTGCCTAGCATTTGTGGACTATGAGAAGGCCTTTGACTCGATTGAAATCTGATCTGTCCTGAAGTCCCTGCAGCGTTGCCAAGTCGACTGGCGATACATCCAAGTGATAAGATGTCTCTACGAAGCCGCCACCATGTCTGTCCAAGTACAGAATCAGCAAACAAGTCCCATACCGTTGCATCGTGGAGTGAGACAAGGGGACGTTATTTCCCCGAAATTGTTCACTAATGCAATGGAGGATATGTTCAAGACGCTGAACTGGAAACGACATGGCATCAACATAAATGGCGAACGCATCTCTCACTTGCGATTTGCAGACGACATCGTCATCATGGCAGAAACCCTGCAGGACCTACAACAGATGCTGAATGACCTGGCTGACTCTTCTATACGCATCGGCCTACGGATGAACTTGGATAAAACCAAGGTCATGTTCATGTTCATGTTCATGTTCTACCGGAACCGATTGCAATACACGGTGCCGTTCTCGAAGTTGTTCAAAAATATGTATACCTCGGGCAGACATTGCAGTTAGGTAGAAACAACTTTGAGAACGAGGTGAATAGAAGAGTTCAGCTAGGTTGGGCAGCGTTTGGGAAGCTACGTCAAGTCCTGACATCGTCGATCCCACAGTGCCTAAAGACGAAAGTCTTCAATCAGTGCGTCCTACCTGTGATGACATACGGAGCCGAGACGTGGACACTGACGGCACGGCTGATCCACAGGTTCAAAGTCGCTCAACGCGCTATGGAAAGGGCTATGCTCGGCGTTTCTCTGAAAGATCGCATCAGAAATGAGGTAATCCGACAGAGAACCAGAGTTATCGACATAGCCCACCGGATTAGCAAGTTGAAGTGGCAGTGGGCTGGCCATATTTGCCGAAGAACCGATAACCGTTGGGGTAGACGAGTTCTGGAGTGGAGACCGCGTCTAGGCAAACGTAGTGTAGGACGTCCTCAGGCACGATGGAGTGACGATTTGCGCAAGGTGGCTGGCAGGAGCTGGATACGAGTAGCCCAAGATCGATCTGAGTGGCGTGCATTTGGAGAGGCCTATGTCCAGCAGTGGACTATGATAGGCTGTTGATGATTATTGAATTTTAATGAAAAACTCAGAATTTTACTGTTTTTCATTTTTTTAACAATATTACTTAATGTAACAAAAAAGGTTTACTTAATATAATGACAAATAACCCATTTTTCGCTAGTAAGTACATACGTAAGTTATGGGAATCCCTGTATTTATTAATCAGCTCTCGATAATATTGGTCCTGTAATAATTCTCCAAAATTCAAAGTAAATAATGTAGATTTTTATAGGTAAGTCATCCCTTTCATCACCCTACGCCTATAAGTATTACGATGTTGTAGCTAAGAACCAAGTTTCCATCTACTTCTATATGGGAATTCATTATATTCGATTTAGCTATTAGGGCACGGAAGCGCAACAAACAAACTCACTTTCGCATCTATAATATTATATTATACTTACTAATGATCCACCCGGGCATTGTACGGGCGAAATTTATTTATCAGGATTAAATATAGCCTATGTCACTTGGACAAAATGTATTTAAATAAAGAAAAATGTAATAATAAATAATGTAGCTACTTTATGATGAATTAATATTTGAAACCGGTTCAGTAGTTTGACAGATTATTTGTTACAAACATACAAATCTTGCCTCTTTATAATATTAGTATAGATAGTTAGGATAAGATAAGTATTTCATTGATGCAAAAGATTTAAAACAAAGTAAGTAATAGGTTTATTTGATTATATTTGTAAAAGTTACTTAGCATTTGTGCTTAACAGTGATACGATATTCGGTATTTTTTAACAAAAAAAAATTTGGAAAATATTGCCATGATTGCACTACTGGGAGTACTCTTCATTCGAGCTTTACACTACCAATAAAAAATAAAAACTGAAAAGAAAAAAACAAGTCCAGTAGTCTATAATTCTGTTAATAAGGAACAAAGCTACTTTAACAGTCGGGACCCACTGTTGAAAAATATTATGTATTCTTAAATATCTAATGGGTCCCGACTGTTAAAGTACCTTTGTTCCTTATTAACAGAATTATAGACTACTGGACTTGTTTTTTTCTTTTCAGTTTTTATTTGAAGAATAATAAAGCAGTCGGGTTTTTTGATTTTTTAAATTTACCTTTTTTTATATAGAAGTTAATTCACTACAACGAACGGAATGTTTGATATAACCCCCAACCCATGCGGGGATTTTTGGATTTACTTTAGCGCGACAGAATAACATAAGGGGGCACCCTTGCACCTTGTGAAGTACTCCCATAATACCTGAGCCCTCTATGTAGGGTCGAACTAACTAACTAAATGAATTACATAGTTTCATTAATGTTCGTTCGTTATAGTACTTGTACCTATTTAACTCAAAATAACTTAAGACCCCCGGGATAGAAATTGATGCGTTTTGGCACAGATGATCTTGACTGTAATACCTTTCAAACAAATGTAGTTTTAGCCGTGGCGGACGTGGGTGCAGCGTCCATACATTTTTGCCCATTGTCCTTTAGCATCAGCCTCTCCTAGAATTCGCCTTTCCGCTAGAATTGGAACGCCCGCCTGGGGCGCGCACCTCTACCTTACAGATCTATAAATTCAGATGACCACGCGCGCTGGATTACGTTGTCACCGTCTAACTGTGGCCACAATTCCAACGCGTTCAAAGAAATTTGGTGACTCATTTCTTTGTCGCACTATCCCTAAATGAAATGCTCTGCCTGCTCACGTGTTCCTCCCCTTTTATCACGCTCAATTGTCAAATTACTATGGAGTTAGACGCGATAAAAAACGTGATATAATGTAAAATTGTGGTGCTCATGCTACGGGGACACTACTACCTTAATATAAAGCCATTTTAATACTTGTTCTGAAAAACATCGATGGATTTGCAATTTTTTTTTTCGTTACTGTAAATTTCAAAAAAATTAGAGAATATGCCGGCTGGTAAATGTTTCTTTTGAATCTTAACAAACAATAAAACTTAAGTATAACAGTTTTTTTGAGAATGTGGTCGTTTTAAAAAAACTAGTGTGCTTATGACCACACGACTGAAGTGAAACTAAAGTTGTACACATATATTATACAGATGGACCTAAAGAAGTTTAGGTCCATCTGTATAATATATGTGTACAAAATATACATGTATGTACATATACATATTTAATTAACTAGCCATGAGAGAGAAATAATATGTGCTATCACACTGCTTTGTCTTGCTTATATCCCTCACTCAACATCCGTTCGCCTCGCTCGAACACACTTTTCGTAACGCGTAACGCACTCGCAAGCTTACTTACAAAAAGTAAAATGTTAATAAGAAGCGAAGCGTAAAAAATAGGTTTTAGATACGAATAGCGAAGAGGTGCCTAAAAATTGTGTTAATTTAATAGCATTACAAAATGGGTGGTGTAGTAAGCTGACGTAATATGCGTATCGAAAACGCGTAGTGTATAAGCTCTAAAATTAAACGACTGACCTCAATTATTAAATATTGTGTCACATAGGAATGTTGTTTGATAGCCAACTTTACTACCAGATATATCTGACATTCCTAGGAAATTCTAAAAAATGGCTGATGAATTTGTTTTAAAGGAAAACATAGTTTTTAATAAACTGTCCTCATTAATTAAATGATAACATATTTAAGAATAAGGTATCTGAATCAATCTACTACCTTCACACTTTAACAGGTTAGCAAGTATTATATTTATAATTTTTATTTTTAAAGCATGTAACTGCTTGATGTTTAAATCTAAAGAAAATATAACTAGAAAAAAATCCACGCAGACCAGGCAGCAGACGGGACTCGAACCCGCACCCTTCGCAATCCGGGCGAATGCACTGACCATTATGCTACCGCGGCCCTCACGGCCCGCGTCGAAGTATTATATTATTCTGTTCCACTGTTGAATAATCCATTCCACACCCAAATGTACTAATCTGAAAGTTACTACAACCATCAAAAATAAATACAATTATCAGAAGAACATTATTGATCACTCCACAAACGCTAATGTCAAGATTATTAAACTTAGCTCGTATGTTATATATATTAGATAGACACAGGTATGTGGCAGGTAGATATGCAAGTATCCTTACAACCATGACTCATAGCCTTAGGTATGGCCAGTATCTACTGGTTCAGTTCACTTCATTTTTAAATGTTTGTGAATGAATAGTTTTTATCTACATCCTTTTCCTGTTATGAATGTCCCTCAGTTGTACTAAAATGTTTATTGTCATTTATGTGCAAAAATAATAATAATTATATTGAATGAAATAAAAAGAAAACAGTAGTTAGCAACATTTTAATATATATTTTTATTCAAATTAATTCAATCATACATTACAGAATACTTGTATTTATAATGTATGTTCTTTTATTAAAAATAATTATAATAATTACAAAATAATCATTATTGGCGTTATAATTATTACATATAATATAAAAAAAGTTATGCATTCATTCTAACTCTCAAGAACCACATTATATGGTCATAAACCTTTTTATAATTCTTCCCTTTTTCCTCAAGTTACATATTTGTTTGAGCAAAACACTGAAATCAAACACCTTCTGTATAATGGAAAACATTGTGCTATATGCTCATACATGCTGCATTAAAGCTATGTGGACAATTTATTAAAATTAACTACATTTTAAATGCACCATTGGGAATCATCCCCTATTCATTTACTGTTAAATATCTCACATAACACTGTTAGGCAAGCAATATTGTTTTAATTAAAATAATACTGATTATACAAGAAATATCAATTTGGATGGACTGTTTAGATTTCCTTCATGCAATGTAAAAGAAAACACAGCTATTGTAATAACAAAACAAAACTAATGTAATGATTCTGTTTATATTTATCAGTAATTGACGTAATTACAAAAAAGAAAAATCAAAACATAAAAGGTCAATGTATTGCTTACTTAACAAACCTCAATCGGAAAGCAAATAAATAAAACTGTAATACCAATTTGACGTTTCAGTCATAGGGATTATCTAGAGAACATGTAAACTGCTCTAGAGCAGGTCCACACCTAAGTACAACATTACTTTAGATCTGCAACACTACCATCAGAAATGGACACATTAAATGTATGTCTCTTCCAGTAAGAGATGAAACTGTCCAATTGTATCAGCCATTGTCACCATTTAATAATTTCTTTATACTGAGAGTAACAAAATGCAATCAAATTTAACATTACAATAGCGCTTCTTCTATATACTCATAGATAATACACACTAGGGAGCAGAAAGCCCCAGTGCCCATAAACATTTGAACATGATTTACTCTTATGCAAGTATGTACAGAGGCGTGGAGCGGCCGCTGCGGCTCAGAGCGCAGCGGCAGGACATCATTGGCTTTTAAGCTCCTTTCCAATTGTGTAAGAAACAAGGCGTGCCCAGTCGATCTTGCTACGAGTAACTGGTAGCTGTCGTCTTAGCGCCTTAAATGTTGTGTCACTCATAGTCTTATAGTTATCAGATATTGCTGTTTGGTAGGCGTTTTCTGCATCACAGACTAGCCTTACGAATTCTTTGGCTGTTGCAGCCTCTCCTGTCGCAACTAATGGCAAACGAACTTCTTTAGAGCTTACGAGTTGAACATTTCCATCTTCATAGTAATGTACCTGTACACGCAGCATGCCACGCAGCTCCGCAGGGCCAGCACCGACGGTCAGCGTCCATACAGAGCGCCATCTTCCGTTCCAATAATTTTTAGGCTGGAACTGGTGATCTTCGATACATGCGATAAGGGAAACAGCACCAGACTCTAAAGCACGGCCGACTACTAAGCTGGCAACGTGTTTATAATGAGCGGCCACGTACGCTGTGAGCTCTTCATCGAGGGCCGCCCGCCAGGGCTCCGCCACTTTGTCAGGTTCATACGGTTCGTACTCGGAGGCTTCCTTACGTAAGTGGTCATACTTGAACGATCTTTTGGAGCGAGGATCAAAGAATCTGCCGCCACCGAGCTCGTTATGCTCAGTTATTAAGGTGTGTAGTTCCGATCCTTCGAGGCGCACGGGCGTGAGCTGGTCCTTGTTGTACTGCGCGAATGCTCCACTCGCTCCTTCCTTGAGAAGACTGTCATTGTTTAAAAGGACTCTTACATCATTGAACACTTCGTTAAATTCACCAGGTGGAGAATGTAGAATGAAATCTGATACAATTCTAACTTTTTCCTGATCACTAATCACTTCGTCACCATCCGCCGCCATTTTTGATACTTTTGACACTATGACGGAATGACGGCTGTGTAAAAATAAAAAATGTCGCCATATAACGAACGTTCGAAATCTAAGATTTTTTGAACATAACAATAAAGTATATGAGGCACGAAAAAGAGTAAACTGGAGTAAACTTAAATAAAAATATAAATGAAATTATTTTTTTACTTGATTTTATCATGCATTCATATCACGCAATAATTAGGTCTGAGAAATTACAATGGTTTTAAAATAATTTGTAACTATTAATTTGCTATTTCGGAACGATTTGGCTTTGACAGCTGTTTGACAGTTTGAATTCGTTTACAAAGACTGATTCATAATCTAAAGAGTTTTGTTTATTTAGAATTAAATATTAGTTTATTTAAAATATTTTTGAATACTTAACTTTATTTTTAACTATCTTGTGTAAAAAAAAATCTTTTATTCGTAGAAACTTATATAATATTTAAGTAAAATTGATTTAATCGAACTTTAATCAAAGCTCTTCATAAACACATTTCAAATGTCGGTATAGCAAAGCAGGTGGTGGTGTTGTGTAACATTTTCTTCTGAATTTTATCAAAAACAATCCCAGAACATGCTAAGTTATAAATATTACGATTCTCCAGAAGGTCACGATATCTACAAAAAAGCTTTCGTCACTTCCAAATATGCTGCCTTATCAGGTTTTGGTGCTGCTACGTTCGACGTTCTTATGTACTCCCATCCAAAGGGTATAATAAACACTGCTGGAAGATACTTATGGTACCTTGGCCCTCTGGTAGGAATGGCATCTGCGTTTAGCGTCACTGCTAACGTTGCCCAAAATATTAGAGGCAAAAATGATAAACTAAATTACTTTCTTGGTGGTGTGGCTGCTGGTTCAGTCTATGGCGCTTGGCAAAGATCTCTTACAGCCGGTGTCCCAGTGGCCGTTGTTCTGGGAGCCATAGCGGTTGTCAAGAAAACTGGTATTGATGAAGGATGGACCTTTATACCAGACATACCGCAAGCAACGAAAACGATACAGTCTGTAAGGCACGATTGGACTTACTCAAAAGATGTTGAAGAACTAAAGACCTGGACCACAGGTAGGCACATGATTAATTATTTGGTTAAATAAATACCTTCCTCAACTTCTAAATTATAACATAGGAGATTCTTACATCATAACCTTTCCTTTTGATTTTTTTTAAGTTTTATAGACAAAAATTAAAAAAATAGTCAAAATAGTAAAAAATAGTTTTAATTAAAATCTTTTTCTCATTTCAGGTTCCAACTGAACACCATTGAGTCACAATGTTGGTAATGTAAATAAAATCCAGACTATGTAATTAAACTTTTAAATAAGTGTTATAGTGGATAGTCAAAATAAATTCATTCATTTATACATCTTGGTTTTTCTGTAAGGCTTATTTTGTAGCTGTGTAGATAAAGTTAACTTACTGGAAAATAAGCATTCCAATAGAATTATTCTGATCCAGACAGTCCACCAATGTCATAGTATAAAAATATTCAAATTGTAAATAAACTATAATAATTTCAAAAGTATTGAGATGAAGTATTTTTGCATTTTTTAATGCAAAAGTATACGCATTCAAGCTAAGGTTGGGCTGGTGTGATGTTAACCAGCTGGGATGTCAATAGTGTTGAAGATGTCTAAGGGCTTCATTGACTACTTATCAGCTACCACATCATCATCAACAGCCCATTTTAGTCTTCTGCTGGACATAGGCCTCTCCAATTGCACGCCACTGAGATCGACCTTGGGCTAGTCGCAGCCACCTTGCCTAAATCTTCACTGCACTGTGCCTGAGGACGTCCTACGCTACGTTTGCCTAGAGGCAGTCTACACTCCGGAACTCGTCTACCCCAATTCTGAAGGATCGACTCATTTCTAATGCAATCCTTCAGAGTAACGCCGAAAGTCTTTTGGTTCGAAAGTCGCTCAGCTTCCACATTGTAAAAAAAAATGTAAATGTCCTGATAAAACAATTGATATCTTATAGTAATATAAGTTATTTACGGGATTGTTACCATGTACCTTGTTTTTGTTACTATAATGTTAGTGACCATGAAAGTTTAAAACAATAAATTGATATCTTAACTACAAAGAACATAGTAACACGGTAAAACAAATCTATATTTGTGGACCCCTTATTTAGTTCAAAATTAACGTTAATCAGCCATCATGATCTTTATTTACCTTTTGATGTCCCTAATGCTGAATGACAGAAATTTCCTTTGGATGGAATGGGGAGAAGAGGTCTGATGCTGTTAACGACCCGAGACCAACGGCGTATTTTGTTGCTATTAGATAGGCATGCTGAGTACATCATAATCACAACCCTTATCGGGGTATGACCAACCCCCGACCCCAAGACACCAGATATTTCGTATCTCGTGAGCTAAAGCAGCTAGCGACCCGAGACGAACGGTGTATTTTGTTGCTATAGGATAGGCATGCTGTGTACATCATAATCACAACCCTTATCGGGGTATGACCAACCCCCGACCCCGAAGACACCAGATATTTCGTATCTCGTGAGCTAAAGCAGCTAGCGACCCGAAAGAAACGGCGTATTTTGTTGCTATAAGATAGGCTGTTTTTTTTTTTCTTTTTTTTAATCTGGCTTCCCCACTCAGTGGCAGGACTTTTTCTTTCTTTTGTTTTTGTAATTCTTTTTTTAGAGTTTTTCTTTTCTCTTTATTTTATTTTTTTTTGTGCGAGCTTTTCTTTTCTCTTTTGTATTCTTTTAAATTCATTTATTTTTTACATTTACCTGTTCTTAATATCTATTACATTGGATTCTTATTAATTTTATTATTTATCTTGTATTTACAGTTCCTGCTCTTTCTTATTCTATACAAATTGGTTTTCTCTTTCTTTCCTTCTCGTTAGCTAAGCTTAACAATTTTCTTTTATTATACTATATATTTTACTTATATTCTATTACATTACTTTGTTTCTTACTTCAGTATTATCATGTTTCTTACTTCTATTTGTACACCTTTTATTCACTTATTCTACTACTATTACATTATTATATCTTCTTAGCTGAGTTTTCTTATATCCTATTTTCTACCTATCTTGCCTGTTGTTACTATCTTCTATTCCTAATTTCTATCTTTCTATACTTCCATTTTATTGCTGTTTTTTACTCCTGAAATCCCCTCCCGGTCACATTAACCCTCCGAGTTTGAGTGGTCGCCTCTGGAGCCCGGTTGGCCTCCGCAAGTGGGGTATCAAAATATCAATTTTTCTGCCTTCACTTGTTTTGGTCTCGTAGCTTCCTTTGGTTTCCACTCGCACTTCCCCTATTGTTCCGGGAAGGGGCTTCAGCAGTCTCCTTCCTATAATTAGTTTCTTACTTTCCTCAGAAACGTGAAACCAATGCCAACTTTTTATAACGCTTGCCTTTTTTCTAATCTTTTTTCCTACTCCTAATGTTACTTTCTGCTTCTTTTTTCCTCTCCCCATTCTATTTTTGCCCACAACACCTTTAGTAATACGCCACCTTCGCTCTTGCGATTTTGTCCCAGAGTTTCCTCTGTAGGCAGTCATTGCTAAAGGTGTTGTGTTCGATCTATTTCAGCTCAGCCCTTCTGCAGTTAAGGCAACTAGGCGCTAAGATAGGCTGGTTAGATATATATAAGGGTTGTGATTATGATGTACGCAGCATGCCTATCTTATAGCAACAAAATACGCTGTTTGTCTCGTGCCGCTAGCTGCTTTAGTTCACGAGATACGAAAAATCTGAGATATCTAAGAATAAGGGTAGTTAGCCCCCCGTGAAGGGCTTATATTTTTTCCTATCTAACCAGCTTATCTTACAGCAACAAAATATACCGTTCATCTGATATCTCTAACTGCTTTTGCCTCCGAGATATCGCTGTGGTTTCGCTAGCGTAACAGGCGTTTTTCGGAGAAATCTTGGAGCAACAAAATCAATTCTTGCGGCACAAAATAGCAATAAAATAGTATATACCTTAGGAAATGGACTTATGAAATTGTTACGCTAGGGTAATATACCTCATCTGAGGTTCTAATGTGTAAAACTGAATTGCTAATTCACATACAATTACACCACCTAATGTTATAAAAAAATAAATTTGCTTACATAACTAAAAATATTTAGTTTGGTCTGAATTATCCTCAGAGGATAGGCGGTGGAGCTCTATGGCGCAGATGGTTAGCGCTTTCGGCCTGCGACCTTGATAGTTAAACAAGTTTCGCAATGGATGGTCATTAGATTTGTGACCGAAAACTAATTATCTTGAGCTCCCCGTGCTTCGGAAGGTACGTTAAGCCGTTGGTCTCGGTTGCATCTGCAGTCGTTAGCACCCACAATCCGCCCTGGGCCCGCGTGGTGTTTCACGTTACGGCCCAGTCTTCCTTTTCCACCGATAAGGAAGGTCTATACCCCAATGGCTCCATCAGTAGAGATATCAATAAGATGCGGATGAACATCTTCACAGAGATCAGGAGAAAAGAATCCAGCTCGAAGGACCATATAGATGTGAGTTTCCTCTCACCCTTGCCAGTTGTTGATGATAAATTGAAAACACTGATAATGTTTACAATTAGGTTTATTAGCACATGGGATACATGTGACGTCCGAATGTGAATTACGCATTGCGCTTATACAATTAGGCTCAATTTATACCGCCCCGGAATGGAATGGAAGCGATTTTTTGTATCGAAATTGTGCTTAGCATTATGAACTTTATGTCAACTGTATAACATACAAACTAAATAACACATGTCATAGCATAGTCGCGCGTCTTCCAGTTAATCCTCGCGCCTTAGACGAATATACACACCAAGATACCGTATTAACTGCACGGAAACCGGCCAAAAAATATCTACATAATATGGTAGGTAGATACGCTCGGCGCTACACACGTACACATTGACATTAGAGTCATGCACACATGAGCCGTTTTCTTTGAATGGTTTCTAAGAGTAACTTCGATAGTTATAAATTAAATAGATGATGAAAAAAGTAAAAACACCTAATTGCGAAATATGTCAGCAAATTGAGGACATGCATCATCTTATGATGGAATTTTTTTTAAATAAATTTTCAAATAAATAAGTTGGATATGGGCATTATTCAAAGTGTTCTGAGCAACCCCGAATCAGAAGCCGCATTGTACTTGTGTAGTTTAGTGGAATACTGCCAGTAAATTACACATGTACGAAATGTAATGTAATAATTTTATAATTCTTAATTATGTAGTTCAGTACTTGTTAGTTTGTTTCGATGGACCTGTCATGTCATTGGACAAAAGCTCCTAACAAAAATGATAAAAAAAATATATAGATCATATTGAGAAAATCAAATCAGTTTCAAGTGGCCCAGTTTATTGATATGTAACATCTTTCCCTTCCCTGCAATTTATAGGAGTGATTTCGTGAAATGGGACGGAAGTGTGTAACAGGAAGTCGCGATAGCGCGCGCTATTTGATTTGATTTTAGAACATAATGTTCAAATGGCTAATTCCTTTTGTAGTACGTTTTATTTCTTTTTTTACAAATATAAGGTAAGGTTTTAAATGTTACACATCATACGCGACTACCGTAAGGCTCGCTCGTTTTTTGCTGTCCAGTGTAGATTGTGAATCTTATGTCAGTCTAATAAAGCTTAAAGTCGCTTGAAGAACTCTAGCAGTTTTTAGTAACATGCATGCCTGTATAAAACATCAGCATGTTGGTTGGAACGTAGTACGCAGAATCTCTCTGGAACAACATTTGTGTCTCATGTTTAAATAAAAAACACATTTGTTAATTCACGTTTATTCTTATGACTAATTGATAATAATAAGCGATCAACAAAATGCTACAGATAAATGTTAAATTTGCTACTTCTATTTAAAATATAAGTACTAACCAACTGTCTTAAAGGATCTGTTGAAATTTTTAATTTTGAGATCGCCTTGCCAATTCTCTGTTGATTTCAAACAATTAGTAATAGGGGGTTCCCCCTTTTAAAAGATATGCTCACACAGTTAAAAATGAGAAGAGGAATGTTAGAGCTCTTAATGTGTCAATACTAATATCCAAGGCCATTAAAATACAGACAAATAAGTTATTATTTCATCTCTACTAGGCAACGAATTAGAAATGATATAGGTATAATGCGAATTACGCTAGAAAGTGGTTCCACGCAAACTGCGATTCAGTGGGCGGGCCGAAAAAGCTGCGATCAACACGCCGATCATGGGATTAACTGGGAATTCTCGTACAACATTATCTTACCCAATGAATGGATAGCCGAATTCATTTGCAGATATTTGATTGGTCAAAGTATTTTGTTCTGTCTGTATTTGTGTCGCGTTAGAATTAAAGTTTAGTTGTAGGAGTTTGCAGTTATGTATTGGCGGCCTTTGTTAGAGAGAAAGACTATCATTTCTTCTTCGTTGCTAAAGGGTGACACTTTGATTACGGCCTTAGATACTTGGAAGCGTAAAAGGTGGAGATGCTAGGCTATTTCCAATCCTCATTACATACATTTCACAAAATTTGACAAAAAAAGCGTTGTCATTATATTAATAATTTTTCCCTGTAAAAGTACTGAAAAATAATATCATTCTTACTACCTCATTTATAAAATGGATCTGTATTGTGATGCGAAAACACTAAACACGTTGATTTAATTAAAAAAAAAAATAACTTGCACATAATTTTAAATGCACAATTACCTACTTCTGCCTACCTCAATCTCACACAGGTGCAAATTTTAATAATACGATACCTACTTATAATTAATACGATATAATAATATCGATAAATGTAAAATTAGTTCAATATTGGGGCATCTTCAGAGCTTGACTTATTGAAGATTTGGCTAATTCGCAGACTTACGTTAAAATAGATTAAAACATGCATTATTATTAGAAAATTACTGAGCGTTTTTTCAGCCTTTTTTCTAACATTTACAAAAAAACATTATAATGCATTCCGCATCTAAAAAACTGCTGCCTCAAATAATTTTTTATAACGTCAACACTGCTCTTACTGGCTCTCAAAAGGCATAGAATATAGGACATTAACACCTTATTTATAAAAACTTTTAATAATTAAATACAAATGTAAAAAGTATGATACGAATACTCAAAAACTTAATTATTTAAATAACAACAGCTGGAAGAATTTTGGCACATAAAAGCAGACTGATCGAAATTCATAACAATAAGATTTAATATCTAAAAATAATAAAATCTCCGAGATTTAACAAGCGGCCTAAAATCTATTTCAATATTGCCATTTTTAAAAAATCGACTACGCAAAGCGGAGTTTCACGATCGGGGTAATCGATTTTTTGTCACGAGCAACATTTTTCTATATATTAAATAAATTCGTACGATCGGCACATAATAAATACACACTAAAAAACGTACACTACTTCAGAAAATCTTGTATATCACACACTCTTAAATTATCAACTAAATAAAACCCTAACAAGTAAGGTAATAAAATTATGATCAATTACAAATAAGAACATTGCAAAGCAAAAGTACGATCAATGGGAAGAAGTTGCCTCAATACAATCGTTACAATCTAGTTCTTGCGTCGTGGACGTTAGAGATCACAATTCGGTTACGTTATATATATAAAAACTTATATATATAATATATTTACATGAAAATACTGTTTTGTTTTGATAAAGAAATTATAAAAAGTTTTAGTTAATAAGAACAAATATATTTTCTTATTTAATTAGAAATTGAGGGGTAACATTTTTTATGAGCTTACAATTTATCATTGTTACAGTTTGAATCTATGGTAAATTAAGTAGCAATATAAATAACAAATAAAAACAAGAATTTTGCCTTTTTCCCTAACGTCGCGACGCAACCATTTCGTATTTATACAGTATACCTATTCAGTTCATTCATTCAATTTCACCTCACTGGGTTTGTCAGTGTTCAGTGCTTCTTGCGGCTTCGCCGGTATCTCTTCTTCCGCTTCTTCTTCTACCTCTTCCACCTCTTCCTCGATCTCTTCCACTTCTATTTCCTCTTCCACTTCTTCTTCGGATTCTTCTTCCTTCTGTTTGGAGTAAATGAAAGTTTATGATTTAGCAAATCTGACATTTTTAATATCACCTCTGGAGTTTCTTTAAAGCTTTGTTCACGGAAATGAACTAGTACCAACTTTTCTATCATTGACTGGAGGCAGGGCCACAAGAGAGGGGCTCCCATAATATAAATAAAAAAGTTTTTTTCGACAAGTCACTAACCAGAAAGCAGGGGGGAGGGGTGCAAATCGTAGACCCAGGTTTAGGGGCCTCTACTCCTTCCTTGCCCTAGGAATAGACCTAGACTGAAGGAATGGTGATATCGTTACACCCGCCAATCACAACCCGCTCTTTAAACGATGGAGTGATAAAGTGTTCCACGAACACTTTTCCATTAGCAGAGTAGTTATTCCATAATGTTAAATTAAGATTTTATCTACTTCTTTTAATTAAAATAAGCTTACTGGAACACCTATAATGGGCTCTTGTCTGTATCAAAAATAAAGTACCAATTGGGATGATGACTAATTTTTTTTTCTTCGTTTATCAGGTAGATTATCAAAAAGTATTGGACACGTATTTTTTCTTTTTTCACATAATACAAACATTGCAGAGATATATTGATTTGAAAAGTCGCATGACATCACGTTTGAGTACACTTATAAGGGAAAATTCACTCAAAAGTGACGTCACGAGCCCCTACTCCCAAACTTTGACGCGCTATAACTTTGTCATTTTTTGGTAGATTGCCCCGAAGAAAAAATACGTGTCCATTATTTTTTGATCATCTAACTGACGGACTTAATAGAATTTCGTTTACTATACCCCGTCATCACCCCTATTGTTGGCGTTTGTATTTAAAATCTATATTAACAGCGATTTTACTATTCTGAGCGAAAAAAAATAATTAACTTATTATGGACTCTATAAACATTAGTAAATAACGTGATATCGTTTTCTAAAACTTGTCAATTACCCTATTGCCTAGAAATATTCCTTTGGTGCACTAGCTACACGTTGAAAGACAGACGAAGTATTGCATTTAATATAATTCACTAATACAGTCGATAATGTGCAAATCAAAATTGTTATTTTTCTTACCCCTTCAGCCGGCTGCGTGATGCCACTTGCCGTTGTGAAGTCATCCAGAGTCGACTCTGTAAGTTATAAACCGGTATCAACTAAAGCTGCCACAGAAACAATCAAAACATAGTATGATTCTATTCTTCTCAAGGAAGATTCTATTATTCTCTCCTTTCTGAGGAGCTTGATGGCGCAGGTGGGCAGCGCGTTCGGCTTCGATCGTTGAAGTTAAGCAACTTTCGCAGTGGTCGGTCATTGGATGGGTGACCAAAAATCTTCTATCTCGAGTTCCTCCGTGCTTCGGAAGGCACTTTAAGCCGTTGGTCCCGGCTGCATCTGCAGTCGGTAGCACCTGCCAATCCACACTGGGCCTGCGTGGGGGGTCATGGCCCAATCTCCCTATTCCATCCTTAGGGAAGGCCTGTGCCCCAGCAGTGGGGACATTAATAGGCTGATGATCGGCTGAAAGGAGCTTACCAAGGTCTCTCTCTGGAGTGTCTCGAGGTGCGTCTTGTATTAACGACAGCGTCATTTTGCCACTGACCACAGTCTGTAACAAAAGTATAGATATTTAGGTACAGACACGATTTTCAATTTTGGATCGACTTAATGGTCTATGATCCGAATCTACATCGACCTTCACCGAGCTGATAATAGAATGAAACATATTTTATCATGAATTTAGTATATTAGAAAATATATTAAAAATGGGTTGCCTAAAAAAATCCTGGACAGACTATTTTTAAATAATTAAAGAAAAAGAAAGTTAATGTTGCAACATCAAGATAATAATAAAATGTTGTCCTAAAACAGTATAAAACGTATAAAATGTGCAGCCCTTGGGTTGTCTATTATTTACCTGGGTGAACTACTGGGTTGCCAGGTATAGACAGGTATGTCGATGCCAGTTACGTTACCCAACGCTGCACATTCTATACGTTTTATAATTTATGGCAGCACAACATTTTCACGGCTAAGACCCCCCACGACAACGGCTAACTAGAGCCGAGGTCCGAGTCTCAGAGACGCCCTCTAGTTGAGCGGACCCTCTCAGATTCGAGTGGTCTAGGGGCTCCAGACGGAGAGGAGGCTTCCCCCGTGGAGAGACGCCATCCGCCTGAAATACCTCTAGAGGCACTCGCCAATTCTCGGCTTGAGGTCCCCTTAGGATCTCGCCATCCCCAAACCCGGTGACGCTGTAAAGGTCATCTGCGACCAACAGCATACACACTGAAGGCTCCACGGAGTGGGGATGGGGTCTGGTCTAGGCTACAGCGCGAGTGATATTTTTTGTTTCGCAAGCGTCTATAGTCTATGGTGGCCGCTTACCATCAGGCGGGCCATAAGCTTGTTTGCCACCATTTTAAAATAATAAAAAAAGAGTGAGCACGGAAATGGTTTGGAAAACGCTAACGCTTACGATTTTATTTTGTTATTTCTAGCCGCCTGAGTTATTCAAATGCCTCGCGCTCTTTCTTTTTATTTTGCATTGGTAATAACAATATTAAAAAAAATGAGCGTGAGGTATTCGAAAACCTCAGGCGGCTAGAAATAACAATATAAAATCGTAAGCGTTAGCGTTTCCCAAAGCATTTCCGTTAGGCGATTGGCCCCCTGAAGTGAAACTTCTTTTCCTAAATAACCTAACATTAGGCGGTGCATAAGACCTATTCTAGACGGATGTAATCCAGCGTACCAACCAAGGTGACCTTGCCCGTTGCGATCCATCTAGACCAGGGGTGATCAAACGGTCGACCGTTCAACCATAATATATGCTACGGTACACCCTACCTGGGTAGGTAGGTGTATCGTTTATGTACGACAACCCTGCATCACACATACTTGCAGCCTCTCAGAGTCGATCGTAAGTAGTCTAAAAATTTTGAGGTAGATGGCCAGCAGTTCAAGTTTGAGCACCCCTGATCTAGACGAAGGATGTAATCCAAATTTTGATTTGACCTTCAACGTCCTTGGATTACAGACGCGCGTTTACATCCGCGGTTGGAGCGCGTGGATTACAACCGTTTGGCCGGCGGATTACATCCAACCATACGTTACAGCCTTCGCCGAGTTACCCTCCAACTTTCATACTCATCGGGAAGAGCTGCGCACGCATATACACACAAACACACGTTTCTATATATATATATATATTGTGGTGTGACGCATTCCCGTTTCATCTTTAGTAATAAGGTCGAGTATTACCGGCGAGTGTTTAGTGGGCGGTTTCTCTTGCGCATGGTCTTCGAATTCAGCGACGAGAACTCGAGACTGCTGCGGGATGTCGCCCTCCAGATATATCGCCTTCACTTCTTCAGCCACGTGCTGAAACGGCATTTTACTCTCAAGGACAAATACCTATATACAGTGGTGGTCACATAATTAAAGACAATCACTAATTGACCACAAAAAAACTTACTTATGGTACTAAAATTAGCTAAAATTGGTATTTAATCTAGTGTAATTGTTATTAAACCATACACGACATTGTATTCTTACAATGTGGGACAAAAATAGTTGTGTTCGTTAGTAGTTTAGACACTGCTCACTATGGGAACATAACACAAACCTTTTTAACGTACTTGTAGCTGGCCAGCTAATTAAAGACAGTAAAAGCTGTGTTATGATTTAAAAAAAAATAAAGAAAAAACTGCATTCTGTTTTTCTTTGTTTTGCCGCGTATTTTCATGAAACTTCGATATTACTTAAAAAACCTAATTTTTTATTAAAATTAATACGTTTTAATGTGATTGGCTATCGACGGCCAACTCGAAGCAAACGAGTAGTATTTAACGGGACTAATGTGAATCAACTTTTCTTTACTTTGTTTTTCACCTCCCTATTTTCTTGTATACCTACTTTTATCTTTACTATCCTTCTATGTATGCTTCCTCTTTCAGACTTCTGCCCGCGCCCCTGGCTGTATCAAATAGCAGCCTCGAGCACGGACAGTATATTATTAAACACGTTGTTTGAATAAGAATAACCTAGTTAAAGAGACATATTGTAAATAATTGAATAAAAATATTATGAAAAAAAAAACCCAGCAATATGGGAAAAAACAACAGTTGCGATTCGCCCACTAGGAAGATTATTTTCAATTTTCATAATAAAGATTGGTCATACAGAAAAATAGCAAACCACTTGAACTGTTCTAAGGACATGGTTATGAATGCTATAAAACATTTCAAGAAGTTCAACACGACCGAAAACGTACCAAGAAAAGCTACTCTGCGGAAAGACTCTAAGATGGTGTTGTTGGCATAAAAAGATCCGTTCAAGGGATCGGAACTGATACGTTCGGAGTTGTTTGGTGCAGGAGGGTCGAAGGGTGTGTCTGCAAGAACAATTAGTCGGAGACTATGTGAGGCAAACTTGTACGGAAGAGTGTCTCGGAAGGTCCCACTTTTGAAAAAGCAAAATGTTAAGGCAATATTGTACACTGGACTGAACGAGAATGGAAACATGTGCTTTTCTCTGATGAAACATAAATTAATATGATTAATTCTGACGGAAAACAATATGTTAGAGGCCCCCCGAACAAAGAAATGGATCCAAAGTATACCAAGAAAGTAGTTAAACATGGGGGCGGAAATATCAAAGTTTGGAACTGTTTCTTAGGACTTGGTGTTGGACCTGTCAGGAAAATAGAAGGCAACATGGATAAATTTCAGTACAAGAATATTTTAGAACAAGTCATGCTGCCCTATGCCGAGCAAAATTTACCGGTCATTTGGACATTCCAACAGCATAATGATCCGAAACACACTGCAAAAGTAATAAAAGACTTTTTAAGGAACCAGTCTGTGATAGTTTTGGATTGGCCCCCGTACAGTCCTGATTATAAACCCAATAGAAAATTTGTGGTACCAGGTGAAGAAGACAGTGGCGACAAAACGGACATCAAACATCGATCAACTTTACAAAGCTTTTAGAGAAGCTTGGAAGCAAATTCCGGTTGAAGCTTGTAAAAAAATCATCGCTTCCATGCCCAAGAGATGTCGTGCTGTCATTTCTGCCAAAGGACATGCGACCAAATATTGATACTGAATGAATATTGTGTAATAAAGATAATTTCAATAATAACAATACTTTTTTTCTATTTCTTCTAAGCAAATCGAGTGTCTTCAATTAGCTGGCCAGCTATAAATACGTTAAAAAAGTTTGTGTTACGTTCCCATAGCACGGTAATATGATATTACTAGAGGTCGCCCGCGACTTCGTCTGCGTTAACTAAGTTTCTTGGAAATCCCTCTGGAACCTAACATTTTTTTCGGGATAAAAGTAGCCTATGTGTTATTCTGATCTATAAGCTACATTACTGTAAAGTTTCATTAAAATCCGTTTAGTAGTTTTTGCGTGAAAGAGGAACAAACATCCATCCATACATCCATCCAAACAAACTTTCGCCTTTATAATATTAGTAAGGATACCGTTCCCACAGTGAGCAGTGTCTAAACTGCTAACGAAAACAATTATTTTTGTCCCACATTGTAAGAACACAACGTCGTGTATGGTTTAATAACAATTAAACTGGATTAAATACCAATTTTAGCTAATGTTAGTACCATAAGTTAGTTTTTTGTGGTTAATTAGGGGGTGTCTTTAATTATGTGACCACTACTGTATATATGTATGTAGGAAAGAAAAGTGACAGCACTAACATCTATACATATAAATAAAATTCGAGTGTCTGTTTGTAATATTGAATGAACCGCTTTTTACTACATGCATATGAATATATATGCAGCAAAATAACGTTTTTTCCAATTTTTGTCTGTCCATCCGTCTGTTAGTTCCGGCTAATCTCTGAAATGGCTGGACCGATTTTTACGGGACTTTTATTGGCAGGTAGCTGATGTAATAAGGAGTAATTTAAGCTACTTTTATTTTAGAAAAAAACTTTTATTTCCGAAATAAAAATAAAAGTTAACGCGGACGAAATCGCGGGCGGCCGCTAGTAACTTATAGAAATTGATTGACGTCTCTGAATATGACCGTATGAATGCACCTGGCAGAACCGGAATACAACGAAATTCAAAAACTGTGATGACAATATAGGATAACAAATGATTCAGAATGGAATTTGGTTCGATTAAAACAGAAATCGACTTACTAACTCTAACATATTATACCTATATGTAAATGTTTCAGTTATTTCAGTATAATGCGATTCAACTAAGAATAGCCGACTGGGCGCCATATTTTGACGTCATAGCTGTCAATTCAAACCAAAAAGGTAGAGTGAGCAAACAAATTTTGCTATTTAATAAAACTTATTTACTAAGGTTGAGAAAGAACACAACCGATTTTTAATAGTATTTCTTTATTCAGGCTGTTTTGTCAAAAAACATTAATCAGAATCTAGCTCTTCAATTTCGCTCATCTCTGCATTACCGCCGGAGAAGTTATGAATAATCATGCAGGTCACAAACGAACATGCATCCTATATGTAAACGAAAGTTTTAAATCGAGTTTTTGAAGGCAACATAAAGTGACATTTGGTTGACGATTAAGGTATTCAACCATTCATAGCCAATACTCAATAAGTGAAAAAAAAAACAAATAATATTAATTATCAACATTTGTTATTGTTTGTTTAAAAATGTTTGGTTTTTATTCTAGAATCAGCTGAGTGCTAAAAAAGTGTTTCGAGTTTTTTTTTTGCAAACCGTACTTTTCAAGCGACATTGGACAGGTGGAGGTTGCTGGCTTTCCTATTCTTATTTGAATCGCACTATATATAGTGTTAAATATTCAAAAGTTGATAAAACGTAAAGGATATCTCAACGGAATTTAATACCTGAGATACAACAACACGAACAAAATCGCGGTCGAAACCTGCCCATAAGGTACATTGGGCGATCCACGGAGCTCCGTAAAATTATCAGATAGTCAAAAACAATATTAAAAATTCAAAGTCACCATTGACGCGTAGTATATAGCGTCGCCGCACACGGGCCACACTCCACAGCCACAAACGCCGCCACGAGAATCTAGAAGCGGCTACTAAAATGTCTGAAGCGCGCGACAGCGGCGACTAAGGTAAGGGAGAGAGGGGTGGGGAATCGCGCGAGTGACGTGTGGCGGCGTTTTGTATCGGCGCATTAAGTGGCCGGTGCGGGTCACAAGAAGCGAGCAACGACGATTTGTAGCGTGTGGCGGCCACCGACGTACCGTGTGTGGCGAGTCCATATAAAATGTATGAAAACTACATGAAATATGCCGGCTGGTTGTGGTCGGTAGCTTTACCCTCGGTGGTATGCTATACCACATGACAACATCAGGGCATTTTATAAAACAAAATTTAATTCACACTTACCTTTACTCTTCAGGTTAATGCGATATCAAAATCTAATTAATACACACTTACTGCCAATCACCCAGTCCTAAACTTAGCAGAATTCGCTAAACTGCATGTACATTTTTTAATCTTTTAACAAATATCAGACTCCACAATAATATTTATGTTAAGATCTCCAATATAAATTATCACAGAAAATTATATAAAAAAAAGTGTCAAATTGTGCATGTGAAAATACAAAAGCCGAAAATAACTCTTCGGATACTCATATTAAAAAATAAAATGTACATAAAAAGGATGAAAGAAGATATAGATATAGCAAAGATAGATGACATTTCAGATGAATCGAGAATTTGATTTGACGACATTAATTTCGAGACAGCGCAGATTAAGTCTAAATAGATAAAAAAAAATACAAACACTACAGTTGAATCACACCAATTAATGAAATTCATCAAACTGTTAATAGAATATAGGAGATCAAAATGGCAGAAGATGAAAATGTAGATTAAGAAATTCTCTCAATAATCAAGGGCTTTTCAAAGACAATGCTTATCAAATTTCACAAATAAGAATACTTATACAAATATTCCTACTAGGTACTAAAAGAAGTGAAAGTTAGAGAAGAGTGTAAAAGAAATATATTAATGTAAAGCCTTTCTTCACTCCATGGACAGAACAGAGATTAACGTTAACTGTTAATAATTGTTGGTAATAGCCAATGTCTTTAATTAATTTTAGTTTCAAAAATTATTTCTTTATCAAATTTTGTTTATTCGATGTTATCATACATAGGATATCATAACATAGCTCTATGGTGGTGACTTGACAATAATTTTAATTCAGAGCATACAGGCTTGCAGTCATCAAAAAAAATTAGTTTCATTCGATGGATATGTTGGAACAGTATATGGTATATCTGTATGTAATATCTGTATTATTGTAACTGTTTTTCTATCAAGCTTGGTAGGTAGGTAAGTAGGCCCTTGTAGTTTACTCGTATTTAAACAAAATTAAATATCAAAAATACACGAACTACTTTTTAGTTTAAAGTTTATGGAAGAATTTCTTCAAGCGGATATTTGTCACAAATTAGTACGAATATAGATCGATGCAATTTTAATGGCACCTGTGAAATTAGCGCAAGTCGCATCGCAGTTCGTAAAATTCATATGAACGAGGGCTATCCACGTGACCGTACTTGCGCATAGTTGCGCTCGTTGCTAATTTCACAGCGCACAGTGTTTTAAGGAACCAAAAAAAATTACATGTTCAGGTTTTTACATAAATAGATTATTTATACCCTAAAAAAGGCATGAGTTCAATTCCCAGAAGTCTAACTCAAATACTTTTTGAGAAAAAAAATCATGAACTTATCGTGACCTTTGACCTATGAAATCTAGAATATTTTTTTATAAAGTGAATATTAACAATATATTTTTTTAATAAATATGTGTCAATCGGGCATAATCAGAGGCGCATAAACGCGTTTCTTTAGCTTAAAAAAATGCATTGGTTTGGGAGCAGCAATTTTTTTTTTGTATTTCGTATTTATTGTTTTTTCTCCCTAAAAACGAAAAAGTGGAACCTACAACTTCGATAGAAGTAAACCTATGGATGTGGTCTTTCATACATAAATAAGCCACGTGTCACTTTTGCGGCGATTAGAAGATATTCATTTTTAAATTTTTATGCTAGGGTTGACACCGAACCTGACCTCGAACGAAAATTTTTAAAATATAAATTTGTGTATTAGTTTTGAACGAGTTTACAATAATGTAGATTTTAGGAACTTACTACAGTACCTTTAACATATTTTTATGGGCTCCAAGCTCTATTTGCAAAAAAGGAACGCTTATGGTGATTCCCAGTCAAGGCGGAAGTCATTATAATGAATATCGATTTTCGTTTTCGGGTCTGAGTATTAACTATTAATTGTTTGTTTTGTGTGTGTTTTGGAGACCCAATTAGACACAAGTTCATGCCTGCTTACCTCTACGTTTTTTTTGTAACAATAATAGTTACACCTACTAACTGATTTATGCCCAAGATTTGTTTTTATTTTCTGATCGAATGCCTGAATGATTCTGAATGAATTTTGAAATTTTTTTCAAGCAACATAGTTCATTTTTTCGTTACCGTTTAGCGTGTAAGGTACAAAGTTAAAATGTGGTCGAACAAACATAAAGTATTCCTACATTATCACATCTACATTAGGTAGGTACCTAGTATATGTAAGTATATTATATTCGTCCACAAGTGTTGTTTATTTATTCAATTGATTGACGGTATTAATTAACAAACAAAAAATTTAACATTTTCATTTAACTCATAGTTGACCTTTGTGACAATCCTAGATCATGAAAGTTGACCTTTATCTAAATTCTGTCATAACTTCTTAAAACCGCAAAAGTGAAACCTGATTTTTTTATGGGTGATAGAACTTGGCTTATAGAACCTTTCTATACTAAATCCAGGTTCCACTTTTGCCGATATTTGGAGAAAAAAATTAAAAATCGAAATTAAAAAAAAAATATTTCTCGGAAACTAGGACACTTATAAATAAAATAAAATTGCAAAATTATGCCTTCAATAATTCCTTATCAAGTGGCAAATATCTCATGTACAGATATGGAACCGTCTTTTGAGGAAATTATATTGTTAATTTTTTAATGCTCAAATTTCAAAAACTTTGCTACTTCATATCTTTTTTTTTACTGGAAATAGTGATCTGAGAATTGAACTCTTGCCTTTATTAGGGTATAAATAATTGATTTATGCAAAAATCTTAAGGTGTAAATTTTTTTGGTTCCATAAAACACTGCAGCGGTCAAAAAATTTGAATTGCACTATAATCTTTGAAACATGTTACACTTAAATGTAGTGTCAGAACTTATTATGAGTTTAGTAAAAGCAGACATGTTAGTACTAAATAAAACTGCTTCAAATAACTAAAAACAAGTTTATTAAGAAAATAAAATAATGCATAAAAAAAGTGATGTGTGCTGTGGAGCAGTTTCATTTTGTACTTTATGTTTGTGATAAAATATGTTTTTTTTATAACTTGTCTTATTTAACAAATAGAAAACAATCTTTAGTTTAAAACTCTAATTAAAAAACGAACTATCACTTGTTCCACGCAGAAAAAGTAAGAAAAAAGTAACAAATACGAAAATCACTGTGCTTTTCTCAAATAATGATTTGATTAACTACTATCTACGCATTTTAATCACACACTAGTGTTGTGAAAACAGTCAACCCATAATTATCAAACTTTCTTTTCTCTGATTGTTACTGCTCATTAAACGGGAACATCTTTCAAAATTGTGTTATTCAAAATAGTATTTAAGAAAACTTGCACACTTGAAATTCAATATCAGTATTCAGACATAAAAATATAGTTATATTTTTTGAGTTATTGCCAATTAGAAGACTGTAAATGAGTGGAATGTAAATGGACACCATTGGCATACATACCGACCATTTTTTATTCGCATAAGACTGAAATTAGATGATTCAAGCTGGATATAGACACCTTTTTCGTTATTATCATTGTTCATTAAATTCACTCTGATAAATATTACGATAATTATATTATCTAGCAATTATTAGTAAACGTTTGTTCGGAGATCATTTGAAACGAAGATATAAAACAAAATGGCCGATAGGTAGGTATGCCAATTTACATACAAATTGACAATGGCTTTTATAAAGTTAAAGAGGGAGTTTAGGAAGATTTAAACTACGACACAAGAGCATACCTGCATACCAAAACACGTATTATTTTGAGCAATGACAACTAGAATTAATAAATAAACATAATTAGGAGATCTATTAAATGTCTATTAACAGATACATTCAGTGCTATTAATGTACGAAGGATAAAAGTTAATGGGTGCCAATTTTAGACCAGAATTGCTTGCAACAATGTCGGTAGTTTATATGAGTTTTCTTTCCATTAATGAAAATTATTTCAAGCGATTATGGACCAAAATTGGAAGACCGCCAATTATTTCTACTAAAGGATGAACAAATTTAGTACGTGGCTATTAATTATCTAACCCTATTATGAATTAACATTGACCATGCAAAATTTAGTTGATGCATTCATTTTTCAAATACTTTTTATTATAGAAAACAGGTAACTCAAAATTAAGCTAAATATAATTTAATACTATGACAAATGTCATATAATTAATTACTATAATTTTATTATTTAGGCATAAAACTGCTAGATTTTCTTAGATTTACGGAAATACACAAAGAGGCCAATTATTTTGTAAGTTTGATGAAAGTTGACACTGTCTGTCCCTTTTTTCCGGTATATTAGATACTAAGACAACTCATCACTTTCACAAGCATTCAATTTTATTGATGTCTTTTAGTACGGCCGTTAGATTAGTAGAAATTTATTTAGATATGAAATTATATAAAATATAGTCCAATGATTTTTTTTGCAATATCCTAAAATCCGAGAATTCTTTAGTAAATTCTCTTTATTTAGATATTTGATGTAGTAAAATTATATGTGTCTAGATACTGCAATATCCTAAGAATTCTTTAGTCAATTATCTTTATTTAGATACGAGAAACTGTGTAGTAAAATTATATGTGTCTAGATACTGCAATATCCTAAGAATTCTTTAGTCACTTTTCTTTATTTAGATATGAGAAACTGTGTAGTAAAATTATATGTGTCTAGATACTGCAACATCCTAAGAATTCCCAAAGAAATTTACTTACTTTCTCGGTTTATAAAAGATATATATCGACACCAGTCACATGTGATAAATTTGTATTATCATAGCTACAATGTTATTCATATTGGGTGTCGATATTATCAAAAGATGGGAATTCGACCGAAGCTTTTCTAAGAACTTGTTATTCTATCTACGTATTGATGTTAATCGCTAGGATTGTCTCTGCTATCGGTTTCATAGAGAAAAAAATCGGTATTTGACCGAGGCTTTTCAAATAACTTGTTATTGTATCAACGTAATTATGTTATGTTAATCAGGATTGTCACTGCCATCAGTCTCATATAGGGTTTGCGTGATATGCACAGTGGCGTATGGCCTCACCGGTCGCGGGGCGGGCGCACAGGCGGCAGCGGGCGCGGGCCGCGGATGCCACTCACCGCCGTCGGCCGTATGCGCCGTCATCTCCATCCCTACCACCTATGAAATAAGGTTCGTTATGGCTCAGCCATGCCACGACTAGATAGCCCTTCCGCAGCGGACGGGGAGCGGTGCACTTAGCTCCTAGCGCGGGCAGTCCTGCGCACGACTGCGGGATCACCCGAAATACCCCGGGTGATCCCTGCCGTGGAGCCCCGGCTAGGCCGGGAGGCTGTTGGGCGCGAAGACGAGGTGAAGTCCCACAACGGGGATCTCGAGGGTATTCGCAGGGTTTTTCAGCGGATAGTATGCCATAAGCGCTCGTAAGCCGCACGGACTGCCTAACGGATTCTCCGTTTCGCACCCGTGAGACTTGCGAGAGGTGTGAGGTCCGTTCGTTGGTGTGCCCCTTAAGGGCGCCAACGTCTGTAAATAGGGCTAAAAAACAAAAATGGCTCAGCCACGCCTATCGATCAATACAAGTACTCGAATAAACAGCCAACCTCTTAAATGCCACATGTGTACATGTTCTCAACGAGCAAATAACTACATGTGCATTATGATTACTTAAGACACGACAGGACCAAACAATACTAACACCTGAGATTTCTGACCAATTAAACATGATAGACTATAAACAACACTGTGGAATAGAATCATTAACTATTAGTTCTGTGACGATTTCGGTTCTTCAGGTGGTTGGAAGCAGAATACCCTACATCTCTGGACATTTACTGTACTGTACAGCTTTGAAAATACAAAGAATAATAAAAAAAAATGGGGCTTTTCATCGAATTATTTTCGATAATATATAGGAGTGATTTCTTATCAAATAGTTGAACTTCCTGCCAAATCAATTTGAACAAACAAGTTATAGATATTTACTGTAGAAAAAAAATCGAAAAAAAAGTTTTATTAAATCTGTGTTCAGAGTAATCCAACAAGACTCGTTATTAGTTTGATTTTACTCACTAAATTAATAAAATGAAATATTAAACTCACCTTGACAGACGCCTTTTCTTCGTCTTCCTCATTTTCCGTCTCCTTTTCCGGTGACTCTTCCTTAAGGGCTTCTTCTAAAAGCTCTGGGGTAGATTGTTTAGGTTCTTGACTTTCACCATTTGTCTTTGCATCGTTTAGGAAATCCTCTACTGTTTTGGCTAAAGCATTGTCTACAACTGATTCTATGTTTTCTGTCAATTTAATAATTTCTGCATTTGCGTCATCGTGATTTGCCTTTACGTTTTCTTTTGTTTCTAACTCGTTTTCTTCTACAGTTGTATTTTGAACATTTGCTTGGAGATTATCTTCGAGTACCAGGGGTGGATCTGTTACTTCTTTTGACGGGTCTTTGGGTTCATTTGATTCTACAGTGAATTTGTTAAGATCTGGAGAAGATTCTCTTTGTTCTTGAGCATTGTCTTTAGGTTCAACCACTGCCACAGCTTCTTCTGGTTCAGGGTTTGATTCTTTTGATTCCGGGAACCGTTCTTGTAAATATGTGATATCCTCTTTTTGTTTTAGGCTGTCTTCTTGTGGTTCTGGGGTAAACTCTTTTTCTTCTACAATAGATTCTTGTGGTTCTGGGGTAGATTCTTTTGGTGCTATAATTGGTTCTTCCACCTCCGGAATAGGTTCTTCGAGATCTAAAACAGGTTCTTTTGCTTCCATTGAAAGTACTTCCGGTTCAGGTTCCTTCAATTCTGTTGAAAATTCTTTAGCCGGAGCAGGACTTCGTTCTTTTGATTTGTCCCTATATTCGCTAGCAACGATATGCACAGGGCCAGTATTATGGAGAACTGTTCCATTAGTATATGGACGAGCGTGATTATCCTGCAGATCCTGAAATACACAATAATTTAATATTGTTAAACTAAAAATAAAACAATCAATAATTATCTAAAACCAGGGCTTGTTTACCGGTTAATTTTCAAACATTACTCACTGTCACGTACATTAGGAGCGTTTTATTTAGGTTTGGCTCTACCTCAACATTAAAAAAACCGGTTTTCCTAAAGAGCGAAATCAAATAAGTTTTGAATCAATTTAGCGGTTTTTAAAGGGTTTCATTTCGCTCTTTCTGGCAGCGTCGATAATAAATGAATAACTTGACTCACTAGACGCTAGCAATCGTGTCAATAAATGCATCAATCTCTGAGCATTAACAAGTTATGACTTGATTAGTTCAAACAAAACAAACTTTAAGCGATGCCGACGCGTGCACGTGTCGCTCTGGATTAAACCGGTTTATCAAGGTTTTAGGTACCGCTTTCATTTGGGACGCGCTCCGAACGAAACCTTTACTTAAAACCGGTACTAACCTTTCTACACCGGTATCTTCGAAACCGGTTTCAAGCCCTGTCTAAAACTCAATCTGAATCAATACTATTAACTATAACATTACCACTATCTACTAAAAAATTAAAAAAACTTTTCATTTACATTTAATATTGTAATGTCTATTATTTGCCACACAACACAGGCCACACCAAGTATAAAAGCTAATGTTTATCAAATCAAAACTGAAAATAACCAACATTAGAAAAGTTCTAATTATCCACGCAGACAAATCACTAATCTAATGTCGCTTCACACTTTATGATTTACCATAAATCAGGTTACTACAGAAAACAAACAACTTAAAAGGGTTTATTTAAAATCTCTAGTTATATCATAAGAGCTACAAAACGAAAACATGGCTCAGACACAGCAGGAAAAAGCGAAACATATAAGTAATTAAAGAAAAACATTATTGAGCAAGGACTTATTATTATTAAAAGTTTAATAAATTCGTTTATTGCGTTTATTGTACGTTCAAGGTTAGTTAGTGAGGCGTGGTAACTTAGGTACAGGCAGACAATGGTGATGAACATCAACCAACGACAAATCCACATGCTTCGTATTACCTCAGCGAAAGAAAAAACAAAAATGCAACATAAAATAAATCTGAGAATTCGTGAAAAGATGTATGATATTTTAGCGAAAGAAAAACCAAAAAACGCAACAAAGAAATAAATGTGTCCATCTGTGGAAATATGGATGATGCATTTAGAATAGTCGATGATGGAATTGTGAAAGGGATTCCGTAAAAATACATGTACTTTAAAAAGAACTTCTCGGTTGTTTAATACAGCGTTCGGCTGGTCAAATAGAACTATGAGAAATCTTTAAATGGACACTGAAAAGCGATTCATTAAAGAAACTCAATAAGATTAAATATCAACATGAATGATCAATTATTTTACTTGGTATCATCACTCACGTTTAGTTATAAAATATATTTTTACCAGTGCAGTTCTAATATCATCTATGCGCTACATTTTTGCACTTAATGTTGAAATAAAAATAAGAAATCGATAATTTATATATAATGTATTTCTAGGAACAACAGGCCTCACACACAGCAAAATATTTGATTTTCTAGATAGGTGAGTCCACGGTCTCATGGTTGCACCTTGTGCCGGCACTTCATACATGGCTATTCCTATATGCCGTACCACATTCAACAGCAGTCTCTTTTTTTCATTCCTTATAGAACTGGACAAGGATATACTTCTGAGAAATTTTGTTAGGCAAATACAAAAACCTACACAGCCATGTTTAAGGCTATACCCAATGGTATGGCAGCAGCAAAAAGGCAGTTTTTAATAGATTAATGAATTCAATCTACTGCACTTGCTGGATTGACACCATGAGATCAAAATCTTGTGAATATGTAAAAGCAACATATGATTGGGAACATCAGTATATATATATATATATAGTATATAGCAAATTTTACAAATAAAGCTATTTTTTTGTATAGCTGACAGATCCCATAACATCCAAATCAAAACACAACACAACCTGATCTTCAAAATTGGACAAATCATTAAACACGTGGATAAGAAGTTAGTGCGGAATGTAAATGTGATGTGAGAACTGCTTTGAAACTGCTATGGATTTATAGGGTCGAAATGGGATGGGTGGTGAAGGCATGCAGTGACCTGTCGTTGCTGGTTTTGCGCGTAGCTCGCCTCCATTTGCTGCTGCACCTCTGCTACCAGGCCCGATATGGCCGTAACAACTGCCCGACAACATCTACTGTTAATCATCCTTCTTCAATTACTCTCAAAGACTCAAATAGTCTTTTGCATTTCGGTTCAGCCGTAGAATTCAACAGACATTACTGTTTTCATATTAGATATGAATTTATTTTTAGTTGCGAATTTGACGCCAAGAAAACAAACAAATTTCAAAATAATTGTTAATACAATTGATTTACATCCCATTCCATTTTTAAATCCGCTTGATTTTTTTAGATGTATGATAATAATAAAGAAAAGGAAACGCAATTAAAAATAGAAATCATCAAAACAAACGCCGAAGGACGCGACCGAAATAGCCCGATGCATCAGACGATTGGGTCGACCCTGGAGCGTGGCCAAGACGCGCGACCATCAACGCATTACCGGCAAAATGGCATGAACTATTGCCCCTAGGAGAAGTGGATATTGACCGCGTAAGTAAAGAAAACAAACAAGGAAAGGCTTCTTCGATTTTACTTGTAAATAAAAATAATACTCCGGACAAGACTAGAACCACAGATTTGGTAATAGTTACTTCTACAATTTTAATTATCTGAATCGCGAAATATTAGTCACGGATTATCCAGATTACAAGATATCTGAAGCACATTTATTTGATTTTATTAACAAATAGGCCAGTTAAAGGGCTGACGACAACAATGCTCACCAAATTTTAAAGGCCTTCATTCCTTCATTCAATTACTTTGAAATTTTTTCGTAGGATAAGAATCGTACGAAACTTATTCAAATTACCTATATGCCAAATTATGTATAGGTAATAAGAGTATTTAACATTATTATCATTAGCCGATAGAAAAAGCTTATTTTCAGATTTACTTTTGATTACACTGACCGGTGCGGTTTTTCACAAAAGGCATAAACCTTTTGTGAAAAACCGCACCGGTCAGTGGTCTATTTAAGTATTTTACATAAAATACCACCCACTTATTAAAATACAAATTTAAAAATATCTTATTTAAACACCCTAGTTGTTAGCGACGAATGCATCTTATCATAAACACACGACAATCAGACCCAATTAAATTTCAGGATAATATCTAAGACATGACAAATATACTACGTTAAATTTTTTATTAAGTTAAAAAACCATCGTAACCCACTCTAGAAAGGGTGCAAACACAAAACAGATCTAAATCTATGCAACCGAGGGTCCACAATCGTCCGATGCATTCATTACGTGCGTACCAAAACTAGAGCATAGTACAGACGGGTGGATTCTAAACAGAACTTATTTAGTTAAAATCACAACAGACATTTCGGAACTTGTTGCTTACAAATCAGTATTCTTCCAAATATCTTTCAACTGGTTGTTTATCAGCAGTTGTTGCATATTCTGTGCTAGAGTGCTTATAAACTTAAAAAAAAAGGTCCTTAGAAATATGCTAATAATACTTCTTTGGAATTATTGATCTTTAAGTCAAAATATTTACTAAACCAAATTGCAAAGGAATGCAATTGGAAGTAGAATCCCAAAGGCGTTGCTTAGCCGGCCATTACAAAAACAAATCTTTATCTTTGATCTGTTACATTTTTTTCCTTTTATGTAAAATTTATATTACACGAGAATGTTTCATTCAAGTCATTAAAAAATCAGCCCTTACAAGGAAAATTAATTAATTCTTACTTACATTTTTTTATTTTTAAGCATGTAACTGCTTGATGTTTAAATCTGAAGAAAATATAACTAGAAAAAATTCCACGCGGGCCAGGTAATTCTTACATTATTGATAATTTTCTAAAGATCTCTTAATCCTATCTTATATTTGCAGGATAAACTTTTGCTATGTCAGCGAACCCTCCCGCCTGCACTGAGCTCAAAAGGTCTTTCACCATGCCTCGAGCATCTACTGGAACTAACTAAGCACGCATATTCAAAGTTCGCACATCAAGGATAACTGACTGATTTACCAAGATGCGAAATCGCTCTCTTTACCTCTCTCGTATGATTTTTACGATACTCCCTGCCTATGTTATAGAAGACCCTTACTATCGCATTTTTAAGATAAATGATACATAAACCTGAGTAATCCAAAGAAGCCTTGAGTAACTTTTGCACTTTAACTATTTCTTCGAATTTCGTAGTCGGGAAAGAGAAATTAGCCTCGCCAACTAAACTCAAAACAAAATTTTGCAGTAGTCTCTCCCTGTTAATCTCTATTAGAGCATGACAAGTATATAAATATGTCTGCTGTTTTAACAATTTTTTAAACTCAAATAATTATGCCAGAATCGATTCTCTTGCTATTTGGTCCCTAATTGTTTGGTTTATGTTATTAGCTGATTTTACATGCACCTTTCCCATGTGACCCAATTTTACTAACGATTCGCTGCGAACCAAAGCCGTCAGGGGCGCGTGCCAATTTTAATTTATCAATGACTGTCTAGCAGAAAATGTCGATTCTTATCTTTCGTTTAACTACTGTAAAGTCGCTAGAGTGACAGTTGATTGTTAAATCTTCCAAGAAATCGCTGATTCATGTCGCAAATAAAATATTCTCTCTGTGTTGTTTTTGTATCCAATTTACTTTTTTTGCACAACAAGGGATCTTTTGGCATCAGTTCTTTAAAAATATATAATTTCTAAAAAGAGCTGGTTTTATTGGGTGTCAGCCGATTTTAATTTCATGTTCACGCGAATCTTCATGAACAGCTATTGGCATCCATAAGCACCTAACCAATATAGAATAGAATAGAAATAAATTTATAAGCCTTAAACATAGTCATGGTATTACATAAATAAAACAAGAAAAATAGGCCAACTAGGTCCATGCCTCAGCTTAATACTACAGCAACACCAGGGCTGCTGCAGCGCTGATGATTCTGGCAGGGCCTAAGGTTGATGACACAGTTTTTTTAAACAATAATAAACAACAAAATAAAAAATAATGATAACAGTATCGTAGTAACTCTGGATTTGTAAGATTGACCATTACATGGATACAGCCAACTACTTTGTACCCAGTGATGTAGCCATATATTTTGCATCCCGTGTTACTACAAAGCGATGAGAGAGGTAAAGAGAGGTTCCTTCAGGGGCCACTATCAATACTGGCCGTACCGCGTCGCGTTTCGCTAGCTGTCCGACGATCCTTTGCATCGCTCGCTCAGTCTCCGCGAGCCGAGCTCGCAACGCCTCCAATTCTTCGTCCCCTGGGCATACGCTTACATTTATCACCCGCAAAGTTTAAAACTGACCGCTTAACGTAAACCCTGACTTTATATTTAGGACATACGTTTCTGACATGATGATACTCTATGGAACATATTGTAAAGCGCGTATACCAAAGGTCTTAGTCCACTTATACGATTCCGCTCCCATCCAGCGAAAAGAATATTATTCAAATATGGGCTTTAAATATTGGTGTTTATATATTTGTTTCTTAGGTTTTCACGCACATCACTCATTAAATGAAACAAATTTCAACGGGTTAGATGCACTGATTTTATTTATTTATTGACGTTTCGCATCCTTTGCAGGAATGCGTCGTCAGATTTTTTTTTTTATGTTATAGGGGGCATACGAGCAGACGGCTCACCTAATGGTAAGTGATCACCGTCGCCCATGGACACTTGCAACACCAGGAGTATCACAAATGCGATGCCGGCCTTTAAGGAAGGAGTGCGCTCTTTTTTCGTCGTCATTAATCTGACGACGCATCACGCATGACGCACGCAAAATTAGTGCATCTAACCCGTTGAAACTTATTTATTGGTGTTTATACTTTACATTGGCAACATAAATTAGGGCTCGCTGTTAGCGAGCTTACCAACGTCAGACAGCTCGTTAGTTGACGCCTTGCAAGCAATCTGCTGCTTGTAGGCCATTCTCGCAATATCCACTAAGCAATTCGCTGACAGTTAGCTTTCGGCGCATTGACACCTGGGTGTCTGTTAGCTTTCAGCTTAGTTCAGAGCAGTGTTGGGTGGGAGCGGTGTTGGAACAGATTGCAAAGCGCGAATACTTACTCCTACACTGGCACAGCTACACAGAAAGCTGGGAAGTAACAGGAGAAATACGCACACAGGTTTTGAGTTTCGAGGTAATCTTGGGAGAGTGTCGTTTATGCTCAGATTGAGGTTCGCATCGGTCCGGAGCTACGTGTCTGTCTTTAGATGTATTTAATCTGTGGCACAACTATACGTACGCTAATTAAAGAATTCTTAATGTAGACCCAAATATACGTCCAGATTTGATCAGTCCGTTTTTCCCAGTGGGCACTTTGGGCAAGTGCCCAGGGTCCCGCGATCGATAGGGGGCCCCCTCAGATCAAATACAAAGTCCCTAGTTCCTGTTAAATCACCAAACGGAAGTCATAGGGGCCCCATTATCCTAATATGCCCAGGGCCTCCAATAGGTCAAAGACGGCACTGTATACGTATATGTGAGGAGTGATTAAGGCATGATTCTCCTAACTTAAAAGTAAATTTGAAAGTAGTCCCTCTGTTTATTTTCTATAGATAAAGCATTAAAAGGAGAAACTGCTGTCAAATTCAGTTTTGGTTTAAAGAGACATGCCAGAATCAAACTCGTGGTTTCTCAACTCTACTTTATCTGGACTTCATAGAGATCAGGTTTTTTAACTCTGTGAATACTCAGAAATCAATAGATCTCTACTCAAGTTGGATGCATAGTAAAACTCTTTTAAATAGTCCAAAAAAATTTTTCCCTCCCACTCGTTATTGCACAATTTGTTTTAGCTGCGGAGTATAAGGAGCGAAAAAAACTCCACAACATTAAAAGTATAATGTAACAACATTTACAAATCATTATGTTGTTACAACGTCAATACTACCGATTGCACTGAGCTTAACAACTAGAATAGTCCAAACTCAACTTTTTTTAATTATTCACGACAAAGCAAATTAAACAGAACCACACCTTATAAATAAATCATTACTACAGAAAACTCATTAGTCAAGTCAAGTGATCAGGAGACATAAAAACCTGGAACTGTATACGCGCTTTACTGCTCGTTTAAGAGTGAATTATAAAATTGTTATATTTCATCATACCTCAATGTAAAACATAAAACTATTAGCACAAAAGAACGTAATAAACGGAAAAAACAATCCAATTTTTATCACGAAATCCGTTTCCTGTTTGTGTCAAAGCAAACGAGTACTTACTTGTGTCCCGGTCCTTCGGCCCTGCATGCGCAATAGGGAGTTTTAATTAATCCACAAAATTTTATCAATTTTATACTAATTAGGACCTTAACCACTATACATACAAGAGCAGTACTCCGACTTCATACTAGCGCTAGCGCTCGAATCGACGCACGCACACAGACAAACGTAATTTACACGGCCGCTAACCAATCTTGCCAAGACAAATCTACGCAGTGCCACGTCGCGCGCCGCTGAGACTGGTCGTTGGCCGAGTTAAGTTAGCTGCGGCGCGGCGCCCGCGCTGTGCGTACTTTTCGATTCCGTAACGTGGCAATAGTAACTATACACATACAATAAAAATCAACACAAATATGTTATACATTTTGTAGGTACTATCGCGAAATTTTGCGCTCTGTCACTTGGCGAACAAAATGCTTTGAACGGTTTTCTACAGTAGTTTTTACTACGCCCCTTCTTCTACGCCTTCGCGTCGGACACGCCAATCCGAGCCGCCGCACAAAAGTAAGACAGAGAGCATTTCATTGATTGAATAATGAATTGAATTGCATTTGTTTTAGTTGCAATTTGTCATCCGCATCGTGATCGCGACAGCGCTATACGAAAAAGTAAGACAGCGATAATTACATGTCTATGAATGAATTTTTACTACGCCGCTACCGCAAGCGATTGTGGCATTATGGGTGACAGAGCGGGTCTTTCCGCTAGTGAACCAACCCTAGCGCTCCGCTCAATCGTAGGTATCTAACGGCTGAGTTACGCTACTGCTCTTGTATGTATTGTGCCTTAATATACAACGTATCGTATCAACTGGGTCAGTTTTACGTAGGGTTAATAAGTGTAGTTTCTCTTTGTATATTTCACGTCGTTGTCAGGCAATTAACAACAAAAATGCATAAAAAACATAACTAAACACTGAAAGGAAGATATTTCTGTGTGTGTGGAAAGTGAAACCAGGACCTTAAGAGATAGCTGGAGCGCTGAAATTGCGTGCGCCAACTCTTTGTCTACATTTAAACTATCGCTAGATGAAATTTTAGGTCCACCAGCAGCAATTTTGCTAAATCTTAATCTCTATATAATATCAAACTCAAAGGTGACTGACTGACATAGTGATCTATCAACGCACAGCCCAAACCACTGGACGGATCGGGCTGAAATTTGGCATGCAGGTAGATGTTATGTCGTAGGCTTCCGCTAAGGAAGGATTTTGATCAATTCTACCCCCAAGGGGATAAAATAGGGAATGAAAGTTTGTATGAAACTTTGTCAATTTTAAACCGATCGGCCTGAGACTTTATATGCAGGTATAAGAAGAATCATAGATGAATATCATGGTGTATAATACAAGCCTGAGAACAAAAACTGTAGTCTACACTTCAGTTTTACTTATAGTTTTACTAGTTATTACCCATACGATAATATCAAATTGACATTGATAGAGTATGATCCCAAGACTGCCATCTTTACTTATTTTTCTCATGAACAAAATATAGATAATATCGAATATAGTGTATACCATACAAATGAGCATACATACCCACTAAATTGTGCTGTGGGCCAATTTTCAGGTATCAGGTGGCCAATCGTCTAACGGGATTGCTATGACTAACGCTATCGCTTACGAATTAATTTTGTTATTTCTTACCACCTAAGGTTTGAAATACCTCATCACGCTAATTTTCTTTAATATTGTTATTACCAATGCAAAAGAAAAAAAAAGAGCGCGAGGCATTTGAAAGCCTTTCTAAGATAGCCAAAACATTATAAAATCTTAGAGATGTGATTAACTAGAGTGTTGACTGATCGCCTTTAGGCTTCGTTTCCACAGAAGCGGAGCTGAGCAGTGTTAAAAAAATTTAACCAATGGCATTTCTCAAAATATAAACACGATGTATTATGAGCAATGTCATTGGTCGATTTCTCTAAGACTGCTCGGCTCCGTGCAGCTCCTTTTTTATGGAAACGCAGCCTTTAGCTTTGACATTATTTTTGAGGCTACGTAGTCCTCAATGCAACTGTTGTCACTGGAATCTAAAAGATCTAATGTAATTCACCACCTATTTTCAGCTCAGACGTAAAAATGAAACACACAAGCCACATGAGGCAATGAAGTAGCTTACCCAGTTTATCAGGCGAGGTCCTGGAGTCATCGCGGAAGACTCGTCTCCTGAACTGAGGGTCAGGTGAGACAGACTCGTAAACTGGTGAGCCCGTACGCTTGAACAGGATCTATGGATATAAACAAGTACAGGTTCAATATATCGTTTATTTTATCCAGTTTAGGCTGTTACATTACAAGCCCTTATCAAAGTCGCGAAGCCACACCATTGGTTCGCATATCGCCGTAAAACAAGCCTTAGCTATACTATAATCCTTAAGCTTACTTAAGGATTATTATCCTTAAGCTTATTAAAGGATTATTATCCTTAAGCTTACTTAAGGATTATTATCCTTAAGCTAACTTAAGGATTATTACATTTTATCATATATTTCATATATTAATATATGTGTTATTTAAAGGGTTGCCAGATGGCCGGGAAATCCTGGTTTGTCCCGCAATTTTGCGTCATGTCCCGTGTCCAGTAATTAGACCTTATTGTCCCGGAATCCCCAAACACCAGATTTTTTCACAATATTACTATAACCACACCTACCTGCGTGGGGCGGCAACATTCGTTACTGACCTATTATTTAGATATGATGTTTTGATGATTATGTGATTTCTGGAGGGGGGGGGGGGGATTGATAAGCCAGCATCTGGCAACCCTAGTTGTATATGTATCAAAGCGAGGTAGAACATTGTAAATTTCCCACTAACATTGGAACGCCACGTTCACCAACTGATAGCGACCACCATAGACCATTGTATACGCCATATGTGCATAAATAAGTATTATAAACTATTTATAAAAGCAATAAATACGAAATAAACTATGTTAACTATCAAAACAAACGTGAAAAATTGTAATTTATTTGTATGAACATAGTTTTTTTTTTTTTCATTAAAAATACAGATATACAAAAAACAACTTATTTCGCCAACCTGATGGCGCTGTAGTTCATTGCATCGCGCTAGTAAATTTGTTTTAAGAGTTTCGTTTTGGCTTTATGCAGACAAAACGACACTAACTTTATAATTCTTATAACCAACTTATTTTTTCCAAAAACTTTAACTTGACTAGAATCGTTTAAAAGCCAGTAGACTCTCAATCGCCTAACAAAAGAAAGTGCATCAGAAAATCTGTTTTATACCTAAACCAAAAACATCAACTTATACAGATTGACATTAGCACATTAAAAAAACACAAATTGACACCTTTCTTCGTGGCAGCAAAATTCACAGTCAAGTGTTTGAAAATTCCGCAATAGACGCGTGTGCAATGAATTTTACCTTCAACACTTTTTTTTGTCGTCTACTTATTTTTCTACGCAATGAATAGAATACATACCTTGCTCAGTGTATAGACGAAGAATACGATGATGCAAATGGTGTAGATCGGCATGACGAACCCCATGGAGGACTTGGGGGCGGGCACGGGGCCGCCGGGGGAGCCCAGGGGCGGCCTCATGCCCGGGATCGGCGGCGGCTGGTAACATAAAATACCTCATTGTAAATGCCTAATCTTTTTTATAAATAAGAACCTACAATCAGGGCTTGTTTACCGGTTAAGGTAAAGTTTTAGGTACCGCTAAGTTTTATTAAGGTTTTAGGTACCGCTTTCATTTCGGACGCGCTCCGAACGTAACCTTTACTAAAACCGGTATTAACCTTTGATTACCGGTATTTTCGAAACCGGTTTCAAGCCCTGCCTACAATCATACTAATATTATGAATGCGAAAGTGTGTCTTTTGTTTAACCTTTCATAGTCAAAATTATAGCTATTATAAGTCGCGGCACGGAAATCTAGCGCTAACCGTTATTACGCAAAAGTAAAAATTTAGATGTCTTGGGGGAAAACGAGGTCCGCGGGCAGGCGTGCGTTGCGCCGATTGGCTCTCCAGTCGTACCCATGCGCAGCTATCCACTTCGCGTTTTGTTAAGCGCTAGAGTTACGTGCCGCGACCTGTAACTGGATCGTTACCATTTACCTTGTTTTTTGAGTCTCCGATATTTCGGCACTGTTGCAAGCAGTGCCGTCTCTGACCTATTGGAGGCCCTGGGCATATTAGGATAATGGGGCCCCATTGACTTCCGTTTGGTGATTTAACAGGAACTAGGGACTTTGTATTTGATCTGAGGGGCCCCCTATCGATCGCGGGGCCCTGGGCACTTGCACAAAGTGCCCACTGGGAAAGACGGGTCTGGTTGCAAGCGCCATGATCACGGAGCAACTAAAGTAATTGGGGTAGATGTTATAGGCAGACATATCGGTCTACCCTGTGGCGTCGTCTTTCTGTCTTTATCTCTTACCTCAACTCAGCCGATTTAGATAAAATTTGGTACAAAAATATTTTGAGTCCCGTGGAAGGACATATAATGATTGATAGATTATAAGATTATAGAGGTTGATTTGTGATGAGTTTTTATCACAAAAAACATCTTTTAAAAGGGTGGTAAGGGGGTGGAATTTTGTATGTAGTCTATAAACTGTAAAAATATTTAAAAAATGCACTGCAGTGGTATAAGTGCACTGCGCAGTTAGTACTGTTAGCAGTAATGTCTTATACTTATTTATTTATTTATTTTGGTTACATGGAAGCCCAACAGCTTATCTTAATAAACTAGAAATGAATAGTAGGAACAAAGAGCCAATTACAGGTTCTCGCATCTAGACATAACTCAAAGTTAAAAAGAAAATATTTGCATTGTCCAATGTAAAAATACTCTGAAATATTTTTTATAAATCAGGTCTTTATGATAAATAACAGAATAACAAATTACGCACCTGTTAATTATAATCTCCAAAAAACAAACGATTAATGATACGTCTAATCGACGCTTCGCTAGTGTTAAAAAGATCTAAATTTATTCATTTCAATCGCATTCAATAGGGATGATGGGACGGGATAAAGAAGATTAACGCGATAAAGTTGTTAGTGGAGGCTCGTGAAGTCACTGCTATGTAAAAACTGTACCAAGACGTGACGTCATGCGACATTTCAAATCAACATAATTATCTCTGTAAAGTTTTGATTAAGTTAATAAAGAAAAAATACGTGTCCAATACTTTTTGATATAATCTATCTGATAGACGAAGGAAAAAAATGTTACGTTTTATCCATATTCAACCTGCAAGTTTACAACACATTTTCAATTGGACGCGCCCGTAATGGCTTTACGATGCTTATATTTCGTAAAACTATAATGTAACAAATATATGCTGTACCTATACTTATATCCAACAGATTTTTTAGAAAATTAAAACTAGTCTGTAAGTAGCCACAAAAAAAAAACCAACAGAAAGCGTGAACAATAAATTTTAAAGGCTTTCGTAACCGCTCACATGACGGGTGTCGTTACAATGTATTATTTACAGAAGCAATTAACACTGGTTATTCTTTTCTAATAGCCCAAGCAATACATTTTAAGCGTTTATGTAGTAAAGACAGCATTGCATTATTGAAATATTTTATTTCACTTCTCAAAGAAAAAAAAATCCAGCCAAGTGCAAGTCGGACTCGCATGGCTCCGTAAAATATGTGAGGTAACTAAAAAATTTACGGTTTTCGCTATTTTTCCTTAATCTGTGATATATGACGTTGCTTCGTACCAAATTTCAAGATTCTGAGTTCACGGGAAGTACCCTGTAGGTTTTGATTCCCTTGCGAGTTTCGAAAATTTGCGGCATAAACGGCTGTATCTTTTGATTGCGTTGGCTTACATTTTTGATTTTTTCACAGCCTGGGTTGGTAGTTATCGAAGTTTTCATACGGAACCCTAACTTTTTTGAAAATACTCTACGCCTATGTTCATCAGGGTTAATGCAGGATTCTAAACGTGGAAGATTTTTTTAAATCGGTCCAGTAGTTTCGGAGCCTATTCAATACAAACAAACAAACAATTAAAGGTTTTCTCTTTATAATATTTGTATAGATGAATATTTTTAAATTATTACACCTACCTTTTTCATTTCAAAATCCTCCAGTGATATGTGCCTTTAATCCTAAAGCTTGTCCGCCACTCTCGCACTCGAAGGATATAAATAGGTAGGTACTTTTTTTTAATAAAACTTATCGTATAACATTTAAAACTGTATGTCAAAGCTTTTAATTTGTTGTCTCTGCAAAAAACTTACAAGCGTATTCACATTTATGAATACTGATGGAACCACCACTTGCTTCAAAATCAAAGTGTGGCATTACATAAAGAGTTTTGAATTTACGAAAACAAATTCAACGCTTTCTCGAAAATAAAGTTTCCGTTCATGAAAGATGAATTCAATGAAATGGCATCAGTACTACCAGTTTCCGTTTCTAACGTGTTTTCATAATCGACGCACGGCCCGATACGATTTTATCACGAGTATTAAACAAATATCTTTTTAAGCACAAGCAAATATGGTGAAAAGTCTCCTGCCGGTTCATCGCCGGTTGAATGTTTCTGGAAGACTGGCCTGCTGAATTTATAAATATTGCTGGTACCCAGTTTATGGTTTGATGGCTTCCGGTGGTTGCGGTGTGATAGCTGCTGATGCGCAGACATATTTTTTTGAAAGTAAACATTCATGTTTGACGTACTTCATTGGCAGTTTTGTGGCGTCTCGGTGAATTGAGCGTTATCAAAAATGAGTAATTTTATTTCGATTTTCAATGTAGAAATTATCTGAGCATTTTATTTTATTTGACGTTTATGGTCGAGTAGTATGGTTATCAAATTCCTAGAGAGCACTCCTTCCATAACTCAATAGAGTGCAATATAAAGTGTATCTTCAAATTCATCTAGTTTCGCATAGAGGTGAGGGATACTCTAAACTACTAAAAAATATTTTCTGCATTCCAGAGTACCAATATTATTACTAGGCTTTTATCGCCACTGCTGGGAAAATGGCCTTTGTTATAGACAAAAGACCATAGAGAGAACGGGTTTTATCCCAGAGCAAGAACGGACCCACACTAAACGCACAAACTTACCAATGCGCTGTTAAGCACCTAAGCTGTATCGAAAACAAATGTTGTGGTTATTTGGAGAAACCACTGTTTGTCCAAGTTATGTGAACAAAGGCACAAGCAAACCTTAATTCTCCTACCTTTCTCCATCAGAAAACAAACTAAAAAAGTCAAAAACAAAATCAAAAAATAATTCCAACCCCTTAATCTAAACAGAATGTTCCTCCGAATGCAATGAGTTTTCAAACTTGACTATTTGATAGCATTTTTGGCTGATGGTCTTAGGAATCAGATATGAATTCCATCAAATGCTCTTAGTTTGATTAGACATCTGGCAAAGGCCTAATTCAGACAGTATCGTAACAGCGATCTAACCCAGCCATCCGAACGTTTGAAGAGAGGAATTGCGCAATTTGGCAAAACGTCGTCGTGCGCTTATCAAAACATGTGAGCATATAGATGTAACTTTACGAGACCGAAAATAACTCGGACGGATACGGTGGGCGCGTGATGTCGATCTGTTATGCACACAAACTTATTACCGTGGAACTTTCCTTTCAGCAAACCGCAGGTAGAAGACAGTCTTCAAATTCTCCTTAGGTAAGTTAATACATAAATTGACAAAAGGACAATACCGATGTCTTTGAAGGGCTTTTAAGTAGAAAGCAGACAAGCTAACGGGTCACTTGATGTCAGTGACACAACGAAGCCGCTGTCATACGTGGAAAAATCTTAAGCTTCGTTTGAAGAGAACCATGATTGTTATAGCACTATGGGAGCTCAGTGGAGGGGAGCTCATTCAATAACTATGTTGTCCGAGGAAGGAAAGAGCTACGGAAAGGCACAGTTCTAGACTTCAGTGTTTCTAGGTAAACGAGAGAACTAGTATCCGGTGACGGGTGTATCCTCTCAGAACTAATTCTCGTGACACTCACTAGGAAAAAGTCTGCAAAAATCGCTCAGGCAGGCGAAGTCTGTGCAGCTGTAAAGGCTCCCGATCTTTATATAAATATTGATAAGTACTGTGGTGGCGGTGGTAACACTCAGAGCATCAAAGACACTAAAAGAAATCTATCTAGAAAACATCCATTTATACCAAAATTTAATTATAAATGCAAAAGTAATGTTTCTTTTAATAACTGAACCACTGTACTATTTTTTATGAATTAATAGTATGGAGGTGGGGGAGAAGGGGACATTGGAGATAGATATTGCTAATTCTATAACGACGCATTTGAAAATAGTGACAAGCTACAAACTATCGCCTATTCGGAACATCTGAACCAACTGATCGGTGATGTTCTGCGTTTTTCCTTATTTTCTAGTGTGAACAGATTCCTATTGTCCGTCACGTCGACGAAACTGGGTCCTAAATGAATACATACTTATGGTAAAATATTCTCAGCACATGTTTTTAATGAAAACAATACGAGAACAGAATCAACAAACTCAGTCAATCAATCTGTCTCTGTCGTGTTTTGGTATGGAAGTTAATTTGATACATCAAAGATGGGGCAGAAAATGAAACAATAAAACTAT